GTATAATGTAAACATTTAGCGTGAACCACAGCTCACCAGACCATGTGAGGTGGGGGGTAGCGATAGACAGGAAGAGAGGGGACTGCAAGGCGCGCTTGCAGCTTGTTTTTTAACGTCTCCCAGAAGAGAATTATATAGATAGATAGATGTTTTACATGTCTCTTGGCCTATCTCATATAGTTCTTCCAGACTTTTTTCTCCGGAGGGGGGGGTAGACTTTCTTCGGGGGGGGGGTGCCTGGAAGAAACTCTGCATATAGACCAACTCAAAACAAGTATAATTAGACGTGGACTAACCATTACAACAGAGAGGGTAATAAAAAACGAGATCCGGTGACACCAAGGCAAAAAAATAGTAAAAATATATAGAGAAAGATTTGAGAGGGTGGGTGCAAATCGAAAGTTCGAGGGGGTGCAAATCGGAAGTTCGAGGGGGGTGCAAATCGAAAATTGAAAGTTTGTCCCCGGGAGAATAGCTACGCCTCTGGGGGGGGGGGGGGGGTTGACACCATTAAGTGCCGCACCGGGTGACACCCGACCTCGGTACGCCACTGCTGACATGGGATTTCTACCTTTTGGCTGTCGGCCTTTTGTCTATATCAGCTTTTTGGATATACTTTCTTTACACAGCAACCGCTCCAATATCTTGCATATGCAGACAATACTGAACTATTAGGAAAATGTGATAACGACATAACATGTGGTGCATCACCACAAGCAGGGCTGCAAGTAGGCTTAAATAATAATTTCAAAATGCATGGCAGTCTCGAGAGAAGCAGGGTTTCTTTCAGACATTTTTCCTCGGCGATAGCCATTGAAACTTCCAGAATGGGAGTGGGATACTGGTTATAATAGCTTATATATTCATAGAAGAAACATTGGACTGAAGAACAAGAAAGAGAGGCTACTGACTGAAATTAGAATCCACAATACGGAAAAAGTAAACCAATTTAAATTTAGCCTATGCGTTCCTTGATACAGGAAATCAATGAACTAGACATGTTAATAGAAATCTTAAAGAGATTATGCGTGCAAAAGGCATACAAACATTTGTATCACACCACATCAGTTCTGTTCAACGTCCGCAATAAGATCAAAATTCCGTCAATCAGTATTACATAAAACAATTAACTTAAATTACAACCAACATAGTTTGACAGGACTAACTTAAAGATATTTTAGTACAGAACAGGGTGGGGGGAGTGCATATGTCCCCGGGCGCAGACCCTAGGGGGCGCCAAAATGGGTTGGGAAAAAATTAAAAGCTTATTCTAGCTGCAGTTTTGCATTATAAATATTAAAAATAATAATCATTAAAAAAGTTTTTAAAAACCCACGTTTTCTGATTGAACTAAAAAGTAGAAAATAAACGCTATACATCACAATAATGCAAGCGATCGTAAAAAGACAACTCGTAAAAAGACAACTCGTAAAAAACACGTTGTGTTAACACATAGATTTGAACCCGTGTCGAGTGGGATAGCAATCGTGTGCCCAACCACTCGACCATATCGTCTCCCCCAAACTGGCCTACCTCCTGTAACTTTAAACTCGGTTCAAACTAAATTATCTGCCCCTAAGCCTGTGGCGATGTGGGATCGTTCGCTTCACTGCGCGCGAGGTACGCGTCGCTCGTTTTTTTTCTAATGGCTCGCAGAGGAGAATTATATATATAGATTATATAGCGGTCTAAAATGCTCAATAAAATGTTTCCATTGATCAATTTAGTAATAATAACAATTGAATATTCAATGGTCATCCAAAAGAAAGCTTCCCTGAAAATTTCAGCGCGCTAGCTAACTGGGAAGTGCCAGAAATTTCGATCGCAAGATTTGATTGGAAAGACAAACAAACACAGACACAGAGAAAGCAAGTTAAAGAAAACGTGGGAAATATATGGGAAGCCAAATTGAAAGTTTGTCCGCGGTGGGGGCGCCAAATTGAAAGTTTGTCCCGGGGGGCGCCAAATTGAAAGATTGTCCCCGGGCGCCGGAAAGGGTCGCTACGCCTCTGTACCAATTGATGTAGTTTCAGTCTACCACAAAATCAATGCTACGTGTCTTTATATTATAAAAATTAAATGAGTAAAAAATCTTAGTCAACAGTTATTTCTGTTTTATGACAGTTGTGTAGAACTGAAAACTCATAACTATCTATTTCAGGTCCGTTCATCGCTATGACCATAAACTACATCTCTAGAGGAATGACGTGCTTTAAGATCTTCCCTCAGTCCATGATGTTGTTCGTCTTTTGGGAGCAAAAAAAAAAATGCAAAACCTATTGTCTGGTGATATAAAAAAAAGCTAAGTATAAGATTAATAAAAGCTGCAAAATTAAATATACATCAAGAGCGGTAAACGAAAATGGGAGAAGGTCGATCAGGAAAACTAGGTATAAGACTAGTCTTAACACACAAGGCATGATTATAAGTTTTTGTCAACTGTTACAAGCTTTTTACTTGCTTCCTCTGTCGTGCTTTTGTCTGCCTTAGTTAGTCATCAATCGCAACTGACGGGCGAAATTTCGACCACTTCTAACCGACCAATTTTTCTGAAACTTGTCACATGGGTCAAGACCCTATGATAATGCAATCTGACTTCAAATGTGACTTATGGATGCTTTGATTATTTTTTTAAAATAATTAATTAAAATTTCCTAAAGTACTATTTACCGCGCTATTATACGCGCATTTTTCGTGTTTATTTGATGCGCAATAGTTTTTAGTTAGTGTCACCCCCCCCCCCCCCCCAAGAAACTATATATATATATATATATATATATATATATATATATATATATATATATATATATATATATATATATATATATATATATATATATATATATATTTGTATTTGCCTACATAGACCTATAATTTAAATATATGCTACATACGCATACATGTGTGCATAAGCTTTAATCTCTGCAGACTTAACAGTAACGATGTTTATCTATAGTGGTTAATAATACAGTTGTATGTAGCATTGTGTTCTCTATAGTTAGCACCTTTACCACACTTTACGTCATGGTGCCCACACAAACGCCCATGTCGGGGTTGCTGATTTCTATTTAAAAAACTATTTAACTTTCATTAATCCTTTTTGGAACTAGCAAAACGCATTATTCTTCTGTACATTTATTTGTCGCCATGTTGTCACCCCCCAAATGGTGTCACCAGGTGTATCCGCACCCCCGCCCTGCCCTCGCTACGCCTTTGTTAAATATTTTAAAATACTGAAAAAATGCATTAAAATATTACATAAAAACGTTTTAATAATAAACTTTTATGTAATAATGCACTAAAAAAGGGAAAATAAATGATTATCTTTAAATATATAATAATGCACTAATATTTAAATAACTTCGTCATCATGGATCAAGACTGCCTAGCAAACTTTCAAGCACTTCAAACGGACCAATTTGTATCAAACTTGGCACGTGGGCCAAGATCCGATGACAATGCAATTTGATATTAAGTTACATTTAATTGGATGCTTAATTTTTTAACAAAATGAAGTTCAATCTCCTATATTTTGTACTATTTACCCAGCTGTTACATGCGCATAGTTTTTGTTTGTTTGGTGTGCAATTGTTTTTAGTCATGTAATTCTTTTGTTTCGATCCATGAAGAAGAACGACAAAATAACAGGGAAGCTAGTTAAATAAAACATTGTAAAAATGCATAAAAAGGTTTTAATATAAGCTTTTATATTTAATAATGCACTAAAAAGCAGAAAATAATTGGTCGGTTAGAAGAGGTCAAAATTTCACTCGCCAGTTTTGATAAATGACGAAGACAAAAGACAGGCAGAGGAAGCAAATTAAAGAAAACCTTGTAAAAACAAAAAAAAACCTTTTATATAATATTGCACTAAAATATGGTAAATGAAAGATTTTTTGAAATATATGTTAATCTTTCACTATCTAAACAACTATAAATAAAAGCGTAGTACACTTTATTATTTGTTGAAATCCTTATTAAAATATAAGAAGCAACCAACTTTGTCCTTAACTTTATAGTTATGGATTACTTTGGTGCATTATTATGTATTTAAAGAAAATCTTTACTGTTCACTTTTAAGCTATTAAAATTTTGGGTTTTGTCTTAAAATTATTACTATCGTCCTAAATTATCAGCCTCAAAAGTCACATATATATTGTCTATATAAGATAATAAATAGAACAGTTTTTAAGTGCGTTATTTCCAGTGGCGTAGCTAGCGTAAGCAAGGCATAGCTAGGGCCAAAGGCATTTAGGGGCCCTTTTTCTTCTTTAAAAAAATTAAAACTTTTACATTGGAATTTGAAGATTTGTTTAATATAAAGAATTTTTAAAAGAAAATGAAAATCCAGTTACTTTTCTATTGTAGAAATAATTAAAACCTCCAAAAGGGCCGCCACTCCTTTCTTATTTTAAAGTAGTGTGATTCAGTGGGGATGAGGGGGGGGGGGGGGTCGAACAGGGCCCATTCGTAATAATATCATTACAGGCATTGCCGCATGGTCATTGAGGGAATTAGCCTATAAATAAACTTGAAATAATACTCTTTTGTGAGATCGACATCCAGAACCCTAAAATTTACATCCAGCACCCGAAAATATAAAATGTATAGAATATTTATTTAAAATCCTCCATCATAAGTTGCAGTTGATTTCTTCGTTAAACTCTATTGTAGTCTGACGGCTGACGAAGGGGCCCACTGATAATTTTTGCATAGCGGCCCGAAAATCCTAGCTACGCCACTGGTTGATTTTAAGATTTTATTAACATCATATCAATTCATTTACTTTTAGCTTTGCATTTTAGATCTAGCGCTTTTTATTTTTCCATCACAACACATCACTTCTTCCGTTTCATCGCAGTGTAGGCCTAGGCTAATACAAAAATGATTGTCTACTCCCCCCCCCCCCCTTTGAACGATACTAATACTGGGCTTTTGGTCTTTCTTCTTTTGGAGTAAAGGAAATGGTAACGTTCGTTTATTAGCCTAGTTTTGGAAAAACGGAAGTCGGAAGCTAGAAATAAAAGTGAAAATAGAACGTCTACCTCTCGTGTTAAAAAAGCAATGCGTCAAACAAAATGAAATACACAAGAATATTAATAGTTTTAACAAACAATATAGTTAACTAAAACACGGTAGCGTTAAATGTTAGAATAGCTACATTGTAGACTAATAATTATAATAATCTATTAGCAAATTGTTTCAATACACTTATTTAAAAAATAGTCAGTAAGTGATAAGTAAGTGAGTCGTGACAAAGTTGTTTTTTTTAGGTAGGCTTAAAAATTTACTTAAAATTAAAACGGTAAAGCTCCATTTTAGTGTATTTTATTCGCAGCTTCACATTCACCTCCGGTTGAGCGTATTTTATTATAAACAACCGAAACACAAAATCATTAGGAAAACACTAGGATAAGAGTCCGATTAGTTAGATCTAGATCTTTTTTTTTTGGTAATCTATCGTTTTAGGTAGGGCCTACGTAAAATCGCCCACGACTTGTAATGTGAAAAACAGGTGACTCCTTGAATTTTAATAATTATTTTACATTTTGAGGAGGATTTGTGTTTTGAAAAATACAAAAATGTTTCCTTGTTTCATTTATGATTATGTACCTGTTTTTAAACAATTGAATTAACACTTTTCAGTAATAAATGAAGACTAGCAATGTTTCCAACAGATGCAACAATGCTCATTTACTATAGCAGCCATCTTGTTTCTTTTTTTTATTGTAAACTTATAGCGCAAGATTCAGGGGAAGCCACTCTAACTTACAGATGACCGCTTTTTATACAGCAAATCCTGCTCGCAAACACTGCTGTTTAAAGTTAATTTCTTGCCTATAGGCCTATTGATATATTTAGCCATTGATTTAGGTTTATTATTCATTTGTCTATAATATTTGACACAAATATATCACAATATACTTCTATTAAAGCCTTGACAATGAGGTAACTTTTTCGCACATTGCTAGCCTCGGACAATTTTATGCACCTAAAATGATAGATTACCTTTTTATATATATATATATATGTATATGAGTTTTAATTAGAAAAGGTAAAAAAAAAAAAAAAAAAGCATTAGGACAGTTCCAATTAAATAGCGTGTGATCGTCAGTGGGAGAAAAATTCATACACGGTCGACGGTTCACAGTGAGTTCACATTGACTTTAATTATTAGCATACGTCATAACTTGGGCAATAGCTATTTGAAATTGTGTTGGCCTCAGTTTTGGGGTCATCGTGAGTTCAACTTATTTATATCATTCAATATTCCAAATTTGAATTTTTCTCAAGTTTTGACAAAAGTTAATTATCAAAACTGAATCTAAATTTCATAAAGAAATAAGCCCAATGTTTTCCTAACGTTTTTGTGTGTTTCGGTTGTGTTTATAATAAAATACGCTAAACTGGAGGTGAACATGAAGCGGGAATAAAATACGCTAAAATGGAGTTTTACCCTTTAAAACTTGGTAATATCTTAATCAATAAATCATTAGGCCTAATCATTTTAGTTTTATTTTAGGTACGTAAAAAAATCAGGCTTTAATAGAAGTATAGTGTGATATATTTGTGTCCTGAATAATAAACCAAAATCAATGGCTAAATATATCAATATGTGAATTAAGGGCAGAAATTAAATTTAAACAGCAGTGTTTGCTAGCAAGATTTGCTATCTATCTAAACAGCGGCCATCTGTAAGTTAGAGTGGTTTCCCCTGAATCTCTATAATTTTGCCAAAAAAGAACTTAAACAAGATGGCTGCTAAAGTAAATGAGCTTGGTCGCATCTGATGAAAACATCTCTAGTTTTTATTTATTACTGAAAAGTTTTAATTCAGTTGATCAAAAAAGGAACATAAATGAATTTTTGAAACATTTTTGTAAATTATAAAACATAAATCCTCCTTAAAATGTGAAATAATTTACTAAAATTTATTGTGTCACCTTTTTTTACATTTCTTTTCTCGGACGATTTTACGTACCTAAAACAATAGATTACCCTTTAAACAGCAGGATTTTCTATATAAAAAGCGGCCATTTGTAAGTTAGAGTGGTTTCTCCTGAATCATTAACTATAATTTTACCAAAAAAGCACTTAAATAAGACGGCTAGTAAATGAGCTTGATTGCATCTGATGAAAACATTGCTAGTCTTTATTTATTACTGAAAAGTTTTAATACAATTGTTTAAAAACATGAAATTTAATAAAATGATCTAGTTGACCCATAGGGCTATTGATAAGAATCCAAAAAGTTTAAGACCAAAGCAAGTAATTACAAGTTAAAGAATTAAGAGTACATTGTTCACCTAATAATATTAATATTTTATACTAGTGTAACCTTGAGCAGTGGCATTGTAATTTAAGAGCTAATGTTAACAGTTAAACCTGGGACAGTGCAACAGTTAGGCCCTAATTAGTAATACATTTTTAGCTTTTAATATATTGTGCCCCAACATATTAATGCCTAGTTGTAGCACTAAACCAAACTTAATTGAGAGTCATGCCATTTCACTTTTAACAGTAACAATAATTACAATATTGATCATATAGACATTTTTATTCCTCAGGTTGGAGATTATACACATGGGGAAGTTTAAAACAAAACAGTTTGATCTAAAATCAGCTCATGTCTTCAAAGATAAAGTGAAAAAGAAGGGCCAAGAATTTAAGTCAAAACAGAATATTATAAATAAGCAGAAATTAAAAGACAGTTATAAACATATAAATGGTGTTAATGATTTAGTCACTGTCACCTCTAACAAACCAAAAATAAAAGATGTGAACTTAGGCCTTTCAAAACAAGTGGACAACAAAACAAAAGATGCTCAAATTGTACAGGGGCAAGTGTTAAAGAACTTTGAAGAGCAAGGCACAGTAGACAATCATATTAAAACATGTAAAGACGTTGTTTGTGGCAATGCAGTTGGAGAAGTACACAATTCACCTGAAAGTGTGTCACAAAAAGCTGAAAATGCACCAAACCCTAGTAAAATCATCTCTAATACTGAAAAGCCTAACAAAAAAAGGAAAAAAGGTAAGCACCAATATCCATTGAAACTAGGTTAAGTTACATGGTGTTCAATAGGGCAGATATGTTAAATTCAGCTGTTGCTCTGTGACTCTGGTATATAATAAAGAGATAGTGAAGATATACTATATTGATAACTATGTAAAATGTTTATTTATTCTATTTGTACTGGGAAAAAATTATTTTTATTTCTCTACTCAAAAAATCATAAAATTAGACAAACCCTCTCTATATTCTGATACAACTTTTTGTCATTTATTCATTTTTCTCTACAGGCTTAGTCTCAAACTTCATTCAAGGGTGTTGTAGTTAATCACATTGATTTTAGAATTAAGTATGGTTCTGGTACTTGTGCAATGTTATATAATAATTTTGCAAATGTTACAATAATTTTTTTTTATCATTTCCCATTTTACAGCTTCTAAGAAAGATCAAAATGGTTCATCTAACTGGATGAAGCTGTGTAAGGTAAAATACCAACTTAATTTTCTAGTTTTACAACCATTAAAATGGATGCATTAACAATACAGCATTGTTTTCTGTAAATTAACTAGTTTTTCTTTCTTTACAGGAGCTAAACATTGATGCAAGTAAAAGAAAAAAAAGTCCTATAAAAAAACAAGTAGAAGAAGAAACAACAAAGGAAAGCGATACAAAAAAGTAAAGTATCTTATGTGTATATTTGTATACAATTATTTACATAATTATTGAAATTTCATGAGTGATTAATTTTGGAAATGTATTCATTGTCAGGGTAAAAACTGATGTTTGGTTCGACAATGTAGATTCAATACTTGTTGAAGGTGAGGAATCCATTGAAAGTGGGAAAGAGGGAGATGAATCTAAACTGCAAGATTCAAATGATAAATTAGTAAAGCCGGATTCATTTAAAGGGTAAGTTTTAAAAATTAGCCAACTCTAAATAAATAGGTGTTCTTTGAAAGGAAAAAAAGTATAATGGTGAGTTCAATGCACAGTAAATAAATGCTTTCTATGGTTTGCTTGTCATAGTGTTCCTGATCAATTAGGATTTAAATTACTATATTGTTACTAGTACTCAGTCTTCATTTCTGGTTAACTTTAAATAATGTTAGGTATTCTTATTATTCCATTTTTGTTATTTTTTTAGAGTTGCTATTGCTAATAGAATAGACACCCTATTCAGTTTGGGTTATAGTTAGCTGTTCACTTTGGGTTATTGTTAGCTGTTCAAGTCACTTTCTAAATGGTTGCCCTATGACCATCAGTTGTCAACATTGATTTCAGAGACACCTCTAAGAAAACTATATACAGATTCAAAGGCTATTTAAAATTTAACTATCATTCACACTTTTTGTATACAAACATTCAAAAATAGTACATTATAATATTTTGTTTAAGAAATGCTAATAGTTTTAAGATTTGATATAGTATGTTACAGTTTGTTGAACAGTATTGTATTGTTTAAATATTTAAAAATTTGATTCAAATGAAAAATCAATTAAATAAACTAATAAATGCATGGGATTTGAAATCTTGTTGTAGAAATTATTAAAGCATTGCAGGTTAAACTATTTAAGGGTAAACATATTTGATTTTCTTTCAGACTAACCAGTTGTGTTGCAATGGATTGTGAGATGGTAGGAGTTGGTCCTAGAGGGGAAGACAGCATATTAGCACGCGTGTCCATTGTCAACCATTTTGGAGTTTGCTTGTATGACACATTTGTACTGCCAAGAGAGAAGGTTACTGATTACCGAACTTTCGTTAGTGGTGTTACACCTGAAAATTTAGCCACAGGTAAATACTTTCTATTGAAATACCTTTGAGGATTTGCTTATAAATCTAAAACCAAATACAGTTGCTAATTGATATTGATAGTTTAAAAAAAATTGTAATTGATGTAAAATTTATGCGATGTATATGCACATCAAGCTTTAACATTATATTGCTGAAATTTGTATCTTATTCTGTATATACAGGTGAGGAATTCACTATAGTACAAAAGAAAGTTAGTGATATCATTAAAGGGAGAATACTGGTTGGACATGCACTTCGTCATGACTTACAGGTAACTTAAAAAATTGTATTAGAAACACTAGTGACTTAAAAAATGTTAAAGCTTTATTGTTAGATACTTATATTTTTAAGTTTGATTGTTGTTACATGACTTCAATTATTAAACCTGATGCCACGTAAATCCTAAATATCCTTTTTTTTTTAAATTGTATACAATTAAAATTGAATATGAAGTATTTAGTTTCATTTTTTTTGTTTTTTTAATTTTAAAAATATGTTAATTTTCATAATAGGTCCTGTTTCTTACACACCCTCATAAAATGATTCGAGATACCAGCAAATACAAGCCCTTCCGTGATCTTTTTAAAGGAAAAATACCATCATTGAAAAAGTTAACTGAAAAATTGTTAAACGTAACTATACAGGAGGGCGAGCACAGTTCAGTAAGTAGGGGGGATGTGTACAACATGCCATGTTCATTCACGCAGACACATAAACTTAATCATTCCTGTTTACTATGAAACTTTTTTTGTTAACGTAGTACTGATTTTATAAACTTTTCTTTTTTTTAGATTCAGGATGCCCAAGCCACAATGCGACTCTATACAATGCACAGACAAAAATGGGAAAAAGAGCTGAAAATGAATAAAAAAGTCAAAAAGAAGGAAGACAAAAAGAGTAATTTAAAACAATAAAAATTTATTATAAAAAGTTTTGTGCTCTTAAACCATGTTTTTTCCTTTTGTTCCAAGTATATACATGATCATTTATGTTTCAATGTTTGTCACACCCCCCACCCCTTCCCTAAAGTTCAAACACTAAATACCAGCATTTACACCAACAAATACAAATAAAACAAGTATAATAATATTTATATTAAAAAGAATGAAAGTGCATTAAAATGAAAATAAACATGAATTTTCTGTAAGCATTTCTGAAAATCTTTTCAACACGTTTTGCAACCAAAACATTTTTATTATAATAGCTCAAGAACATTTATGTTTACATTTTTATTTTTAGTGAATTTATAAGCTTGTAATTGTATTAATTCAGGTTTTCATACTTTATTTAGATATTGTTAAGATGTAAGAGTAATTTTTTAAAATTAATACCGTATTTAGCCACTAGTGACCAAAAATGTTTGCTTTATACCTAATTTACTTTATGTTGCTAGTATTTTCTGATAAAATCACTCAAAAATCAGTGCTATTTGCTCCTTAGTAAACATTGATGAAGTCACTGTGGTTTGTTACCAGCATTCGTCAACTGCGACCACCTCATCCCCCTTTGTTATTGAATATGGTAATCTTAATTATTGAATCATTATCAGAGATATAGATTTCTGGAAAGTTAGAAAGAAATCACTTTATTAGAAATTTGTTTAATTTTAGTTAAATATTTTACCACCATCTAACAAGCAGACATTGTAACGTAAGTACAAATTTGAAAAAAGTCTCAAACGCTTCATCTGATTGGTTTTATGACAGCTAAACAAAAACACTTCTGATATTGAAAAAGACTTCATTAAAAATATTAAAATATTTTGGTTATTAGTTACATAAACGATGAAAATAACAAATGGCATAATTTATTTTTAACCATTTTTTTTTATATTTATGTAAGTATACAAAGCTAGAAATGTCATATTTTAAGAGATTAAGTAATAAAAGTAGCAGTATTCTTTTCCTACTTTCTTCATATGCGGAAAATTTCCCATAGGTGAGGGTTGTTGATGGTGTCTGGCCATACGTCATAAACAAGTATTTTTGAAGAACACATCTATATACTAATACAGTTGTTGATGGTGTCTGGCCATACGTCATAAACAAGTATTTTTGAAGAACACATCTATATACAGTTGTTGATGGTGTCTGGCCATACGTCATAAACAAGTATTTTTGAAGAACACATCTATATACAGTTGTTGATGGTGTCTGGCCATATGTCATAAGTATTTTTGAAGAACACATCTATATACAGTTGTTGATGGTGTCTGGCCATATGTCATAAGTATTTTTGAAGAACACATCTATATACAGTTGTTGATGGTGTCTGGCCATACGTCATAAACAAGTATTTTTGAAGAACACATCTATATACAGTTGTTGATGGTGTCTGGCCATATGTCATAAGTATTTTTGAAGAACACATCTATATACAGTTGTTGATGGTGTCTGGCCAGCAGATCCTGAGTATTTGTCTGATGCCGCTGTTTATAAATGTCTGGACTTTATCAATGGTCGTCTATGTTGTCTTCCAACTCTCCACCCCATTCAACAACACCAATTTTATGTTGGGGTTGAACTAGGGCGGCCTGGTGGTCAAGGAGAGCTCACTGGAAGTCTTTTTAGCTGTGTGATGGCTGCTCTTGCTTTACCTATCCTTGCTTTAACATCTGCATCTGTTCCAGCCCTGATAGTCCACAACACAACCTAAGTAGGTAAATCAGAGGCGTAACGAGGGGGGGGGGGCGGACCGCACCGGGTGACACCATTTAGGGGGGTGACACCAAGGCAAAAAATAGCAAAATATATAGAGAAAAACTTAAGGGGGGGTGCAAACCAAAAACTTGAGGGGGGGGAGGATGCAAATTGAAAGTTTGTCCCCGGGAAGGGTCGCTACGCCTCTGGGGGGGGAGGGGGGGTGACACCCGACCTCGCTACGACACTGAGGTAAATATCTGCCTTTCGTCCAAGGGGACTCCACCAAGTTTGGCAGTGTTAATCTTGGGTATTTTTGTCTTTTGCTTGTGGATGTGAAGTCCAACCTACGCTGACTTTTCTGCAACAACGTTTGTTTTCTCCTGCATCTGCTGTTGGTTGTGGGAGAGGTGCGCGAGGTTGCCAGAAAAGGTCCAAGTAGTCAGGTTGTTTCCAAGGAGTCCACTGGATTCTAAGTTTTCTTATGGCTGTCTTCGTTATCAGAGTTTCTTCCAGGCATCTCTTCGAAGAATGTCTACCCCCCCCCCCCCCCGAACGAGATGGATTTTATATAGTAAACATACACTTTTACTAGTGTCCGCACCCCCCCCCCCCCCGAAAATTTCAAGTGCCTCCCCGCAGAAAAAAGTCTGGAAGAAACACTGTTCATTATACAGTCGATGGTAAAAAGGAAGAGGAGTAGTGACAGCAAGCATCCTTGACGGACATCAGTTCCCACCTGAAAACGGTGTTGGCCTACATGGACCACTCTACATGACGTCCCCTTGTATGTGTTTTTAATTAATGAAGTTTACTATTTTCATTGGAATGCCGCAGTAGCGTAAGAGTAAGAGCTTCCAGATGGTATCTCGGTCTACACTCTCGAAAGCTTTTTCCTAATAAATGATCTTATCCTTCAGTGGATATTCATATATATATATATATATATATATATATATATATATATATATATATATATATATATATATATATATATATATATATATATATATATATATATATATATATATATATATATATTCATATATAAATTCTTTCTCATTACTCTCCACTTCGCATAATAGCCACCCCATTCCTTACATAAACGCTTCTCTGCTGGGTATACTCTGCACACAGACCTATGATTAGCAATTTTCATTATTAACTGGCTACAAAAATCAATGTGCTTTTTGTGATCCCGCGTCGCGGGTGTTTTCCATATGTATTATCTTCGTTACACGTGTAAAATAGAAACCAATGAGAATTGAAATTTACAAAAACAAACGGTAGCCTTCATACCGGCTGAAATAAAAATTTTCTAAAAAAAGAGAGTAAGTTATGCTTTTCTTTATATTGGATAAACGCTGAACCCGATTACATGGTCTCTATGAGAAAGGTATTTATTTATTACGTAACCTTGTTTTATAAAGCAGTCAAATGTTCGGTAAGTTATTAACGACAAGACAACAGATCATTTATATAGATTTTAGTAAAAAAAAAACAACGCTGAAGCTAAATCGCGAAATTGCAATTGTACCGTACAAAATAGGGGTCAACATTTCGTTTAGAAAAATGAAATAAAAACTATTCAAATGTATGCCTATACCCCCCCCCCCCTCCCCTCCCAGAGTTTCTTTCAGTAATCTCTCCAGGCATCCACTGCTTCGCCCCCTCCTAACGGACATAATAGAAAAATATTCAAGCCTATATAGTAAATATATTTTCAACCATTGTCCGCCACCATCCACCTTCGGAAGTTTTTAGAGCCCCGCCACTTCCCAGGAGAAAAATGACTGAAAGAAATCCTGCCTTCTCCAAATAATTTTCTGCCTACAACGCTATAATAGGCTACCTAAGCGAGGGACTAAATCGGGGTTGATGGGGTGATGGGGCACTGGCAACTGCTATTAATTTGTGTTCTTAAAAATACTTTTTTATGACATATGGTGACATATGGTCTTGATCATTGTAGGCCCTATTGTTCACACATCTCTATGTGTTACTGGAAATAGCACCTGTTTCAATGATTTTATATCCTGACGGTAAAAAAACAACTAAAACAGTTATTGTTCTTCAATAACCTTTAAAAGCAGCATTGAAGCAACAAAATGTGGTACTTTCCGTAAACAGTAAACCTACGTCACTAGATTGTCACTGATTTTGAAACCCAAATATCGCAGCAAGTAGGCAGTGTTTCTTTCAGCCGTATCGCTGCAGTGGGGGGGGGGGGGGTGTCTTGAGACTTTCGGGAGAGCACTTGATAAAACTTCGTAGGACGGACAAAGGTAAAGGAATATATTTTCTAATTAAATTTATTATCTTTTTCTATTAAGTCTGGGGGATGTGGACATCTCAAGAAGGGGGATGGTATGAAAGAAACACTAAAATCAGGCTTCACATAAAAAAGATGAAAACTGAAATGAGAAATGTTTCTTTTTTACTTTCTCGTATATACGAAGTATAGAGAAAGTATTGTAATCGTGCACAAAAATCACTTGAAATTTTAACAATTTTCACCGTATTACACCTCAGTCCTTCATCACATCCGAAGTATAGAGGACTTATTTTAATCGGGCAAAAATTATCAATCCAGATTTATCAAAATTAAGAGGTTTTATGCGTAATCCAGTCTGAAAAACTGGGCTTTGCAATTCTGTCCGTATGTCTGTGTGTGTGTGTGTGTGTGTCTGTCTGTGTGTCCGTGTGTAAACACGATAACTTGAGTACCGTTACAGCTAGGTTGATGAAATTTCATATATAAGTATTTTATCAAAATCGTAGATCCGTATCAACTTTTGAGCGATTTCCGACAACCGGAAGTGGTACTTTTTCTACTTTGAATTTTTCAAAAGCCTATAACTTGAGTACTATTTCAGATAGATAAATGAAATTTCACATATAAGTAAAAGATCTAATTCTCTACCTTCTGTTAAATTTTGAGTAATTTCCGTTGACCGGAAGTAGTAATTTACGCTACTTCCGATTTCTCAAAAACTAATGTAAATTTATTAAGTACTAATACTATTGCGCACTATTATACACACCTTTATTAGGCGTTCGCTTGGTGCGCAATTGTTTTTTACTGAGATTCTATTATATTTTTAAAAGTTTCAGTATTTAAAATGGATTAAAAATCATAACTATATCCCCAGTTACCATCCCCTGTTGTTTTATATAAGAATATTCGAGAAAGTTTAGGGGAGATCACTACCGGTTTATTTTAGGTTGAGCCGGTAATGACAGCATAGCAAAGGTAGAAAGAGAAAAAGATAAACAGTAAGCCTATAAATTTAATAAAATACATCTGATCTGGGTAATACGACTGCGCTGGAATTTTAAACAGATTTTTATTTTATTTTAGTGTGTGCTTTTCTATTAACAGGCCTTATTTTCTATCTAATACATCTATTATATGCCTACTATTATAACTATTATTTATTAGTGGTCAATCTGTGTTTATTCCAGACATTTTTCTCGGGGGGGGGGGGGGGGGAAAGAGGAGACACACTACGAATTTCCAGGGGTTGGTGGGCGGATACTGGTTGAAGTTAAAAAAAAATACTTTCTATAAAAGTTATTTAGACCTCTTTTTTCTATTTCGTACAGCAGAGGGGGTTGGTGGGTTTTGGAGTGGGTTTTGGGGTGGGTTGGGGGTGGGGGGTGACCGTGCTCCGGGGAAGGGCAAGAAACTGTGACCAATTAGTGATGATGTATTGCAACTTTGGTGAGAACATTCTAAACATTGGCTTTTTCACTTAGATTCTAGATCTAGATCTGTTTCTTGTTTTTTTTTAAAAAAGGAACTAGATCTAGATTCTATGTCATTTAAATAAATGCAACTCTTCTAGGAGTTAGCGGTCCTCAATTTAAAATTTAAATTGCCAGTTTGCAACGACTGCTGAATAGAAGTGCGAAAAAATAATAAGATTATCAAACAAAAATAGGTATCACTATCACTACGTGTGGAAGTAACCGGTGATGATAGTGATTTAGACATTTAGTGATAGAGTCCAGATCTAGAATTCTAGATTTTTTTTTTTAGAGACCTAATCACAATTTTCTACCATAAAACAAAAATTTTAAGTAAACTCTCTGGACTAGGCCTAGATCTAGATCTAGAATCTAGTCTATTCTTGAATTAAAAAATGTCTAGACTCTAGAATCTCGATTTGTTGTCTTGCTCTTGCTTGAGTTGATTGATGATTGATCGCCTGGCATCACTCAACTTGGCACTCACTAAATTGACTAAATCCAGGAGGCCACACTACTAGATCTAGATCTAATCACTACTTTCAACTTACCACCTTTGCACCACATAAAGTAAAAAAAAAAAAGTAGATCTAGACTCTAGATTGTCTAGATCTGTGCTATTTTACTTTAGTAATAGACTATAGTTAACTATTTTCTATAGTATAGTATTCACTAAGTATTCTGTCTGCTTATGCATAGTTTATTCACCTTGCCTTATTTATTATTATTTAGGCCTATAATATTTATATTATATAAGTTATGTGAGGTGTGTTTCATGAGTGTATTTTAGTGAGAATGAATATTGGTGCAGATATATATATATATATATATATATATATATAGGCCTATATATATATATATATATATATATATATATATATATAATTCTCTTCTGGGAGACGCTAGAAAACAAGCTGTAAGCGCGCTCCCTATCACCCCACCCCTACATGGTCTGGTGAGCTGTGGTTCACGCTAAATGTTTACATTAATCATAGAGCCGGGTTTAGTGACGGCTATTAGTTAGGGGCAGATAATTTAGTTTGAAATGATTTTAAACTTAGCGGAGGTAACTAAGAGGAGGCTGCTTTCACGGGGTGTAGGGTAGAGGGTGGGGGTAGTATCATCCTTGACGACCTACTGATAGTGTTTTAAAGCAAATATTTTCAGTGGCAGCATTGGTACAGTCGAATTCACAAATTATGAATTACTGAAAAGTAGAAAATAAATAGCGACGTATGATATGCCGCGGGTCGGCTCGTTATAATCATGAATGAATGGAATTATGATGTGATATGTATGTAGATGTGCAGATGTAAGAGTGATGTTTTGTATTTCTGGGGAGAGAAAGCTTAGTATAGTTCTGTCGAGATGCTTAAGTGAGGTGACGTGAAGTTTCATCAAGTTGGAAAAAAGTTGGTTGTCAAGTAGGAAAAAAGGAACCATCCTGGTGCTTGAATTGGAAGTCTTGAGTTCAGTCTAGGTGTTGTAAGAAAGAGATTGCCTTGTCTGAGTGGTCTGGTATAAGTCTCTGAGGAAGGAAGAAAGAAGTTTTGTTAATTTAATGCATCCTGTTCTGTTATTATTCATATGGAAGTTGAATCAGTACCCACACAGTCCTAACATATCTAATAAATGCAGTCTGTATTACATAATGATATAATTTATTATAATAATATATTCTAATACTGGCTATAATTTATTTTAACAGCAAAAATGGATGACTTTTATGATGATTATATGGATCCAGACATGATGTCAAATGATTTTAGTGACCTCTCACAAGAGGAACTATTAGAGTTGATAGCCAGTCAAGGGGGACAGTTAACACCAGAAATGATGGAGTATCTTCAGGCTCACCACAGACATGGGAAAATGTAGGACTATAAGTGTTACCTTAACTTCTATATCAATAATTTTGCTACATCTCTATGAATTATTGTTACATCTTTTTTCTTTTGTCTCTGTACACTGTATGCTACACAAGATTCTCCACTGGTGACTGTATCGACTTATTATGCTTCAGACAGAATCTCTGTTATATTTTAGTTCAGATCAACAACTTATTTTCTCATTGTTGCTCATTTTTAGCTGTAATTATTTACTTATTAAATTTATGTTTTATGAATATTCAAAGCATTTTATTTTATAACATCTATACACACAGAACTCCTGGTGTGCAAGAACGTTTGCCTGTTTCTGAGGTGTTTCAAAATTGTTTGATCCCAACATGGACCCAAGCAACTGATATGTTGTTGTCACTTTTTATCTTTTGCATAGTGTTCCGTACAATTTGCCAAGTAAATCATATTGGTAAGTGTCTACATTTATTTTTAGTGATCATTAGATATTTTATTAGTAATGAATTAGTAATTTTTTTATCTATCCTGGATAGATTTTTAGACAACCAATTTAATACTCAGTATACTTAATTAAAAGCACAAACATCTTTTATATTAAATAATAAACTGAAAAGTGCTAACAAATCTTTTTCTATAACTAAGTAGTGCACCTCATTATAGACGTTAAAATATATAATTTTTAGGAAAATTTATTTATATCTTTATAAATAAAATGGATAAGTTTTAGTGCCCCAAAAGCTAAACAAAGTAACTCTTTCAAAGTATAGCTGGCCATGTAATGCATTTATTGCTTATACCCTGTATAATCTCCTGCTTTTGAAAATTTAGTTTTTTCTTTTCTTACTTTTCAGGGCTAAAATTTTTAACAGTACCACAATGGGTAATTCATGCTTGCAGTGCCATTTTAGGCATTTTGGCTCTAAAATCCTTTTTAAGTATGGACCTGCTTTATTTGGTTACATGCTGTTTACTCAGTTATCTAGTCCTCATGTTTGTGCATAAATGGAATCGATCTTTGTGTGGCATAGCAGCTCTTGTTTTCATTGTTACTTTTTCCTTAATTTGGTAAATATTCAGCATTTTTGTTTTTTAGAAAAGTTGTAATAAGTTAGTAGTTTCTAAAAATGTACACAAAATAAGTAAAAAATTATGTTATCATCCAATCAGAACATTTTATATTAGAACATATTTATCATAAAATTAGCACATATGCATTAGAACTTCATCATCATTGTATATAAGTATGCAAGGGTGTTATTTCTGAAGGTTGCAAAGTACCAAAAAAATATAAACACTAATGCTTACAAAAAATACAAATTTTTACTTTTTAAAACAAATGATCTGTCTTTGTTGATAAAAGTGTGTAATTATAATATGTAATTAATATATACACATTATATTTTTCAGTGAATTGTTAATTGTTAAACCCACTTTATGGCACAAAATCAGAGGTAGGCCTTTTTTTTTGTGACATATTCACTTCATCAGAGTAATCTTGATGAATAATGATCTTTTAAACACTATTATCATACATGTCAGTATATGTGTTACATATTTTCATGATTAATTAAAAATCATTTCAGGAGCTCACATAATCCTCTCTATGAAGATTATCTCTCTTGGGGTTGATATTGGGGAAGAAGGATCTGTTTTAAATTTGCCAAATATAGTTGAGTATATGGGCTACTGTTTCAATGTTGGAACAGTTGTTTTTGGACCATGGGTCAGCTATAGACAATACTGTCAACTTTTGGACAAAGAAAGTAACCCCTTGGCAAGTAACATTTATTATTTTTACCCTACAAGAACATTGGCAATTAACATGACACATATCCAAAAGTAAATTTTTCTTTGGTTCATTATTTAAGTTGTTTGTCTAGTTTATTTTTTACACATAAATTAATGACTTTTCTCATTGTTTATTGTATCTTATTATTTAGAGCTTTACATGGGCAATTAAAGTCTTAATCACTTCTTCCTTGGCAATGGTGTCGCTTATTTATTCAAATTGTTTCACTACATGGATAATTCTTGATGACGCCTGGAGGTATTTCAAAAATTTAAAAACTGTTCCAAAAAATTAATTTGAAAAACCAGTCAAAATCTTTTGAGAAAGAAAATGTCTTGGAAGATTGAAGACTAGTAGTTAGTTGAAGCAAAAATTAGAAATAATAAAAAGAATTAACAAATAAGATTTTTATCATTTTAGATGGTTGCTGGCCTACAGAGATGCTCAGGCTTTTAGATTCAGTCACTACTTCATAAGTTTCCTCTCTGATGCAACATCTTCATTGACTGGAATAGCTGACAAAGAAGAGTCAGCACTTCAGTGGTACTGGATTCCTTTTTTTTTTTTTTTTTGTTTTAGTATTAATTTTAGAGATCACTATAGTCTTTTTTTATAGAGCAGAGGCATATCTAGGCGAGTGGGGCATATGTTTATATAGGGAAGGTGGGTGTGGCAGAAGCATATCTAGGGTGGACTCCGACTGTGGGTGGTGCAAAGATGGGTAGAAGAAAAAAAGCTTAATCTGAGCTGTATTATTGAATTATACACAGTCAAAGTTAAGAGAATAAATTGCTACTTTACTATACAGTTAATACAGACTTTAATGGGTGTTTTCTACATACTTGTGTGATACCAAATTAACAACTGTTACGGGTCAATGATTGATAAAAACACCCTGACCTTCCAAATTTGGGGGGAGCGGGTGTTTTTTCAACAACCTGCATAACTATTACTATGTATAAATGGGGGTGGGGGCAAAATTTATTGTTTGCCTTGGGAACCCTACACCCCTCTTTAGTAAAGAGATATGCTTTAGCGTTTGGCCTTGAAATCTGTCTTCCATCTCCAGGAATGTAGTAAGACCACATAATATTGAAATACCCAGATCAATGGTTGAGGTTGTTACAAATTGGAATCTACCTATGCATTATTGGCTTAAAACCTGTAAGTAGTATAATAAACCAAGGCTTTACATTATTTACAAACTGTTAAGATTTTAATTTTGGAGCTATATTTACATGAAGTTGAACGACTTGAAACATTCACAGGATAATACACATTTTTTATTTTTAACATTTTGTCTATGAACCTATTTTACAAATATTACAGTTAAGTATTATATCCTAAAATGATTTTGTGATCTTGGACATAACATGAACATATTTTTGTACGTAACTGTTTAATAAGTTTAAACATTCGTATTTAAACTTCGTATTTGTTGCAACTGTGGAAAGAAACACCACTGAATGTTTAATATTTCTAAATACAACACAGTCATTTTAGGTTTAAATATTTATTTAAAAAATCTTTTGTTTACAGATGTTTTTAAACGTGTCCGTCCATATGGAACTTTTTTAGCTATTACTTTGACTTATGTTGCAAGTTCCCTTTTACATGTAAGGCTTTTTATTACATGATAACTTGTTATATAAACCCTCAATTAACCATTTTGTATTCATAGCATTTTTGTTGAAATTTATGAACAACTTTTAATTAGCCAGCTATTATTTATGTTACAAACACATGCCGCTCTCAAAAAAACTTTTTGGTCTTAACATTTCTAGGTTATATTAGAGTTTAAAAGAAACTATTTTATTTATTACAGCGATGAATGATATATGAAGGTTCCAAGTTTTTGAGTTTCAGCTTTTTTTTTTAGAAAAGGATTTTCCTTGCTTTTCATCTTTAAAAAAAATTAAATAGAAAACATTTGCAAATAAATATTTATATGATTTGAAGGCATACTTTGCTTGTACTTAGTTATTTAATTTAGAATATTAATAATTATGTTTTTTATTTTAGGGTTTAAATTTCCAGTTAGCTGCTGTTCTATTATCTTTAGGATTTTATACTTATACTGAGTTTGGTGAGTTAAAAACAGTATATGTAACTTTGCAATTAAAGAACAGCTTGGGACGATTTGTTAAGTTAAACATATTTCGAGCTTATTACTGGAAGACAAATTTTGATTGCTGTCATCTTTAATTTCTAAAATGTTATCTTGTAGCTTTACTTTCTCTAAAAAATCCCATGAAATAATTCATTTGAAAAAAAAAAAGATCTTTATTCTTGTTATACTTTAAATATTTCAAAAGCAAAATTTATTTTTACCAACTCCTATCTGTCCTACTATTTTGTCAATGGGGATTTCAGAGTATGCATGACACTGCAGGGGAATTCCTTTTATTATATAAAGGGGGTTGATAGAAAGTCATACCTATAAAATTTGTTTCAGTATTGAGGAGGCGTCTTTCTCAAATATTTGATGCCTGCATACAGGCCAGAAAATGTAAAGAAAAATGTGAGCACAAATACACAAGTGTAAGTAAATTATTAAGTTATTTCTCAGATGTTAATACTCCTTTTTAAAACACGCATGGAATCTGACATTAGATAATGTAAATTATTGTTTCGTTGCAGAAAAATCCTCTTGTTATATTAACAAATTTGTGCCTTGGAGCCCTTGCTGTCTTTCATTTGGCTTACCTTGGATTGATGTTCAACAATAGTGATGACCAAGATGTGGTAAGAAAAATGCACTAGTCTTTTTTTCGTATTTTAAGCAAAGTTTAATTTCAGCATAAAAGGAAAAAAAAATTCTATTTTTAATTTATTTTACATGATTTAATTGATTTTTAAAAATCCATGAAAATTATTAGAAAGAATATTTTAAAACAATTAACTTAAAAACAATTAATGTATTCTTATTTTGATGAATAGATGATGTAACATCTTTTTTTTACAGGGTTATACCATGTCACACACCTTAGAAAAATGGTCCAGCCTGCAGTTTTTAAGCCACTGGGTAGCTTTAGGAACATTTATATTTTACTGGCTAATTTAAAGAGCCAAGTGTTTGCTTGTTAAAATTTTATATTCTGCTAATGTAAATTAGTTTTTTTAAATTTATAACTTTCTTTTCATTTTGCATGCTATTTTAAAGCATTTTAACAAAGTGAATTTTGTTTGAGTTTATTTTAGGTGCCAAACATTTTCACATAATGCATTTTATGTTTAGTTTTTGTTGGTAAAATTAGATTTTGCATTTAGTTATTTTGTTGTAAACTGGTGAATCTCTAGCTCATGCTTAACTTACAATACAATCAAACAGTAATGTTTCAAAATGCTATTTTTTATTATATTTTTAAATTATAAAGCAACATTTTTTCAACTACTTATATCAATTGTTTCTATCAAAATTTTATTGTTGATATTAAAAATAAAGTTGTAAATCTCAGTATACCATCTTGAACCATTTTTACGTAATCATTTTATAGCTGCCTGCATTGATTACTTCGTATTTTAGATTTATAAAATTCCTTTGGGATTTATTTAATTTTATTATAATGCTGTTTAAATACTCAATTTTTTTAACAAAGAATTATAGGAACATTTTTATTTTTCCAAAACTGTTGGGTTAAGAATTGTCAAATTTTTACAGCAAATGATCAAGAATTATTTCTCTATTTACGCCACCAGATTAAAAAAAAATCTTCATTGTTAATACTTTTTAAAATTTGAAAAAAAGTCTCAAGTTCAAACCCTCTGGCAGATAAGGCTCGATCCCTTCCAACACTAAAAATTAATGACAAAGAAGAATACTTTTTAAAGGTTCTGCTGCACACATGTCCAAAAAAATGTTCGTTTTAAAATATGACTAAAAGTTTTTTTTTACATTTTACAAGAATGATTTTAATATTCTTGTGATAAAGCATCTAATTGCAAGAAGTTTGAATTTTTTCTGTTTATCCTTACAACCCTGAAATCAATCTCAGTCGACAAGTAATTAAAAAGTTTGTCAATCTGCAGTATTATGAATTGTAAAAAGAAATCCAGACAAGAAAATAGACTAAATTTGTCAATACTTATACTTAGAAATTCCAGCCCGTCTTCACTGTAATAACTGTCTTAAATGAGACTAGCTGGCATTGCTAGGCATACCTCAACAGTATGAAGAATAGAGCTGCTGGACCTGTGGATTTCAGTCAGGCTTTTACTCCTTGTCCATCGCTAACACACCACCTGGTTTGGATATGGGTGGGGTTGGTTGATGGGGTACAACCTTTGGTTCTCTGACTTTTAACAAGCACATTCTAACACAAGTCCATGCAGTCCCTTTTACAACAATTATGTTGTCTTTACTTGGACTATACCTTTGTCTACCCTTGGCATTGAAATATCACTTTCTGTTTATATTGCTTTTACAAAAATTAACATTTTGGAATGAAAATAAGATTAAAATATGAATAAGAATTCTATAATGTATCCTGTTGACAGTACTAGTAAAATGTTTATCTCAGTTGCTTACAAGTCTACAGAATAGATCCTACAAGTCTCAGGTGCACTTGATTCAGACATAGTGGAAAAAATGTTTTGAGAGTGTGATACAAATATAGTGAAAACAATGTTCTGATAATGTTCTTCAGCATTACTATAGTTTAAATAAAGATAATGATAGGTATGACTACTATGCTAACTAATAATAATAATGTTAATTCTACTGCTTGTAGCTTGGATTGTGCTCAAGCTATTTCCTATACTGTGGCCTAAAAATGTTATTTTTAAAAAACTTATGGAAATTTAAACAAATGTTTTGTGATTGTTAAGATGATGATAAAAACTAGTCTATATTTGATTCATTTTTTCTTTAAAACTACTTGCTTGAAAATTTTCAAATGCTGATTTTATACACTTTAAAAAAACTTGTAACAATTGTAAAGTCATAACATGCATTGCTGTTTTATCTGTTAAAGAAATTGTTATTCCTGTTTCAAAAATAACTCCTGAACTGTTAAGAATTAGCTGAATATTTACAATATTGTGTATTCTAAACTTTACTGTCTCAATTTCTCTAACTTGCTATACATTCCATTGCGTTTTATAATTAACGTGATTGTAGCAAACATATTATAATAAGACATACATACTGATGGAAGTATGAAATTCATCATCTAAATGAGACTTTTAAATAATTTTTACTGAGCTTTGTGCAAAATGACTGAAAATTGATCAAATTAATTATTTAAAATAAATTTCAACCCTAGTTTCTCTTTTCTTTTTCTTTCTCCCATTTTTGGGAATATGGGCATAATTGTATGAACAATGCAATTTATATAATTGACTGTTTTAAACTATTTTTATTGTTTTTATCATAACAAATTATCAATTTCAAGTTTTAAACATTAATCACTTAAATATATCACTTGGGCATAAGTATATGGTTGTAGTATTAAATCATGGCATATTTATAATCTTGTGTTTTTTTTATCTTTGCTCACTTTATTTTTTTTTGAGTTAATGCGTGCATTTTTAACCACTTTGTGACATTAAAAAGATCATGATAATATGTATTTTAAAATCTCTTATGCTTGTTTGAATAATTTAATATTGTTCTTTTTTATTGAAAACAAACATATACATTATTTAAATTAAGCTAAGTGTTTAATATTGAAGATGATAATAACAGTATTGTTAGTTAACATCTAAACAGGACATTTATGAATGTCACTTGTGATCTGATGGTTTTTTCCATGCAAATATTTATTCTCATTCTATTGGTATTTGCAATGTATTTCTATTACATTGGAATAAAAACATTTTTTGAGATTTATTGTTGCTACTTTTACTATTTTATTATTTTTATTGAGAGAAACCAGTTGTGTGTGTGTTAGTATTGAAAACAAATTGAAATTTTGGTCATGTCTTTACACCAATATTTGTATTATTTTTTTTAAAGTGAAAGAGGTAATTGTTTTAAAGTCATGATTTTCCTCTAGTTTTAAGCTTTCTATTGCACAGACAAAATTATAATTTGCTTTAAAAAGCAACAAAAAATGGATGTTACTGATTACTAAACAGATTGTAGTAAGGATAAGCACACCATAAATCTATTAAAATAAAAAACCACTTTAAGAGAATCTTACATTCTGTATTTAATAACCATGTTCATTAAGTAACAAAGAACAATTGTGATCTAGAAACTGTTTTGAGTGTTACTATGGATATTTATATTTTGTATGGTTTATTAATATTTTAAAGTGTGGTTACAAATCAGTTTTTTTTAGTCTGGCAAACTATTAGAGCTTTTAGGTTTTTCTAATGCATTTCAAATTTTTCATTTTTATGTGTTCATCTATTTCAATTAAAATTCAGTTTTCTTCTATTCAGTATTAGCAATCAATAAAATTATTTACATTATTTTGAAAATTTCTATGGTATATAATTGATATACATTGTTTAAATGTGAACTTTGCTAAATGGATTACATTTTGTACTGGATTATATTGATGACAGTAGTGCAACAACTCAATGTAAAGAAATAAATGAGGTTACTTTTAAAACATGACAAAGAAGCTGAAAAGTACATGACAAAATAAACTTGCATTGAATGGCCACAAGTGTAACATCTGAGCAATGATGATGGGAAGAAATTGTTGAGGGACATTTTTCATTTTTGGGATTTTAAAATATTGTATCTGGATCTTTCTGCCATGTTGTGTTTAGTGAAAAATACAAGAACATGGAATTTAGTTTCAATTTGTATGAACATTAAAGTAGATCTATGGGTAGATCTATGTGTTGGAAAATAATGCAGGTGTGCAAGAAATTTACAGCATTTTTATCGGCATCAACTTGCCATAGAAAAGTTGACTTAGATAGCATTAAAAAGCTTATGGTAAATGTAATGAAGTTTTCACTAGTTTTAAATAGGAATTACACAAGATAGTACTCAGAGGCTGATATTACTATCTCATGGAAGACTTAGCAGTTTATTAGAACCAGACAGAATATATGAATCAATGAAAGGATCTGACTGTGTCTTCTTTTAAAATTATAAAATAGCAATCATTCTTTATTAAAAATGCATACATATTAGCATATCCCATTAAGTGCATTTTTATTCTAAAATATATTCAGTTTTATGAATTAATACTTATAGGTGCATAGTCCTCAGATTTTGCCAATGATTTGTGCCAAAACAAATACAAATTTGGCTCTGATATTTATTTACCAGATCTATTCCTATTCATAACACCCATTCACACATAACAGTAAATAATATCAGTGGCATAGCAGAATCTTATTATTATGGAAGGGTGTTAATTTAATGTTCTATGAAGTGCAAAAATTAATCAGGACTATAACTATCTATATATATATAATTCTCTTCTGGGAGACGCTAGAAAACAAGCTGTAAACGCGCTCCCTACTATCCCCACCCCTACATGGTCTTAGTGAGCTGTGGTTAACGCTATGTTTACCTTCGTGGAGTCGGGTTTAGTGACGGCTATTAGGGGCAGATAATTTAGTTTGAAACGATTTTAAACGTTGGGGGGGGGGGGGGAGGAGGAAGGGGGGGGGGGGGTTATGGTCCTTAATGAGCTCTTTATAGTGTTTTAAAGACATATTTTCAGTGTCAGCGTTGGTACTGTCGAATTCACAAATTATGAATTACTGAAAAGTAAAAAAAAAACAACTAAATAGCGGCGTATGTTATGCCGCGGGCCGGCTCATATATTATAATCTTTATTGTTAAAGCAGTCCTGCTCTACAGATCACAGACGTGGATAACAACAGAGTCAACAACAAAAAGAATCCAGACTTGTATAAATAGGTACCTAAGGAGTATATTAAAAATGAAATGGCAAGACAAGGTAGAAAACATAACTATAGGAGTGGTGTGGATAGGAAACAATAAAAAGGCACATTTTAGAGAGGAAGTGACGATGGATTGAGCATATGCTTCGGACGCTAGTAACAGGGCCCTGGGGTGGAACCCCCAGAGCAAGCAACACAAGAAGATATGGTGACATAGCGTGATGTAACAAAAGGAAGAACTTGGGAACAGCTGAAAAGAATGGCAGGAGAAAGTGGAGAGTGGAAAGCTTTGACAGAGGCCCTATGCTCAGCAAGGAAAGAAAAACTATATCAGTTTTAATTAAACTTTTAAGCAGTCACTATCATTTAATAGATTTTTTGTGTGTCACACATTTGATGTAAAAAAAAAAAAAAAAGTTAAATAACGTATATCCTTAACTTAGACTGTGTATAATTCAGTAATACAGCTCAGAATGAGCTTTTATTTCTCTTTCCTCAGTTTAGCACTCCATTAGAGTAGGCGCATGGGGCGCCGCCCCCCCCCCCCCCCCAAGGCCTAAGCTATGCCTATGTAATATGTATGTCGTCCCCCTTTCTAAAAAAATTAAAATTAGTTCGCCCCCCCCCCCCTTCCCTCCCAAAAGTTTCAAGAGCCCTGTCACAGAAAGCCAGACGCCTCTACTCTATCTTTATTATAGTATTTTTTTTAAAAGTGTAGCTTTTATGAATTTTTTTTTATCTAAATAGCACGTTTATGCACACATACACACACTAAAGTTAAAAATCTTGTTGAGGTTTTTTATTTACAAATATTTACTCTTTCAAAATATGCCAGGTAATAGTTCCAAAATAACTATGACACACATTTTATTACATTTTAGGTTTGATAATTTGACATAGCTATTATTATAATAAAATTGTTATTTATTATAATATTAAAAAAATAAATGTTCAACAGGTAATAAAATGATTGTATTAATTATAAACTCCTATGTTTATTTCTTAAATTTCGTTATGTTCTCTAACTGGCAAATACGATTAGCTCGACTGCTGTTTTGTGAGGGTGTAGTCAGGGCAAGTGCAATAACTGCTGCAATACAAATACCTTCAAATAAGGCGAAATTTATTGACTAATTAAGTTATTGTAGGATATTTTTTATACCTAGATTGCCAGTTAATTGAATAGCCATGCCGGACGTTGAACACTTGCATATTGAAGATGCTTTGGAAGACAGTCCCCAGGTAAGTTAGTTGAATGATAAAATTCTTGATCTCGAGATCAATAAGAAAAGACCTAGCCTAGATCTAGATTTTCTAAGTCCTAAACTGCTAAACCAAGGCCGAAGTTAAAAAGCAGCTAGATCTAGATCTAGATCTAACTATTAACTAAGGCTGCTAAGCTGACTGAGACTACTCAGACTATGTATGGCTGTATGGCTATGCCATTCTAGATCTAGAATATCTCGTAATTTAGGTAATCCCTTAGTTTAGCGTCGGAAATTATCCGGTAATGTTTGTTGAGTCTCGGTAACTAGAGTTACGGTAAACCATGGTTTATTTGACCATTGAAATATAAATAAATTGAAAGTCGATTGTAGTAAATTAATGTTTTAATTTTTTAAGTTTAATCGACAAAAGAAAACAAGAATAAATATAGACTAGATCTAATAGAAGTTTTAAATTAGTAGATCTAAAAAAAAAACATATATTAATATAAATATAAATAATAAATAATGAAGTCAAATGTAATAATTTAATGTTTTTGGCTTGCAGCGGATTTGCGACCATTAATTAATTAGATCTAGATCTAGCTAGATATCTAGCTGCTAGGCCAAGTTAAAAAAAATCTAGATTACGAAAATAGTAAAAATGATTACAAAATGTAAAAATGATTACAAAAATAAATCTATCCAAATTTTAAATATTCTGTATAAAAATAAAAGATGACGCAAAATAAAGTATGGTTTACAGTACTTCCGGTGAATTCCGGAAGTGTGTGACAGACTTTGACATTGTTTTACTGTTTTTTACTGCTATACGATTCCGGAATAATAACCGACGCTAAACTAAGGGATTACCGTAATTTATTAGGGATTTAGGTAAAAAAACACTAATCATCATATAAAAATAAAAATTACATATTCTTGTAGAGCTCAACTATATGAAAACAAAACAAAAAAGATTTTCTGTCTAGCTCAAATAGTTTTTTTTTGGCAAATTTTTTTGTGAGGGGTGGAATCCCCTTGCTTTTGCATTGGCCAATTGTGACAAGTCATGGTATACCTGAATAAATTGAGCATAGTTATTTTACTTGCAGTTGTATTTTGTTCATATTTGCAGAGTTTAACTAGAATGATATATAGAACTTGTAAATGCTGTTGAAATTAATAAAAATAATACAGAACTTATATTTTTGTGTTGGCTTCCTCCCATAACCCCAAAAAACTGTGCTGCGCAAATATGAAAATGTTTCTAAAGCCATATTTTATATAAATACAGCAAATGAAAGAACTACAAAGTTAGAAATCTAAAGTAAATGACTTGAACACTGTTATGTGCATATAATTGCCTCATTATTTTGGGCAGGTGAAGTAGAGTCCATCTTTAAGCCATTTTGTTATAAAACTGCTGCGCAAATATGAAAATGTTTCTAAAGCAATATTTTATATAAATACAGTGAATGAAAGTAAATGACATGAACACTGTAATGTGTCTATAACTGCCTTGTTATTTTGGGCAGGTGAAGTAGAGTCCATATAAAAGTCATTTTGTAATAAGTGAAATGAAGTTATCAGATCAATGTTTTTATGTGTGTATTGTGTATAGATTCTGATTTTCAGCATATAACTATATCTAAGGGTGAGTAGAACTTGAACACTTAAAATTACAGTTAGCACAATGTTAGTGTATAGCAACAGACAGGTAACCTAGATCTAGGTCTGACTCTTGTCAGTCTAGAGTCTAGTCTGACAAAATTGGATGTTTAGGAAAAACATATTCTAGAAAACTAGAACTAGAGCTGAAAAAATTAAAGATGGGTATGTAAATATATTTTGAAATAAAAAATTAGATTTGTTTGCACATGCCATAAGATTGCTGTTATTAGTTGATCAAACTTAAAGGCAGGAAGATCGGGATGAAAAAATATAACAATGGTGGCAGCGTGACCTACATACAGTGACTACGTTCGGAGGGGTATAACTAATGTCGGAGTCAAAATATCCAAAAACAAATTTCATTTCCAATTACTTAAGATATGTCTGATCAGTAATCTACTCTCATCTAGAGGAATCTTTTAAAAAATCGAGATTCCAACGTATTTGAAACTAACCTTGATACAGGGGGAAGACCAAAGCAGAGACAGCATGCAATCAGGTCGCAAAGCCATTAAAACTAAGGGACAACCACTCTACTTCTTAATTAACCTTAGGAAATGACCTTTTAAACTTAATTAATTACCATAAATTTAAACCTTATTAGTATGCAAAACCAAATCTCGTGGGTCCGGTATCAGAAAGTAATGGGCGATTTCGGGTCATGTTTTTACCGCGAACTCGGCGGATGCCGACAACCCTAAATTTATAAATCTAGATCTAGATCTAGATGTAATCTGATGTAATATCACTCAGACATCAGTGCAGATTATATTATTTATTTTTTAGCGCAATTTCCATTCTGGAGAATTGCGTTTATTAACGCGTCATTTCTGGGAATGGATGGATGGATGAATGAATGTATGGATGAATGTGTGTCCGGGCTTTAAGTCGTATCTCCTCCTCAACGAAGCAATATCGATGACTAGTTCCAAAAGCAATTATGTTAAGCAAGTTACGAGAATGAGCATAGGCCATAAAAATTCCGGGTTTCTTTCATGTATTTCCCGTAAAAGCCAAAAAACCTCGAAAAAATGCAGTTTTTGGCCCATATCTCGGCAACCAGACCACTTAGCGACTTGAAACATGTACCAATCGATTCCTGCCATAATTTAGAACAATATTGCCGAAGAAAGTTTTCAAAAATATCCTCTCGTTTAGTCACAAATTTTAAAATTACATAAACACCTACAAACCGATCGTTCTTCTAGCTTGAACGCATCCCAGCATTATACGTCAGAGCTATTTTTAGATAACATAAGGAAATTGCGCATAAATGTCACTAGACTTTTTAATTAACTTGTTTTAGAATATAGATAATTCTAGATCTAGATCAGCAGAGATCTAGAATCTAGCTAGAGTTACCTATCTTCTATCATACTCATATATTGTCATATAATATATCTTATAATAAAATTAATAATAATAAAAAATATACTTAATACTACTACTTAGTACTACTGATAATGATATACTGAGATACTCAGATATAAGCCTACCATTTGGATTTAACTAATTTACTAAACTTAAACTGTCTTAAAGAATTTAATAATATTTAGTAGTTGATGAATGATGTGTCTATCATGATTGCCTACTATAAGATTGCAACTTAAATTTAATTATTAATTGAATTAACTATTTAATTAACTAGCTAGTTGAAGTACAAAAATAGAATCTGCTAAGGGGTTGTCCATAAATGACGTCATGTGAAACTCGTAGGGGTCCGTAATTTTGTGAAGGTGTTTGGGGAGAGGGGGGGGGGTTCACTGTTTTGCATTATAAAAAAGGAATGTTAGATAATAATTTTAAGCCGCGTTTTAGAAAACGGTTTTAATAAATTGTAATAGGAATTGATCAAAATACTCTATGTTGACGAAGTTCTGACAAGATTTTGGAAAAATTCAATAGCAATTTTGAGGAGGGTTGTAGGCTGAGGTGTGATGTCATTTTAGGGGGGGGGGGGTCTGGCTTTTTGTGATGGAGGGGAGGGGGGGGGGGGGTGATAAAAATTGTCAAAAAAAGTGTGATGTCATTTATGCATGACCCCTAACTAGTGCAGTTATTATTGTTGCTTACTAAACTGGCAGATTTAGATTGTTAAAATTTGCAGTCTTCTTTCAGTCAGTCAGTGATTTGGTTGAGTTTTGATTCGGAGCTAAAAGTTAATTTAAAGCTGATAGATCTAGCACCCGTTTGCCTTCAGTGAATTGTAAGCTGACTACCACCAATATATCATTATCAACAAGACAGGGTCCTCACCTGGAAAAAGGTAGACCAAGAAACACAATGAATATGATACTACAACTAAAAGCGATTTAGGAAAACCTGCTCAGAATTGAACTGTCTGTAAAATTTTTGTCAGCAGCCTGGGTCCAGTGAGATAACAAGCTATCAACTAAGTCTAGTAATTAAGAGCAATAATAGTGAGAGAGATTTGTATCTATTGATCATCTATAGCTAAATGAAATATAGTCATATTTTATACTTGTGTAATTATACTAATTATAAAAAGGCAATTTAGTTAGCAACTTTAAGTAATATCTGAATAAAAAATACACCATTGTAACACTAAATTGAACTCAAAGGATTGACTCTTATTACTATGTTCAGTGAAGCAGATTAATGCCTTTAACATTATTAGACATTTTAGAAGTTGTTGTTTTTTTTAAAATTGAAAATATGACTACATGCTAAAATTTAACAAAATCACAGTAACAAACCAAGCAGTGTTAGCTATTACACATATTATTGTTATTTCAAAATGGTAGCTAGCAAGTAAAGTGAAGCCTATTGAATAAGACTCTGTGATATTGATAATTTTTTACTAGAAAAGAGGAAGAATAGTTTTTATCAGGAAGGTAAATCTGGTATTAAAGATAAGTCTTGAGTAATAAAGATTTATTATATAAGCGTAAAGAAAAAGTAGATCCATGTAGAAAAGTAGATCCATGGTTAAAGACCATTTGTGGAATATTAAATCAAGCAGAATATTATGTGATAAATACTATTTCATTTAGCCTGCTTAGAATGATATTAGAAATTAAACTAAAAAGAATTTCTCACCTTGGCATAATGACGTAGATATAGAAGTTTTTAATTCCAACTAGTTATTTATAATAGCATTTATAATTTTATTTTTGGATAGACACGTCATCTATTGACAGTGTTTGAAAAGGATGCAATGCTCTTAAAGAAGTTTACACAGAACATGCACAATTGCTGCCAACGCATAATGAGTGCCCAGGTAAATTCAAAGCATAATAATTATTCAAATTAAGTTTGCATTCAAATGGCATAATAGCATTTTTAATTACAAATTTATTGCAGTTCGTATTATTCATACATTTTTAATGGATACATTTTTTGCATCATTTAGCCTACGTTCATTCTTATAATTTTACTAATTTTATTTATTCAGAATGAATTATGTGCAGCAACTCAGTCATTAGCACAACATTTAAGATCTTTTGGAGTCCAGGTTTGTGCTTTTTACAAAAAGTTCTGTGTTAATTGTGTTCATCTGTTTAAATTTAAACATGTATATTAAAGGGGGACAGTAATCTGTTCAATGAAAGCATGACTTAAATGAGCGGTACGGTTAGTTATTTTTTAATATGCACTAATAGAATATTGGTAAAATTTAAGAAGTTATTTCATTTGGATTAGTTAATTTCAAACTCATTTTACAACAGGTCTGACATGACTCAGTGGAAATAAACTTGCTGGCCACATAATAGTTGTATATAAAAGAAAATGTGGGACGTGATGGTTAGGCATTATAGCACACATATGATAAGGAAAATAATGGCAACTAGGCATAGAACTGACCACACTATCCCTCAATATTCCTAGGTCACATTAACAAATGAATTTCATCTACCTCATCGACAATCAAAATGATAATTTTATAACAGAAAACAGTGCTCTTCTTAAGCGTTTAATACATATATTATTCCATTTAAGAAATTTCCCCTGGAATCTGAAGACAGCGTGTTATCATCCACTTTACTGCAATTTTCAACATTTCTGGATGATGTAAGTAATTCCAACTGTTAACCTTTCATTATTTGAAAAAAGTTTTTGGTAATTATTTTTATTTATTTAATTTTTAAAAATATTTTGGAATTTAGATTAGTTCTGTTCAGCAAGTTTTGGCTCAGCAGTTTTCTGAAACTATGATGTATCCTCTAAATAAATTCTTGCAAGCAGATATTGAAGGTAAACTTTTAGTTTCAAAATTTATCATAGGTGTTCCTTTTTCTTTGAAAACAAATTATTATTCTCAAGTGTACTGCATTTTAAAAAAATAAACTTCCAGCCTGCTCATTAATTATAAAATAAAGGATTATTCTGTAGTCATCATTTTGTAGAATTATATTTAATAATTACTGTTTTATGATCCAAACATTTATTCTTTACCTCATGGTAAATCTTTTCAGTTGCACGATAATTAAACCTACATTTATTATATAATTAATGTAAAAATTATTTTTTAAATAATTGATGTTTCAATTAAATAAAATTTTAAAGTTGTGTTTAATATTGTTTTTCAGAGATCAGTACTATGTATGAAATGTTTAAAATTGCGACTAACGGTATGTATAAATAAAAAATTAAAGAGCACTTACTTTTGCATGTTAAGTCATATATCAGGAAAGGGTCTGTAATGCATGAGCATTTTACAAATAACCTTCTTTGTATTGATTTGAGATACAATTTTGTTCATATTTAAAAAAAATTAAGTTCATTTGTTTTATTAAAATTAAATGCGTAAACTGGACTTATAAACAAGCAAATGTTTTTCACAGAGCATGAACAAAGCTTAGCTAAATATATGAAACAACCAATGAAAAAAGACGACAAGTCAAGGGTTGAGGTTAACGAGGAACTTTATGCCAACAGAAAAAAGTTCCATCAAGTATGAAATGTTAACTTATTTTCAAGACGTTTGTGTTTTCTCATCCTAGAAAGTTTAGTTAAATCAATTACTTATACTTTTGCTGTATGAAATATATGATAAAACACACCTAAAATAGATGGTTTTAAGTTGTTGAGACAGTGAGATATATACATATGGAAAGTGGAGAAAGATAGATAATTGCTAATATTATTACTCTAAGCCAAATTCTGACTAAAGCCCTGACTTTAACAATGATACCAATTTAAATAAAATAAAATTGATTACCAAAATTTAAAAAATTGCTTTCTCACTTCAATACAGACAGCTCTTCATTATTACTCTTCTCTGAATGCCCTTCAGTATAAAAGGAAGTGTTTCCTTTTAGAACCAGTTATGGGCTATCTGCATGCTCAGAGAGCATGTTTTCAAATGGGACAGGACATTATTCTAAGAGCGGATGTTGAAGAGTTTTTGGGAAACATCGGCAGTAGTGTTCAAGGGTAAAAACAACTTCTAATGTATTTTTACTCGATAGGCAGTGTAGAATCTGTAATAATTTTATATGCTCATATGATTGCAGATGAAAATTATTTTTTTTCTGCTGCAGAGTTCACTCAGATTTGGCTAAAGAAACTCAGAAAACAGTGGAGCTAATAGAAAATATAGAAAAACAGAGCCAGCACATGTACCATGCAGAGCCTCCAGCTGACATGCCTTTCATCCCACCTAACACAAACCTAACTCAGAAAGCTGGATATTTGTTCTGTAGAGGGTAGTTACAACTTTTTTCATTTTAATATCAATGTTATCGTAATAAATAGATATTTGTTCTGAATAGGGTATTTAAAATCATTTAATTTATAACATAAATTATATTGTAATAATAGTGTAATTTTGAATTATCACATATTTAAAAAAAAATATTGATATTTAAAATTCTTAGCATTAAGTAGAATTATTTTAAACATTTTTTCACAGCAAGCAAGTTTTATTGACTACAAGATGGGATCGAATGTATTTTTTTACTCAAGGAGGAAATTTGATGAGCCAGACTAAAGAAGAGGTAAACTTTTAAAGAATATTTGTGACTTGTGGAACATTTCTACAACTAGATTAAAATGTTAGTGAAAAAATTATACAGCTAGTATTTGTCTTTATCTTCTATAGTTCAATACAAAGAAAGGATAAAATAAGTTGACTGCATGTTTCACCCATTAATTAAAGGTTCTAAGGATACAATTTAAAAAGTGATCAGTCCTTTTTGAAAAAGTGTGTTTAATATTATCTAGCAGTGTTTTTTTTTAAAACCTTTTTTTTTTTTGGAGACAATATTACTTTAGTATAAAAATATGACTTGTTCTTTAAATATGCTTATTTCATCTAATAGTTTTGTATTCATCTGTGTCTGTTGAACACATTTAATCATTTGATGTACACAATATGTCTAGATTTACGTTCATGTGATCTATTGCATGAACTTTTAACTAATTATTCAGGTTCATAAAAATCCCCAAGTAAGTAAAACTTAGCTTAAGCTTCACCCCAGCCAACCATTGACCTCGTCAAATGACAAAACTTTGAATGTTTCATACATTTTTATTAGTTCTCAAAATTATCTTTTAAAAATTTATAATTGATTCTTACTACTTTTTCTTTTTAAATGTAAATTATTTTTCATAAAATTAATTTGTATTTCATGACAGCTTATTATTATTTAGATGTAAATGTAAAATTACCTACCTTCTGCTTCTCTAATTTATTATTATTAAAAATAAATCCTTAAACGTTCCTTAATTGACTCTTACCTATTTTTTTAAAAATAGAATATTCAGCATGAACTATAAGTTATTTATTACACAATGGTTCAGATTAACTGAACTTTGATGGAAATACATTTACAGCAATGGTAGTTTTCTTCCAATACTATACAACTAAAAGCCTCACATAAAATAAAATTTTTAGAATCTTGCTATATTCAACAACTTAAATTTTTTTAAACAGGTTGAAATGTTCATTACCTACATATAATTGGTATTTAAAAACTACCAGTAAAACTATGTGTACAACCTTATAATTACCTAGCATAAGTTGATTTTATTCCATAAAATAATTGCACTTTTCTTAATTACCATTTGTGAATAATTTAAACCCAAACCCAGTGTGAGGGTGTTGTTTACAGTTTTTGACAGGAGTAGACACAAGTCGTTATGGTGAAACAAATAGTTTTTATCTCTACTTCTCCAGTACCACACCTTCTCTGAGTACCACACTTCTCTTGTTTCAATCACAACCCTTGACTGCCACACACATCCACAGTTACATACCTTCCCCTTACTTCCCCTCACAACACACCCGCTGTTACTTTACCTTACAGTTGCTTCCCTTGTTACCTTCGTTCACTCCGTACAACATACACATCAACAAAACCCCAACAAATAATAAAATAGTAACAGTGCACACAATTACACAGTTTGCACTTCTTTGTTCCACATACACACCTTTCATACATTTCATGTCACACCCAGCTATACTTTTGACTGGCTGGTGGAAAGCGAACATTGTAACTTTGAATAAAATTGACTAGCCTAGTAAAATTTGTATTGTACCACATGGTACATCAAATAAAATATTCTGCTTCAAACTCTCGATTAACTATAAGTACTATTCTTAACTAAACTTTTACCTAAATGTGTACAGAAAATATGTACTTGAGTTAATCAACATGCTTTTTCTTCCTCAAACCAATGTGTACACTTTTTAACAGTTTGCTGGGAGTTTGGTTATGGATTTGAATGAAGAAGGTGTGCTGGTAGAGTCTTGTGTTGCTGATGAGAGGAGACACACATTTCAACTAGTGGCACCTATCTCTAAAAAGTAAGTAAACAAGTACAAGACAAAATGTGGTATGCAAGTACCAATTTTACAAAATAAAAGGTTATGTTAGTACTTATTTGTATACAATTTTTACCATGGTTACAAATTAAAAACTTGACAATGAAAATAGACAATTATTTTGTTACAATTATAAAAACTTAAAAATGCAACAAATATAATTTTAACCTTATAAAATCCTGTGCACATTTATACAAAAGGATTAACCACATTTTGTATTCAAGATTAACAGATTAAAATTAGCTGCTTAGCACAATTGTCCTACTTAATGTAAACTAAATTCTTCATTTTAGGACTGTAGTTCTTCAGGCTGAGAACTATAGAGAGAGAGATGAGGTAATATCAAAGTGCTTTTTTAATTTTTTTCCCTCACTCTTTTTACTTTTATTCTATGTATTTTTCACTAGTAAATGGAGAGATACTGATATTTCAAGGAGTATGAATAAAAGATTTTTTTAAAAATTTTTTTCCCAGTGGATAGCAACTTTAAATAACATTATTCGTGATGGTGGCTATATGAAAGGCAAGCCAGCTTCAGCTAAAAAGAAGGTAAAAAAAAATCATTCACTCTCTAACAGGTCTAAATTTTAGAATTTCCAATAATGTTTTATTGACAGAAATTGGCACTATTCCAGGAACCTCCAAGGAAACTGAGCAATAGTCAGTCTTCAGACAGTACTTCAGGAACTGGTGCTCAAACTCCAGTTGGGTATGGTCTTTCTCTTCCTTGATGTACATCCACTAGCGCTGCTGTTTTACTCAAGTGTGTGCTTAAGGAAAGTTAAATAACAGCATGATGGTTTTATACATTAAGTTGTATTCTACATTAAAAAACTAAATTATTCAAACATCAGAAAAAGTCAGAACAGTTTATTTCATTTACACATTTTTGAGTAAAACTAATGCATTATTTTGAAATGTGTGTGCACTTACATAAATAATATTTTGTTAGGCTTAAAATTGAACGTCTTGTGTTTATATCTAGATTTGTTAAAAAAAGCATGTGTAGAAGTAAAAATAGCTTGAAAAACTGATTTGTTTTAGTTTAGTGTAGTGTTTCTAAAAATGTCTTATTTTATGTTAATGCACTGTTTTACCTATTTGGTTTTTACACTTTTACTTCCTGAGTTGCTGCTTGTTTTTTGATGCTTTCATTTCTTCACACCAACTCTGACAGCTCCAACCAGGTTAGTGTACCAACAAGCATTTCAGCCCCTGGTGCTGCTGACACACTCATCTTGGACACCCCCATCCAGTTTGATTTGGTCACACCCGGTGAAGAAAACAGGGCTATAACCTCACCTCAGTCAGGCCCACCAAAGTTAGTAGTAGGGGTTAAAGGCAGTACATGCTAAGCGACATCACTTTTTATACTTACTTGGGTGAGACAATACATGTAACACTCAGTGTTACATGTTACACTTGGTACAAATCACATTGTGGTGATATCTTTTACTAACTATGGTCCATTGAGCATCATGGTAACAAATGACAACATAATAAATCACAGTATGTTAGTTTTAGAAAATACTAAAATAATGTCTGATCCTTTTTTCAGCTTGAAAGTAATGCATGAGAAAAAGTTTTGAAAGTGTGTAAACATTTTTGTGTCAGTAATTTTAAACTGTTTTTCCATTCGATTTATTTAACATTTCTTCACTTAAATTTGCTGAAGATAAATTGCTTCTCCAGAAACACACTGTTCAAAATCCATTTGAAAAAATGTGCACATCATTATGTCTAGATCTGCCAAGGCAAGGAAAAATAATCCTGGCCATATCTCACAATTATTATACAATTCATTTCATTAGTGCTTAATGTAAAAAAAGAAAACCAAGCTTAAAAACCTTGTTGTGAACAATTTTAAAAACTAGTAAAACAGTATGTTTCTGTGAAAGCAATTTATCAAATATATGTATAGTTTATCCTAAAAAAATTTATTAAAAAAAATTATTGTTGAGGATTTTTTAAATCTAGAAAGTATAAAAAATATGCTTATCAATTGTGCTTTTAAAATATTTTTCTAGCCTTATAACATATAGAACATAATAATTTATTTGAAAAGTAAGTTAAGTTAATAAGATCAAGTAACTTGATTTTTTTCTTAATAACGAGGCTTTTATAAAAAAAAATGCTTGAAAGAACATTAGTAAAGACATTCAAATATTTTGTTGTTGTTAAGTGTTTGTAGACAGTTACTTGTGTTAGTTTAATTTCAGTTCAATGTTTCAACTTATTCTGACATTCATGTATTTTCATTTACCTTATTAATATATTACTAATCTAATACCCATGTCTGATTTGTTTCTATACTTTTTAAATTTGCATGTAGGCTTATTTGTAATGCAAGCTCATTCTGGTTATTGTCAACATTTCATTTACCTTTGAAAACTTTTGGTAACAGGCGTTTGAATCCATTTGACCAGTCATCTGCTATTGTTCTGAATCCAGCCTTTGACAACGCTGCATTTTCTGAGACTTTTAGTACCAGGTTTTTGGGTTCTATGGAGGTGAAAGGAGACAGAGGTAAGATTTTAAACAGTTTTCTCAAAAAGTTTTAATCTACAATGTTTTTTTTTTCTTTTTTTACTAAAAACTGAAGGGAATAACAGCAGTGAAAACAACAGCTATTTTATTTTGTCACCTATAAACAAATCTACTGTGCCTGTGTACAGCCATGTATGGTCTCCTTAGTATTTTCATTATCCACTTGGGTCTCTAAAACTTTTTTTCCCTTTTTTCACGAAAAGATGTTAGATAAAACTTGTTATCTGTAAACTTTTTACCACTCAAATTTAAAAGGGTTTTAATGAATCTTTTATATTTAAAATGATTTTAATTATATCTGAAGGATATAATTTAGATGAAATTGATATAAAGCATAACTAATTTTCAGGCGAACAATTAGTGCACTCTACTATCAGGCAGATAATGGCAGCTAGAGCAATCCATAACATTTTCAAGATGACTGAATCACTCATGGTTGTGTCTAGTGAAGGCATGAGGTACCAGAAAATGTTGTTTTACTACCTGCACTTTTTAATGCTTTATAATCAATCATTGAGAATTGTAAAGAATAAAACATTAAATAAATCCTATGTTTAAGTATTGATTTTGCTGTTTTGGGAACTCAGTCGCATTACTGAATAGTTTTGGGCAATTGGGCAACATTTTTGTGGGTATAGAGAATTACTGCTTGAAATAGTACTATGTCATATTTTACTTTTAATTGCTTTTGTTAATGATTATTTTAGCCTCTATTTAACTGGTCCTATTTTTGTTTCAGACTTATTGATCCTTCCAATAATGTTATCCGAGTTGAGTTTGCTCTGCAGGATATATCTTTTTGGTCTGCTCACCCAGATAATAACAGGTCAGTGACCATATTCTTTTAGTGTTTTGTCTTTTGTTCTTGCCAATTGAAATTACTACTTTGTCCTCACCAACTCATTTTAATATCTTCCTAGATTGTTTGGATTTATTACTCGGAACAGAGTAATGACAAATCCACCAGAGACGAAGTCAGCTGAAGGGGATAAAAATCCAGTACCCACATTTGCATGTCATGTGTTTGAAAGCAACACAACTGCTGAAGATGTAAGATATTTTTAATCTTTTGGTCAGTCTCTTTGAAATATTGAATACAAATCTTTGTGGAGGTTTTTTTTAGTTAGTAACTTATTTTGATAGAATGGCTAGTATATGTTTTTAGACTAACATGTTTACACTAAAAAAACAAGAGGTTATTCTGTTAGTTCCTCATTAATTTAAATCTTCACAATTAAAATTTTTTGTATTTAGTAGTTTTCATCCTAACTCTTAACAACAATGATTCCCCATTCATTAATAACCATGTTCAGCTCACTGGTGTGAAAACATTAGTGAATACCACTCACCTCAGTCAACTGGCTGATTGAGTGATTGTTAGCACTAAATCTGTTATTTCCACTTTCATTATTTACCGGTTGTCTTTTAATTAATGACAAATTTAGTATCATCATTCATTAAAAATTGTGACCTCGAAAACCATGAAAAAGAAGTGTATTTTAACTATAGTTCTTCTGTTAGTTGTAATAGTGTTAAAACTTCACCAACATACCTCAACATTCCTACTCTTCTTTCTAGATTTGCCAGGCTATAAGTACTGCCACCAAAGTTGCATATCAAGCACTGATGGTAAGTGTAACCACTTTTAAATGTCTTTTTTTATAATTTAAATGGTAGATGTGCCTTTCTTTTTTACTCATTTATTTTTTTAAATGTACATATATTATTTGTAACATAGCTTTTTTCATGTTAAATTGTTTTAATGTATTAGTAATATCAATGAGTTATAGAATTAATAAACCTATTGAAACTGTTACATTTATATACCAGAATAAAATGAACTGATGAAAGTTTAAAAACCAATAACAAAATGTCTGAACAAGACATTCTAGGAATCTCAATCTTCCAGATTTCACAAGAATGGTCATAACTGACTATTTACATCAAACTGCTGTGAACTGACAGAAATGAAAATTAAAAGATTAGGTTTTGTTAAAATGATAAACAAACTATTCTATAAAAATTGTTGTTACACAGTTCAGTTGTTTCCCTGTTAAACTAGATATAAACCCTGTTTCTTTATTTTTTTCTTTATATATCTTTGTAATTTTCACAGAGGCGAGAGTCAGAATTACACAGTATGTCTAGTATTGTAATGTTTTAGTTGACTCACTTGATGAAGTTTAAATTTTCTACTCTCTGATGTATGGCTTTTATTCATAGTCATGCTTTTTTATATTTATATTTTAATTAACATTAATTAGGAAAGCTTGGCTGATATGGTCACAAAGTTGCATGCATCCACAATTATTGTTGTATCATTTTATTGTAATAAGAATTTTATAAATATTATTTACTGTAACAATATATTTAAAAACAAACTAAAAGTGAATATTTTTGCATGGATAACAAAATATCTGAATGATAAATATTTATATTAATTAAATATTGAATTAGACACATTCAATATAGCAATATTATCTAAAACAAATTTTGAATTTAATCATAGCTTTAACTAATAGCATCTTATTTATCAAATATTTTCAGCACAGTAGGGCCTAACTTGAATATGTGCATGTTTTTTAGAAGTATAAAGCTTTTATGAAAAGTAGTATATAATTCAGTTGTATAAACCACATGTTTAAGATTAGTTTTATGTAAAAATGCTAGGGAACAGTTTTATAGGAACGAACTGAAATATATAATGAAAAGTAAACTCATGACTATAATTAATTTGAGTTGAAACATTCAGTATTTAAGGTTTAATAGTTAACTACATAGACATGGCTCATTTACTTGGTACAAATCTATTGGGCATGTTTTGCTGTTTTCTTTATTTTTAAATCCATTTTGTGTTGTGCATCTTGATCTAGTTACAGTTGGTCTTGATGTCTTGTTGAAGACTTGAAATCTTTTAACTTAATGTAATCTTATAAGTTAATGTATTTTTGTTACAAAATTTTTTTATAATTTTAATATACATTTTCCAACTTACAAATGTATACATGTCTGACAAATTAAACAGTCAACTATTTTACATAAAGATAAACTTGAAGAAAGTTATCTGCATTATTACTACTATAGTCGCATTGATATTTTAGAAATGATTAATTGTTTGGATTAAAAAGTCATTTTTCTGAAATTTTGTTTCTAGGAGAAAAGGAAGGGAGTAACAACAACAACCACCCCTAAACCAAAGGCTGTGATCAATGAAAAAGTAATCTTTGATTTTGTTTCATTTATTACAAGAGCTCCTAATTAAATTTAAAAAAATATTTTAGAAAGACAACATATAAGTTAATGAGTTTTCCAAAGCTACTTAATTAATCAAAATATTTTTTCACTTAGAACCTTCTTCTGAAGAACATACAGAGTTTGCCTGAAGATTGTGGAGTGAAAAATAACAAATATGGGATAGATGAAGTGGACAGCATACAAGATACTTTGGATGATGATCTAAGTGCACGTCTGCCTCTAAGCCCAGATGGGAAATTCTTAATTTTGACAGCCATTGATGAGCCGCCATCACCAACTCTGACGTCTCCTGTTTCCAGCCTAAAGCAGTCTGAGGATTCTACTGGGGCAGAGGCAGAAGAAAGTGAATCTGAAGCCTAAAATCTTCCAACAGAGGATACCATGTGATACAACTTTTTCTACTTTCTCTAGGGGTGTTAGAAAGGTTATCATTTTCATAGAAAGTTATTGTTTCAAACAGTAAAACATTTTGTTTTTATTTTATGTGGATGAGTATGGTTTAAAACTTGTGAACATAAAGTTGTGGAATCTATGTTCACTCTTTTAAAGATGTATATACTAGAAGTCATAATGTAATTTTACAAAATAGTGTACTAGAAATGGTGAATTTTATTTTTACGGCTACCACTTTTGTTGCTTGTAAATGTAGAATAGCTTTTAATTTGCTTTTAGGGAAAGGATCATTGCTTTTATATTGTCCATTTTGAATTGTTAACATTTAATACAAGTCCCACATGTTAAAACAGTTTAATTTACTATCTTCATATTGTAGCACTTTACTGTAAGAAGTACTGTGCAGCATTTAAAACAATGTTATGTTCTTTAGCAATAGATGTGGCGTGTTTTTGTAGTGTTTGGCCTGCTGAGCCTTGAAATATTTTTTACTCATATAGTCTTTCATCTTTGGTTTTTCTTTTTTACATTTTATTTTGAACTGCATTAATTTCTGTTGTATGCAATTATACATACCCTATGTTATTTTAAAAGAAAATTTGATCAGACATAGCATTATTTTACTTTGTGTCCTGGTTCACTGTTTGACTTACTAGTATTTCGTTCACTGACTTGATTCTGTGAAATTATAACTTATACTGTGTGATGACACCAAGTTTAAAGTTTGACTTGAGATTGCACAAACATTTAATAAGGCTGAACTAGAGAGTGAACTTCAACAATGTAAAATTGATTGAAAAGTCAGTTGTAAATCTGGTCATAGTGTAGATAAAGAATAATGTACACTTCCTTTTTTAAAACTGAATTTTAAAGTTTGTTTTACTAAAGTTTGTGCTGATTATGAGTTGTTCAGTATAAGACTATAAATGGCTTGAGGGTGTGCAGCGTGTGATAAGGTTTGTCTCTTTATTTATACTCATGTTGATGTAACATTTCAAGAACAAATGCTTAATTCCTTAAGATTTTTTGTGAGCTATTGCCACTATCCAGTTCATTAAAAGCAAAAAAGATTGAATTTTTAAATATTTTTTTTTAATGTACAGTCTGTTAATAATTTTTTTTATTTGCACAAGTATTTCTAGCTCAATTTGACTGTGACTTAAAATTTTATATAAATTTTTTTCATTAAGGTGATTACAGAATTTTCTTATTTATTCCTATTTTAACACAACTTTGATAAAAAATGATTTTTTTTGTAAGCTCCAATATGTATATAACCAACTAAAACACGTCATATTCATTTCCAACTATATGTATATTTGGTACTTGTGTAAAAATATATATATTAAATTAAAAATATAATTCAAGCATTAAAAACAAGCTGAATTTTTAGTTTCACCAGTTCAACTGATATTTTCATGGAATTTAATTTAATTCTTTTGGATAATTAAGCTGCCAGATTTATTATAACTTTGCTGCCAAGAGAACTAGTTTTAGTATGAATGCTAGAAGTATGTACTTGAAAATATCTTTCTTTGGATATGCTAACAGTATTTATTTATTTGTTTGATGCTGATTTTAATCATATGTAAAAGGTTTTAAGTTATGTCTTTTACTGGGATGGAATTTTTATGTGCTTTAGAGTTGCTTGAATAACATTCTATAATAATGGTAGCTGGTTCATGGTTAATATAATTTTTTCAAATGTAAAAATCTTAAAGAATAATTTAAGTAATAATTGTGCTTACTAAACTATTTATATGAATATAAAAGTGCACTCAATTAAAGCAATCTAAAGAAATTGAATTTTTTTTTCATTGTTTAATATTTATTATTATTATTTATTGTATTTGTTTTAGTTAAGAAAAAAATAATGTCTTATAGATTGTCGTATATAATGTCTTATAGAATTTGATTAATAAAGTAAAATGTTGTTTGCAGAAATTATTATAATGCTAATCATGTGCCAAACAAGATTAAAACATGTGTATTCTTTTTTTTATAAACCAAAAGAAGTTACATTAAGGTTCATTTAGCTACATTTACAATTAAGTATAAGTATTAGATTGTAGGGAAAGAGTTTTCATTTCAATTAGTTGTCCATAAATTTATTGTTGTATTCATGATTATGCAAACTTACTAAAATCCTTCTGTCAGTTGTTAATTATTGAACATAACAGTGGTTGTGTCTGTTACTGTGTAGCCTCACACTATGATGTTTTTATTAAGATAGCCTTAAATTGTATGTATACAATAGTGTTAAGAAATATTTTAAGTGTGACATGATTTTTTAATAATAATTCATGTACAGTACAGTAATAGAGATTGCATTGAACCACAATTGTTGTTTTAAATTGTTTGCTCTACACTTATTTGGGAAAACCCAATAGAAATAAAGGAAACAAGAGGCTATTTAAGTTTCAAAAGGTTATTTATAAGAATATTTTTAAAAATATTTCTATTTAACTGATGAAAGATTTTTCAGTCCATTTTTATTTTGTAAAAAGTTATAGATTGCTTTAAAATATCCATAGATTCAAATATTAAAATGGACATCTGTCACTTTTTAATTTTATTACTGTATTAGAAGGAAAAAGGATTAAAATATAGTGTAGATCCTGTAATATTATGTTGTTAGATTGTTAATAGAATGATAATTGTCACTGGTTTCATTAGCCTATGCATTATAATGATTGCTAGTGAATGATTTAGCTAAACAATAAATTGAAAACAACTCACTTGTTTGTGTGGATTTCCCTTTTAATATTCCTTGAACAAGTTTATATAAAACTTTTGATGGAAATTTGTTATAATTATGAAATGTTTAGGAATGCTGGTTGAATCTGAAATTTATACTCTTTTTTTCCTGATATACAAGATTTAGCATCTTTTTAACAAATTTTAACAACAAACTGATGTGAAATATATTTCTTTCTTTTAATAATCATTAAGAGGCAATGATTGTTACTTTAAGTAAGCATTTAAAAAAAACAAAGGTAAATATATAGTAATAAAACAACCATACAGTGATTATTTTACAACGCAGTTAATACCATACATTGCTTCTAAACACACATTCAATTAGATATTAAATTAAAATATTTTATGGGCACTGTTTTGAATGTGAACAAATTGAAGTCAATTTTTTAAATGATAAAAGAAGTTAATTTATAGGTCAAGTACAGTGTGTACACAGCACTGCACACCCATGTCTTTAACATAAAAATATTTCCCTAAAGATGTAGCCATTATGCATTTACTCCACACTACAGCTTTTTGACATGTAATTAATTGGGTAATGTCAGATTGCCCTAAGTTTTCCACCTACACCTGTGTGACACTTGCTTCAATACACTCTTGTCCAATTTTTTTTTTCATAAAATAAGTTGAATACAGATAGAAAAAGAAAAATTATTTTTTTAAACAAACCATCTAAATAAAACCAGTCTTATTTTTGTGCTGTATATCTTGTAGTTACACTTGACTACCACTGGTATGTTGTGAAATGAATCCATACGAAGGCTGAAATGTCCCAACCAACTTTCAGACTTTCTGCGACTTGGGAACAGTGTGCCCTGATACAGCTGGTGCATTGGCTGCACTATTTTCTGCAGCTCCAATTTTTTTACGCAAAATTTCAGACATTCCCGGTAGACGAGAGAAGTAATTTCTGGCAAAGTTGTGTTTCTGGGTCACTTTGTGTATAAACACCTGGCCATATCCCTTTGGGAAAAAAGGTCATAGAAAAAGATCAACATTTGGTGTTGATTTATATGGTCTTATAAAATCATTCTTGGGAAATAAGGAGGTTAGTTTTGCTAGTGTTGCTAATGAGGTCAAGTTTAGGGTCAGGATTAGTGTCAAGGCTAGAATTGAGGTATCAAGTAATGCCAAAAAAAGCTTTGATATACTCAAGTAATGTTTTTATATGTACCATTTTAAGCAATGTGAAAGGTTAACAGTTGTATTTTGTCAAATCTATGTTGGCACTAGGCCGTACACCCAGTGATAAAACTCACCTCTTCTAAACTAAAGAGCTTTTTGTGAGCCTCCGCCTCATCATGGGTGAGTAGGATACAGTTCCAGGGAGACCACTCCTGGTGCTTGTCCCACCTGACTAGCGTCAGGTCATATATGTCATCCCATGCACTCAACACACTTTGGTTGCTCCAGATATTTTCAACCAGGTACCGCAAGTCAATTTCCTGTAGTAAAATAATTACTTGTTAAATATCTAGGAGTTTACTTATGTTTTTGTCTAAAATATAAGCCTTTCTTTAAAAAGAAAAACTGTTAAACTAGCAAACATTACCTGTAGAAGGTAGCATATGCTGCTTCCATCTTGGATAGCTTCTTCAGACTTGCGCAAAGCTTTAAGCATGACACGATAATAATTATGATCCTGCCTTTGCCTCCCATCATTCTCAATCTTTTCACATTTCCTACAGCGACCCACATTGCTTGTGTTAGATGTAATGAAAAACTCAGTGGAGGGCAAGTAGGAGCCACAGCTGTGGCAGTAGTTGATGTTCTTGCGCAGAGTGCTTGGATCTTGAGGAACCTACAATGTTAAATAAATATCATTACCAGAAATTACCTTAGCTTTCAAGTTAAAAATATCAGAGATAAACCTAAAAAATAAAATATTCAGAAAGATTGCAATTTAAAATAAAAAGAATTAATTATTTTATCAATTTTACCTTAAATGTATTTTTAATAAGCGAAGATACAGACCTTAAGAAGTTTGGCGGCTTCTGGGTTGAAGGTTGGTGTTTTAATATATTGTAAGAACAGAGTTGATATTCTCTTTCTCAGGCCTGTTAAGTTACTTTCTTTGACCCCCCTCATCAAAAGATCAGCTTCACGATCAATAAGTTCAATAATCTCCTGTGTGAGCTTACAGTCATGCTCCTGCATACAATTACATTTTTCAAATAGTAATTTTAGGTAGGTTTTTATTTTTTATTTTAACATTCCTAATTTTTTATGTTGCTTATCTTGTAGTTGCCTACAGCTTTCAATAACACAGCTAAAATAATAGTTATTGTAAAATTTGCACTAGAGCTTTAGAAATATGGATCCTTGAGTTCACCAAAGCAAGATGGGTACTTGACAAGGGTTGGGGAAAATAGAGGTGCCTGTCTATACTGCTGACCACTCATTATGTCATGTTTAAAGAAACAGATAAACTCTACTTCATCTGCCGGGTATTAAAGGGTACTAATGGTAAATCTTTAATTAGAATGGTAGCGTTGAAAACAATTATTCCCTTGTTAAAAATATTCTAAAATGATTTGAACATCTATGGTTGCCTACCTTGACAGTGTGCTTGAGTGTTAGTAAAACATCCAGTCGTTCATCCTGGGTTAGATACTTCATGTTGATGCTATTGTAAATGTCTCTCAGCTCCTTGGCCCGCACTGTGTATGGGGTGTCCATGTATGTGAGTTTACCATCATGTCCTGCCCACTTCTTTGGGGCTGCAGCCTGTTTAGTTCAAGGAAAAAGCAGTGACATATGAATCATTTTATCAACCCTTAAATTTTTTATTTTTGGGAAGCTGAATTAAGAAAGCAAAAAATATATCTTAAAAAATGTCAATTAACAAAGATCATATAGCAACATTTAAAAAGTAAGGGTTTAAGTTAAAATAAATATATCAAATCAAGTTTAACGTTAGCCTATAAAAATTTAATAATTTGTTCCTCTTATAATATAATAGTAACATAAACTTAAAAACATAAACTTCCTTACTTTTTCAAGGAATGCCATAATCCTCTTGTCCCTATTCTCAAGACTGGCTTCATTTTTGTGGCGCTCAATGGCAGACAGCAGCTCTGTTTCTTGGTCCAGCAGCATACAAAGTGCAGCCTTGCGCTCAGCTCCTGTCAGTGTCGTGTTAATCCTCTCTATTTCCTCAAGCCTCCATTCTATCAATAAGTTGAAAAGTAGATATGATTTTAAGACAATGGAAATAATTGCCTGATTATCTTCTTAAATTAAAAAGAAATGTGACAATTACTTTCAAGACAATGAAGCAGCATATCAAAATCAGATTTTGATTGTGGATTTATACGCCTGGCGTATTCTCGTTTAATACGTTCTTCTTTCTCCAACTTCTTTCTTAATTCTTCATTTCTTTCCCAAGCCAATCTCTTTTCTTTGTCTTCTTTCAGTTTTTTAACATAGCGTTTAGCAAGCCAGCGCCGATAATTCTTTTGTAAAATAATTACCTAAAAAAGAAGATATAATTTCAATTGTATTTACTTTGCTTATAGATAATTCTTTAAATAAATATATTAATGAAAAAGGTTTTGGTTCAAATAAATAGTTCATAAAATGGTACATTTAACCTTTATTATACTGCATACAAAACTACCTACACATACTAAACTATAATTAATAGCATCGGACAACTTACTTTGCTGAGGACTAAAGCCCAGTATTCATCAGCAGTGCAGTACTCCCCTGGCTGGATGAGCTTGTCTTCAGCATTGGACACAAAGAATCCAACTCCAGTCATCTGTGTGCTGGTTGTGTTCATTGTTTGTTGAAGCTGTAGGCAACAAATGCACCCAGGGTTACAAAAACAAATGATTTGAAATAAATATTATTACACCAACCGTGAGAACTAAACAGTTTTTAAGAGGCTCAACCTTTTTACATACATAAAAATAGTATATTAAAAAAAAAGTAAGTTATCAGTGATGGGCCATCCTATTTATAATGCTCTTTAATGAATTTTTTTCCAAAAAGCAAAGAAGTTATGTAACTATGGAAATTTAACATTATAGTAACAAAGTCCAATAATGCAAGCAAACAATAATTTGCCCATACTACAAAATAACATTTTAAAAAAAAGATCCTTAAAAAGATTTTTAAAATAAAATACCTAGACATTGGATTAAGATTAGACACAATTATCCCAAAAGCTTACTGTATTTTTTTGTTCACAAGTTTGTGTATCCCTACAGAATCTCTCCAATGTGGCAGGTGGTCTCTGCTTCTGTACAGTTTGTGCTGAAGCATTGTGGTACTCTATACCTGTGTTTTTGTTACGAAAGCCTCCCAAAAATGGTTTTTTGCATCTTGCCCTTTCTATTTCAACCACAACATCTTTTGTTTCACAATCTTCTGCTCAGAGAATAACACATTTAAACTTTTAAATGCCTTGTTTAGAATTATTAATTTTATAAATGTCATTTGACTTTTATTAATTTTATTTTATTTGATCAAATGAAAGACCAACTTGAATTTATTGAAAATTTGCAATGATTAAGATCAGACAGTAATAAGACAGCAATAGTTGTGACTTATAGGCTACCTGTCACAACTCTAACAGTTATAACATCAGGCATGTGGTACTCCTGATGTGGTCTATATGGCTTCAAAGGTGCATTCAAAGGATCTGCTGACTGGATTTCAAGCTGAACAGTTCCATTTGGTCCCACTCCCAATTCTGCTAAAGTAACAGTACTAGATAAATCTTTGCCTGCAAAGAAAATAAACATAAATGATTAAATGAAAACATTTCCTCTTATAGTATAAACTGGAACAAAATATTTCTGATTTCACTTTTAAGGAAACCACTGACTAACTACACTTAAGGTTTATCATTTATTTTTTATATTATTAAAATGTTAGTCTTTATAGAACTTACCATCAAACAAAAGCATAATGAGAGAAGATGGCATCTTCAGTTCATATGCGAAGTGTGATTTTAATTCTTCCAAAGTTTTTCCTAAGGTACAGGCTAATGTAACCACTTGACCACTGGGCATCATAACAAACTTGACTGAATATAAAAAAATGCTTGGTTTTGTTTATACAGCTTTAAGATATTTTATATAAATTTTAAAATAAAATTACCAAATAATGAGATAAAAATACTTCAAACCTGTAGCAGTGGCATCCAAATTCACTCTAAATTTTTTGTCTAATGGAACTACTCTTTGACTTTCCTGTTGTGGTGTCCTAACTTCTGTTCCAACTTTGGATGAAGAGTCAGTATCAATATTCTTGGACTGATTAAAATCTGAAAACAAGAGCTAAAAAATTTAATATGTACACAATTAACTTAATAATATTTCAAACTTAAGAGACTATTATTAACATTCTCATTTAAAATTAAACTTTGCGTTTCAAGTAGGCCTACCTATTTCTAGACCATCAGCATCTGTATCCTCTATATGCCCATTTCCATTCACAGCATTCTCATTCATTTCCTAATGAAGTGAAATTTGTTCTTTAAATTCAATGAATTACTATCTTTAAAAAAATATAAATTACCTTCTACAGCTGTCAATCTTAATATAAAAGCTTTAAGTTACCATGTCATCTTGTGTGTAGTTTCCTGTGTCATTTTTAACAACCTCTGATACAGTTTGATCATTGTCATGCTCAATTAAATATGTTCCTGCCATATTTTCTTCTGCTTGATCAGGTATAATTTGCACATTATCATTGCTAGTTTCTACATTAGAATTGAAATCTTCAGTATTATTCAGGTTTTCATTGTCTTCTATTACTTTATTTTCTTGTTCTTTCCCATCATCATCTTCTACGAGGTTATTGCCAGTAACAAATTGTTCATTTTGTTCTTTGTTGTGATTAGCTTCTTCTTCAGAATTCTTAAGCTCAACATCTCCTTCTAATAAATCTTCCTCTGTGACTGCATCAGCATTATTTTCTAGATCTTCTTTATCTTTTGTATCTATTTCATCTTCATTTAATTGATTGTCCTGCCTTGCTTCACTGTCACTATAGGTAACTTCACCATTTTCTGCATTCTGAATATTCTCACTATTTTCTTCATTTAGAATTGTTTCCACCTCCTCTACCTTTTCTTCTACATTAGATATTTCATTTTCTTCATTATTTAGTTCATCATACACTTCTTCTGACTCTTCTTCTGCCATACTAGATCTGTTAAAATATATTTAAAAGAAATGTTTTAAAATATTCATATTATTTATCTCTTGTTCCAATTTAATGATATTAATTAAATATCTGGTTCTCTTTGGTTAGATAGAGATAATATTTCATGCAAACGCCTAAACCCTACTCTAACCATAAGGATAAAATGTTATTTTAACAATCACCAGAGAAGCCACATTTATAATGAATATTGCTTTGTGTACACTTATAAAATTGAGAATCAGTTATTAATTTATTCTTGCCATACCAACCCTATTTCTGAACTAATAAGAAATTAGGTTGTCAATTCACTAAACTCTAAACTCTTAAACTGATTTCAACACTAAAATACTGTGGTCACTCATTTTTTACTTTATTTGAAGAAAATATTGTAAAATTAGAAGTAGGATAGAATAGTAGGATAGTGACATGAGATGGGTTTAGTGAGCACACTTCTGACAATCTGTGAATGTCCTGCATTTTGTCCTGTGAGTTGTAATGTCAAAATACAATTTTGCCCTTATAGTGTATATATAAATATATATATATATATATATATATGATGTCTCAATTGACATGTGTTTTGCTGCAACAAATTAGATATTGATCATATTAGGCCTATTGTGTCTGTTAGGATATATTGTGAACTTTTCTGATGATCTTATGGTAAAAAACAATGTATTTGAAAATAAACAAATGCTTGCAAATATGACTACAGCACAATTCTAGCTTGGATCTGCAGTTGGATGAACAGAGTATATCTTTTTTGTCTATGCTTTACAAGAGTCAAGCTGTATCCCTTAAATTACCTAAGTTAAGACGACAATAAGTTACGTTACTCACTATTGCCTGTCTAGATCTAGAACCAACTTCATGTAGCAGCCCCCACTTGACGGGCACTTGACTATGGCTGATCACAATTCTAGATCTAGAATCTACTAATTAGAAAAATAAACTAAACATTGTAGTCCTATTTAAGAAGAATTATTTATAAAGTATAGGACTGGATCTGTATTTTAAAATACTTCTTGGATATTTTCAACGATAAAAATACATCAGAAAACACACTTGTTTCAGAACATTGATCCTTTTCACCATAGGGCTGCCGCCATCATTGTTGACTTGTTTCTATGGCAAAAGCAATGCCGGAAAAAACGACGAATAAAAATTCGATTAGAGGACAAAATCCAATCAAAAGCTTGTACTCTAAATTAATATGCCAGTTTGTTATGGGTCAGAGTTTAAAATTTTTTTTTACTAATTTTATTCATTGGGCTTAAAAGAATGTTCAATTGATTCTGATTGAATTAGTATTACAAAATTAATATAAAGATGTAAACAATAACATAGATAAAGACTAAAAAAAGAGAAAACAGGTGTAAAATATTTGAACTATTATTTCAATGAAACTGGCCAGTCAGCTGCTATGGACGCGGCTTTTATAAAAGAGTTTCATTGAAAAGGACCGACCAAGTTTTATTGATGTTAGTTAAAGAGAACGCGTAGTTCTATAGCAATATTATTAAAAATAGGCCTATAGACTTATTTTATATAATCTATATCGAAATTTATAGCTATGCAGGCATATTTTAAACATTAAGGTTAGATTTAGATACAGATCTAATAGTTAATTAGTTAATTATAATTAGTAATTTAGTAAAATTAAGTTACTAATATAAGTTATTAAGTACTAAAGAAGTGACTCTAAAGTCAGTAGTAGTAGATCTAAATGCAAGTAATTTAATTAGTAATAATAGTTAAAATAAAAGGCCGACTATTTTAATATTTTAAATTTATATTAGTATATTAGAATTAATGAAGTATTATTATTATGATATTATCTGAATCTAATGTCTAATATTAATATTGCTAATGCTATAGATAGTATTAATAAAAAAAAAGTCTAATTAATAAGAAACTAAGATCTAGTTCTATAAATTATAAATAGTTTTTTTTTATACTATAATAATTAGTATAGTAGTAGGTTTGAAAAGATGGAAGGGGGTCGACATGGTTGAGTCGGTAAAGCTCATGGTTGCTAAATTGAATAGTCTTGAGTTTGAACTGTTGGGCAGATGAGGCTCTTTAGCTGGGGACAGCAACTCTTCTAGTAGAGACAACTCCAGAATCAAACAACTGCTGCCTTGTAGTCGGTTCTTGGTTGGACAAAGGCAATGGAAGCAAATCCCCAATGGCACATAAACATTTGACATGTATACCTAATTGTGTTGGAGGGGATACCTTCCAACACTAAAATTAAGAATGAAGAAGAAGCGATGGAAATTATTTTTGAAAACCAGTTCCTATGCCATTCTATCATTAATTCTTTATTGTTGTGATGTTTTTGTCAATTTTGCCATCAAAGCAGTCGAAAAAAATCTACAAAAACTTAATGATGACTTATTTTTAGAATCATTGTTGTAAAGTATAAAAAGTTGCTGATATCTTTATTAAACAAAATTTGATAGGACCTGCTAGTGCTAGATTTCTTTAAAAATCCAAACATTTAGGCTTTCTTCAAATCTTCTCCTCCACACTACAGTTGTAAGCCTACACCTCCATATCTACTTTAACTTTATGTATCTATTTTGTATCTATTTTGTCTAAATCATAAACATTTTACTGACCCAGTTTTTTAAAATGATTTTTTTAACCATTTCCCACTGTCACATATCACCTGAAAAAGTTAGACATCCCCCCCCCCCCTTAAAATGACATCAAACTTAACCCTCTCCCATAATCACAAATTTGTCTTTTTTTTTTAAATATTAACTATGCTTGTTCAAGATTCAGTATATCAGCCTTGTGACTGTCATAAAACTACAACCACCTTCCCTATTTAGAGTTTAATTTCATTTATAGGCAACCCCTTTGAATGTAGGTTCATACAATTTTAGTTCTAGTTGTAAACATTTTTAAAAAAATATACAAGTATAGAACTAGTTCAGGCTTATAATTTATTCTTATAACATAACTATTAACATTGAAAAAAATTGGTTTAAGTATAAATATCTTTACTCTAAGAAACCAAAATCTATAATTTGTTTTCCATTTTTTTAATCTGTTTGAATACATTTTAAAATTTGATACCATTAAATGATGTAGGCATATTCTAAAAAAAATTGCTATAAAACTAGAACCTAATACTGTAATTTTTTAAAATTAGGTCCTACTTATCTCTTCTGTAAATTTATTGTGTATAAACACCAAAGTGACAACAGCTTTATAGAAATGAAAACTACAAAAGCTAAAAAGAGGAACCTTCTGCGTTCTGTGAGTTTTACTGAATCCAGGCCAGTCAAAGTATCAAAAGTCAGTGAGAATGATGAAAATGCAAATGCTGTGCTCTTTAAACAGGGTAGACCTGTTCTTCCTCCCATTCGAAAGTATGACTTTAATTATGATCCTTGGCTCAAAAGTAAGCTGATGACACACAGCAAAGTGAAAGAACAGCATCATACTTTGATGAAATACTAGTAAGTTGTGTGATGTTAATATACATTCTTTAGCAAAAATACACATAAACCAGTAAAAAGAGGGGAAAAAAGCATATTTATTAATAATTTATATTGTTAATATATTAATTTTTAATTTTGTCATTTGATAAAATATTTGATTCTTATTCTTAAATAGCACTTTTAAGCCTTGAAATTTATATGTCCCATTTATGAATTTATCCAGTCAGTGTCAGGCTCTCAAAGAAGCAAGAGAGGAGAAGATGAGATTCCAACAATGTCAGCTTCGTAAAAAACACGAGGAAGAGCCCCCCCTTAGACCAGAGGTCAGAAGTGATAATTACTGGAATATATTTATATATTTATTTGAACTTAAGGTTTGCTTTTCTGTTTCAGATAATTTTATAACTTAGATTTTTTTTATTTACTTCGGAATTTTTATAAGAGCTTGATATAGACTGCATTGTACACACCATGTTATCAGATTGCAAGAGTCTAATATTTTATGTTTGTGCAAATTGATAGAGAGTATTCGTAATTATTACTGTTTTATGTACATGTTTAAATGTATATTTATAACTTATTACTCATAATAAAATCAAATTATAATTACTATTTTTCATAGTTCAAACCCTCTGAGGATCACTGCTTGAAGGTAATTTATTCCTTAATTTAAACAAAATTATTGATTATATATTTAAAGTTTATGAAACCTTCAAAATCCAGAGTATTAAGGCTTAGGTCGAAAACAGCAAATTATTCAAATCTTCAGATTTTATATAATATGACCAGAGAAAATTGTCAGTTTAACTTGTCTCTTACTGTAAACTGGCATATGCAAACAACCTTATCCAAACATTTTTAGGACTATCGTGACATTTTAATCTTGACTTAATTGTAACTTTCAGTTAAACTACCTGGCACTTAAAAAGTTTATATTGAATACACCTGTTGCACCAATGGACCGGACTTCGCAAGAAAAAATTTTAAGGCTTATACCAGAGAAATTGCGCATTGGCCCTGAAAAAGATAAACAAATTGCAGAGCTGTTTAAAGAAATCAATGATATGTTTGTAAAGAGTATCCAGAGGTCTAACAGTGAGTAGGCCTTTTAGTAATTTAGTAATTTTAGTCGGCCTAGTAGTAATTTTTATTTCAGATCATATAGTCCTATTAGTTTATTAAAACTGTAACTGTAGATTTATATTTTTTCTGTAAAGCTACACATTCTTTGGTAAAGTATTTTTTAAGTGGCTTACAATTTTTAAATTTACAATTTTAAAAGTCCTGATTAAAAAACTAACCATATCCTTTTGTTTTTTAGTAGAGCATATTCTATGGGAGGGCGTGTTCGCATGTTAGGGCATTTGTCTGAAAGTACAGGCGGCTGGGCATAGCGCTGACCACACTATCTATTTACATGCCAAGTTCACAGAAACAGGTGAATTCTACTTTATCTGCCAGTGAGCCACCAGGCCCAAAAGGGATCTTTACTTTTACATTCTAATCAAGCCTGCAGTAAAAAGATTGGAAACAGAAAAGGCTGGGCCTGAGTAACAAATTAACCATATTTTTCTTTTTTAGTTCAGCACATTCTAATCAATACTGAAGTAAAAAGATTGTAAATAAAAAATGCTGAGCCTGATTAACAAACTAACATTATTCTTATGTTTTTAGTTCAGCACATTCTAATCAAGCCTGAAGTGAAAGGATTAGAAACAGAAAAGGCTGGGCCTCCTCCTAGTGAACCTTTGTAAGTTGATTTCTTTTTTAATGCCGCTCTTTTAATAAAACAAATTGTACAGAAATCTGGGAAATTTAAGAAGTGAACCTTAACTTTTTCACATTCCAAGTCTTTATGAGACATCAAATCAACAAATTTGATTTATATTTAAAGCAATTGGATGTTAAGTTCAACAAATGCTGTTGATTTTTATTTAAAATACTTTTGAAAGAAGATAACTCATTCTTTAAATATACACATTGCAGGGGACTCAACTTCAGAAGACCTTGGCACAAAGAATATTTAGAAAGAAGGATGAAGATCTTCCAGACTCTTAACCTTCTCAATCCAACTCATACTTCAGTGCTAGAGTTCTGCCAATCTACAATAGCTCAATTGAATTTGTTAGATATATCATCATATCGGTAATAAAAAAAAATCTTTGCTTATTTTTTGGTAGTTTTATATTAAATAATTTCCTATAGAATTATAGTTGTCTTAACCAGTTCTTGATAAACTTTATTATTGTTGCACTTGTAGCTTAACTAACACCAATTTTTTTGGTAAAAACTATTTTAAATAGTCTTTATGTTGTTTAAGTGAATCTTGTGTAATAAACTTTCACATATGTGACTATTTTCTTCTCTGAAATTATTTGGAACTTAAAGACAATTTCCCCAGTTATTTTTAACGCACAAAACTTTTACCAACAGATCAATGGGTGTAATCAATCTAGAGGAATTTAAAGAATGCATTGACAAAGATTTTGTTAATAGTGAGAGTAAATTCATGAAAAGGTAGGGTTAACACTAAATCATAGGGAAAGATATATTTTACTAGTCATGTTAAATAGGTAGCCTGTAAGTGTACTGTTATATTTGCAGGTCATATAAAAAGTATCACAAGCCATGACTAAAGTTAATTATTAAAGATTTAAATTGTAGATTGTTTTTTGTCTTTTTCAATTATCTAAATAATTCATGTAAAATAGAGTAAGAAATTACTTAAACCTTAGTCTAAAAGTTAGGTGATCAAGTTATTTGTTGTTTCACAATTTTAAATTTTGAGGGTTAAAATTGTTTCACAGCTGGTATCCAAAAGTTATAAACATCTTCACCACAAACTTCAAGTCTTTGAACCTTGATACACAGGAGAAGCTGGAGTCATTTTACAAAAGTACATCCACACTGTTGGGTATCCAGGTAGGCATCTGTTTAGAATGGTAGGCTATATCCACATGGATGGATATCCATGTAGCGTAACATTTTTTACTGGTAGGCTATATCCACATTGCTGGATATCCATGTAGTGTAACATTTTTTTTACTGGTAGGCTATATCCACATTGATGGATATCCATGTAGTATTACCTTTTTACTAGTAGGCTATATCTGCCCTGTTGAGCAACCAGACAGGCATCTTTTTAGAAAGGTAGGCTATCTCCACATTGATGGATATCCATGTAGCGTAACCTTTTTTTACTGGTAGGCTATATCCACATTGTTAGGTATCCATGTAGTGTTACCTTTTTTACTGGTAGGCTATATCCACATTGCTGGATATCCAGGTAAACTTTGTTCCATTGCCAGACTTAAACAAATTTTAATCGTCAGACTTTCATACAACAGGTATTATTTTCTTTAAAACAAGATTCTAAAAATGTTTTAAACTTTTCTACATTTGTTGGAAGAAAGGTTGAAATTAAAAACTAAAATGTATTGCAATTAGAATAGAAATCCTCTTCTCTACAGATGAAACAAATGCTTGTAAGCACACTAAAGAAATATGAGAAACTGTTCAGGGAAGAAAATTACCTTCAACTTCCCCAACTTCTTTTGAGCTTAGCACTGTCAGGATCGCAGCTGGTATACACCAACTCAGTAGAGGACGTTATAGAAGCTGTGTTGTTCTATGTCAATAGACTTTGTGAAACTTTAAGAAGTGTGAGCACCTTGTTTACATTTTAATTTTATTAAATTAACATGAACTTTCCAAATTGTTTTCAAAAGTATATGCCACAGTTAAATGAAATAAACATTTAATTTGCGAACTCTTTTTAAATGTTTAGGCATTTTAAAAAGGTATTATTATTTGTAAAGTATATAGACAATATAAGACAAAATTGTTGTAAAACAAATTAAACATAATAAAAAATAATTGTAAAAAATGTTAACATTAAAAACAGAATTATTATTTTAAAAAGATTTTTACATTGTAAAACAAATATTACATGTAAAATATGAGACATAAAACATAATTATTTATAAAGTAAATGTTTCCTAAGGTTCCAACAGTCAGATCTAATTTAGATTTTCAAGGGGAGGATGATTTTATCGATACGTCACTCTCCCCTCACATTGTCATGGAGATATGTAAAAAACTGGAGGGCCATGTCCGAAGATGCTATTCAGAAGCAGATGACCTGTTGAAAAATCTGAGTAAGTTTTCTGAACTTGGTTTATTCATTAGAATTGACATAGGTTAGAGTCATTGTGTTCAAATAAATATACACATATGAATAATAAAAAAAAAAAAGAAATAATCCCTTAACACTTAATAGGGTTGTTGGAGCACCACAGAGTGGTATGTTTAGGGCTAAGTGTCACATGGCGGTACACACCCCTCTCTATGCCTGACAACAGCCAGATGCCTCCATCTATGTATTTTGCTTTAGTCACAAACACCTAGCCATTGAAATATATATATATATATATATATATATATATATATATATATATATATATATATATATATATATATATATATATATATATATACATATATATATAAATATATATGTGTTTGTATCTATATTTATGTATACATATACAATGTATATATGCAGCGGAAACCTATGGCCACATAGTAAATGGAAAGACAGGACAAGCCATTGAAGCTTATCTTCAGGATGAGCACTCATTTGCTGAACATAAAGAGGTAAGGTGTAACTTCCATCAGATTCTCAATATAAAGGTAGCCCATGTACCAACTTTATTTTCTCATTTTATTGAATTTTAAGCTTTGTAGCTTGGCTAAAATTAAAATTGATGTACCTATATTTTAATGACAGACATTGAGTGTTCATGTTATTGCTTGTTATTTTCAATAATTGTTGCTTTAGAAATAATTATTTAATTTTTATTTCTTACTGTACAGTACATCAACCAATTTTACATACTGATCTCTGAGATCCAAAGCTTACCTTCAACTGAGAGCTTCAGCCTCCTCACTGTTTACTGCGAGGACATGAAGACTGCTCTTGTAGAAAAAACAAGACAACTTTGCCATGGGCTTCTAGTTGCAGTGATAGAAGAGCACAAGAATGAAAATATAAAGTATGGGTTGTACCAGTGTACCAAAATAATGTTAAACAAATATGAACTATATTTTGTTACAATGATTTTACTATGAAAGATTAAGAAGCTGTACATGTTCCTATTTGTTCAGAGATATTTCACCTACAAATATTTGTTTTGTTGTTTCTTGTAGATATACTTTTTTAAATTTTTCAGCACAATTTAATTAACTGATTTTAAAGTAAAAGTCTGTTTTATTTGTGGATGTAATGTATTCTTTTCACCATCAGATTTCTACTGCATCTATTCATGTCTGTGGTCTAGTGTCACTATCTTGGCTTTCCACACTGTCAGCTTTTTTTTTAATCTCTTTCAAAGGTTTACCGCATAATCTTCCTTTCCTTATTTTCTTAATCAGTTCTATTCGGAAATTTCCTTTTGGTTACTTTTATTTTCAATGACAATTGTAATATTTTTCTTGTAGTATCTGCCGAAAGTTTGAACATATCAAAGAAAAGGCTGAGCAGATACCCAGAACTACAGAAGAACTATTCCAACTGGCCAACTTCATGGAGAGAGCTCGAACAAATGCCATGACAACTCTCAGACTTCGAGTTCAGGTCTGTTGAACAGATTTTAATTTTAGTGCTGGACAGGACAAATGTTGGACAACTTTAGGGGAAAATTTTATTTTATTTAATCAGCTCATGTAAAAATGGAGCTGGATATCTTGCTGATTACAAGATGTTTTAATCTACTGTTAGTTTATGAACTGCTGAACTATTTTTTGCATCAAAACATCTTATTTTGCATTGTGCAAGATGTTGGAAGGAATTACTTTACTAATTTCAAAAAAGGAAAAGCTGCAACTTTATCACACTTTAACTTGACCTCCACTATCATCTTTTCTTGTACCAGAAAATCCAGGGCTGTCACAGAAACATTTTTTATTTCTGCTTGTCTCTGGAAACTTTATGATAGTTCCCCCTAGACCAGGGGTCGGCAACCTTTTGAAGCGGAAGAGCCAAAAGTTACAATTTTCAAAATTTCCCTGGTGTTAAAGAGCCACTAACAATTTTTAATTCAAGTATTTTATTTTTTTATTAAGATTATTAGTATTTGTGCAAGGAGCTGGAGAGCCGCATCTTGACACCAAAAGAGCCGCATGCGGCTCGCGAGCCGCAGGTTGCCAACCCCTGCCCTAGACAGCCTGTTTTTTGCCAGTTGTACTCCATCAAACATATCTGTGTCTCCCACTTTTACTTATATTATTAACTACCAAATATATTTTAACTTATGGATGGTGTCAATTTAAATTATATTGATTTAAAGTATTGCTATCTGCGGCATCATACAAAAACAGGACTACCAACAGGACTACCCTGATTAAAAAAAAATTGTTTATTAAACTATTTATTATCAAATAACTTTTTAAAAATGAGTATTTTATCAATGGAAATTGTTTTGTTTGTTTGCAGGAATCAGCTAACAGAGTTATGTACCTTATTGACAGGTTTTTCTTTAGTGAAGAGGACATGGAGATGAACTCTCAAGTTTTGACATGGCCTGATAGGATTATTCCAATATTTGACAATAATGACTTGGTAATTATTAGAATTCATAAATGATCTTTTTCTTTCTCTTTAAAATTTGTATCTTCTAATTTAATGTCATTTTAAATAGCAAAGTTAAAAATAGTTATATTTGTTAAGTTAAGTGTAGGGTTTATAATCTTTATACGTTAAAAACTTGATCTTCAAAAACATATTTAAGTAATTTTGAGATAAATGATCTGATCCAAGCTTCTTGAGGACACTAAGCGTTCAGGTGAAATGAAACTACTTGAAGCACGCCAGAGGGTGATCGTGGAACTGGAGCGTCTGAAGAAACGAGTGGAAGAATTTAACGACTACGGAGAGCTGGACATGATCCAGCAATACGTGCAGGACTCACGTACAGTACAGAGGAAACTAGTGGAACTTAATCAGCAGGTCTGAAGCCTCTTTTTCACTTTGTCACTGATATTTGAATTTTACGAGGAAGGGTATTTGACCTGGGGGAGGGAGAGGTAATGACTGAGGGGTGGGGGCTAATGACTGAAAGGGTAATTGACAGGGGTAAAGTCCTAGAACAGTATTGGTTGAGAGAGATTATTGTCCCAGTCATGGTGCGTCAGTTTCTGGGGGTTTTAGGCTGATAGTTGAAATGTTCATAGAATATTCTACATTGTGACACAACTGAACAGAAAACAAAAATTTATACCATGTTTAAAATGAACCATATTTCTTTCCATTTCTAAATTGAACAATTCATGTCTAAAATGGAACATATTCCATTTCTAAATTGAACAATTCATGTCTAAAATGGGACATATTGCATTCTATGTCTAAATTGAACAATTCATTTCTAAAATGGAACATATTTCATTCCATTTCTAAATTGAACAATATTCATGTCTAAAATGGGACATATTTCATTCCATGCCTAAATTGAACAATTCATGTCTAAAATGGAACATATTTCATTCCATTTCTAAATTGAACAATTTTCATACATTATCTAAAATGGAACATATTTTTTACCGTGTCTAACTGGACCATAAATTTTGTCTAGATGGAATGGATCCACAAGGAGGAGATGCTGTACAAATTCCCAGTGTCGGAGTACCCAGAGTGGGAACAGATAGCCATAGCTCTGGAACCATTCTACAAATTCTTCAATGCAGTCCTCAAGTGGCAAAGATGTGAAAAAAGGTGTGCTGCGCTAGTTCATTATAAGCTTGTTTAAATTCAGAAGTTGATGAGTATTTTATGTTGTTGGTTGAACTCATTGGGTTTCAGAAGTCTTCAAAGCTGCAAGCCGCACTACAGCTGTAGGTGTGGAGATTGTCTAAGATATATAACTATCAGTTTATTTGACAACAAATCCTGATTTTAGGTGCATGGATGGCGACTTTTTGGATCAAAATGTCGATGCTATTGCTAGTGAGGTGGATGAATATTCAAGAGAATTTTTCAAAACGCAAAAAATATTTTCTCTCCGTTTGAAAAAAATGCAGGTAAAATCGTTGGTGGTTTGATGAGAACAAAGAGGTTCATCTTCATTTTGATGGTTGCTGATATTTACCCTGATTTCATTTTTGTAATATTAAATTTTTTGTTAATTTCTTGTCAAGAGGCGTTGTTAGGGGAAATGGGGGGGGGGGGGGGTGTAAGGAGGCGGCCAAAACCTAGTTGAGGGCTAAATTGGGTTAAGAAATATAAAAAAAAGTTAATTTTGAGCTACATTACTCAATTATACACAGTTGAAGTTAAGAAAATGGAATGCAACTTTTTAAATCAATTGTGTGATACGAAAATAAAAACTGTTAGGGGTCAGTGAATGGTAAAAAGTACCCCAGCTTTTTTGCCCACTGGGCAAATGGGTTGATACGCCTCAATTCTTGTTGCTATTTGTTTGTCATTATTCATTTTGTGAAATTTATGAAAAATATTATTTTTATATTATTTGGGTTTTTTTTGTAGTAACAATAATTTTAAAAAAATAACGGTCTTGATATATTAGCTAAAGTATTTATTGATGGCAATTTAAACGTTGGTTATGTAACATAAGAATAAATATTGTAATTAACTCAGTGATTATAAAACCAGTGACTTTGAATGTTTGAACAGATGGACTACGATGACAGAGAAAGAGAAATTAAGAAACAACAGAGAATGGACATCGCCGCTGGCAAGGAAGTGACCATCCAAGACATTGAGCCATTCAGACCCCCAGAGATCTTGGGCGTGATTGACCACATGTTCCAGAGTGTTACTGAGTTTAAGGTGAGCCTTTCTTATGGCTGAATACGGGTTGTCCTACTAGCCTGACTTTAAAGTGAGTGTGTCTTATTGTTAAATACTTCCTGACCTATTTGTCTGAATATGAAGTGGGACTGTATCATGGCTGAATACCGGCCGTTCCACTAGTCTTAAAACATTTAAGGTCACCCAGCTCTGATGGATACCTGGCTCCTGTTTGGGAAACAAAGGTGGTTGGGCCACGGGCCCTGTTAGCTGAGGTCATTGACACTGCTGAACATCTGCTCCATTTGTCTTGGGCACAAATGATAAAGATGATGAAGATAAAGTCCATTTATTTAGTAGTGAAATGTTGACTAGGCTTTTAATTCCCTTTTGATTGATTGTTTTTTTAGTGTGAAACTATATAATCACCAACAATTTAACTGTATAGTTACCAACAATTTAACTGTATAGTTACCAACAATTTAACTGTATAGTTACCAACAATTTAACTGTAGTTACCAACAATTCAGCAATGCAACTAGATAGTCACCAACTGTGTGTAGCTATATGGTCACCTACTTTATGTAAAAATATGTTGTACATAATGTAGCTGTATAGTGAACAAAGGATTACACTTTTGCAGGAAGTCATACCAGTGATTGGCATCATGTGTAACCCTGGCCTGAGGAAGCGCCACTGGGATGGCATGTCAGAGATTGCAGGGTTCAACCTAACACCCGATGCTGGCACCACACTGAGAAAAGTCTTGAAGCTGGAGCTGGAGCCCTTCATGGAACAATTTGAAGCCATTTCTGTCTCAGCCACCAAGGTAAGTTTTTATCTTTTTTGTTTAGTCGTCTATGGCGTCACTGAATCTCTATCATTTTGTTTTGTTTTGTGAGTTGACAAGCTGGAGTAGTAGCGAGGACTAGGCTGAAAAAAGTGTGTCTGATTCTTTGAATCCCAATGCTATTTCTGGGGCATTGTGTCATAGGGTTTATGTGTCTTGCTGTGTATTGAATCTGAATCCTAATTATGTACTGATTTTATGTGATAGACTATTAGACATCCTCATAAGTTGATTTGACATATATAATGTAGAACATCCTTGAGTCCATTCAGATTTGAAATTCAACCAGGGGCTGATGGAGTCACACAATTCTTTGTGTATGCTGTACCATCTTATCTGAAGAACTCTACTTCATTTACCTATTTGTTAATTGTTACTTTACTTATTATTTATTACTTGGTCTGTGTATGTCACCTAGCAACTCACACCTACTCTACCTGGTCTGTGTATGTCACCTAGCAACCCACACCTTATGTACCTGGTCTGTGTATGTCACCTAGCAACCCACACCTACTATACCTAGTCTGTGTATGTCACCTAGCAACCCACACCTTCTGTACCTGGTCTGTGTATGTCACACCTGTCCATCTTTCAGGAATTCTCCCTGGAGAAAACATTCCGCAAGATGACCAGTGAGTGGGCGGAGGTTTCGTTCACCCTCAATGTTTACAAAGACACAAGCCTGCGGATCCTGGGAGGAGTGGATGACATCCAGACAATGCTGGATGACCACATCATCAAGACGCAGACCATGAGAAACTCACCATTTGTCAAACCTTTTGAGGAGGATGTTAAGGTATGTTTAATCTCTTTTGTCAAACCTTTTGAGGAGGATGTTAAGGTATGTTTAATCTAGACAGACCATGAGAAACTCACCATTTGTCAAACCTTTTGAGGAGGATGTTAAGGTATGAGTGTGTTTAAAAATGTATAGCTGTCAGAGTTCTTTCTTTTTTTTTCTTTAAATTTACAGGTAAAAATATTTGATTGTTATTTGAAACTGTTTTAACTTAGTATAGTATAAAAGATTTAAAAAACGAGTATTCGTTTGAAAGGAAGTTTTGAAATAAGCACTCTTGTATGATGTCTTGATAATCATCAAGGTTTGGGAAGAAACACTGCTACACACGCAGAAAGCGATTGACGAATGGCTGAAAATGCAAGCCCAGTGGCTATATTTAGAACCCATCTTCTCCTCCGAGGACATCAACAACCAAATGCCAGAGGAAGGAAGAATGTTCCAAACTGTGGACCGCAACTTTAAGGATGTCATGTTCAAATGCAGTAAAAACCCACATGTAAGTCACTCATTGGTTTTATTCAAGAAACTAAGTTAATTTTAAAAAATTTCTTCATTAGTTTTAATAATTTATTTCCCCGAAAAAAACATTACTTAGGTTTTAGTTAAAAGTATTTTGAATATTACCAGTACCAGTCATGTTGCGTGTCACGTTAATGTTATGTTAGCCTATCATCTTGATGGGGCATACACTCTATTTAAGTGTTAAGACAGTCAGCCTGACTGTGACCTACGTTATAATTTATAAATGTTTTTAGCACAATTTCCATACGGACAATTGCGATTATTAACTCGTCATTTCTGGATGTGTGTCCGATGTATGGATGTGTGTCCGCAGCTTTAAGTCGTATCTCCTCCTCAACGAAGCAATATCGAGGAATAGTTCCAAAAGCAAATATGTTAAGCAAGTTCCGAGGATGAACATAGGCCAAAAAAATTCCCGGAATTCCTTCCTGGATTTCCCGGAAAAGCCAAAAAACCTTGAACAAATGCAGTTTTTGCTCCATATCTCGGCAACCAGACCACTTAGCGACTTGAAACATTTACCAATCGATTCCTGCCATAATTTAGAACAATATTGCCGAAGAAAGTTTTCAAACATATCCGTTCGTTCGGTCACAAATTTTTAAAAAAAATTATTTAAACTGAGCATCTTGTAGGCCTAGGATGATATTTTAAACTGAGCATCGTGTAGGCCTACTTGTTAAAATAAAACTATTTCCGTTGATATTTTCTATTACCCCCTACACGTCCGCATATTTTTAAAAAATCTCGTTAATAAATATTTTTTCTATTTTGTTTTGAATTATTAAAACTACTTGTGTTGCATTATTTATTTGCTGAATATATGATTTATCTCGATTTAAAATTGTTATGGATAACATAAGGAAATTGCGCTTAAATTGTCACTAGACTTTTTAATAACTTGTTTTTACTTAATAAGGAGATAACTTTGTTCAAGGTTTAACAATTGTCTTTTATTTCAGTTGTTTGAACTTCCATAATTTGGTATTCCATTACATCTTTGTTTCAGGTTTTGGAAGCTTGCGGCACTGTTGGTGTCCTAGAAAAACTGATAGACAGTAACGTCTTGTTGGACAAAATCAACAGGGGACTCAATGCATATCTGGAAAAGAAGAGATTGTTCTTTCCCAGGCAAGGAAATTTTTAATTCATGATTTAACTATCATAATAATATTAGTTAAACTTTTTTCTCTGAAGATTGTTGGCTGTTGGGTCATTAAAGTCAACAGATGACAGCAGCTCTTGTGTAAAGTTTTAAAAAATTATTACCGCTTGCCACTTTACCGACTAAGTATTGCTAAAATATGTTGAATTTTGTTTTACTCCCGAATCAGGTTCTTTTTCCTCTCCAATGATGAAATGCTGGAGATTCTCTCTGAGACCAAGGATCCCCTGCGTGTGCAACCCCACCTGAAGAAATGTTTTGAAGGCATCGCCAAACTTGACTTTGATGCCGAGCTGGTCATCCACGGGATGTTCAGTGGGGAGGGGGAGAACGTCCAGTTCTCCTACACCGTAGACACCAACGAGGCCAAGGGGTCAGTGGAGAGATGGCTGCTGCAAGTCCAGGACTGTATGATTGTCTCAGTCAGGGACGTCATTGAGGAGGCCATTGAGGTGGGTCTTGCTGCTCTAGTGGCTGGGGCTGTATGATTGTCTCAGTCAGGGACGTCATTGAGGAGGCTATTGAGGTGGGTCTTGCTGCTCTAGTGGCTGGGGCTGTATGATTGTCTCAGTCAGGGACGTCATTGAAGAGGCCATTGAGGTGGGTCTTGCTGCATTACTCTGTTAATCTATGTGGGTAAAGGAAGTAGAACAATTCCACCCCACAGGCATTACCCCCCTTCTTTCTCACTCCAGTATATTATCCCCCCTGTACAGATGACAAGTTAGCTAGCTAGATTGGTAAAATAGTTAAAACTTTGGTAAAATTGATAGTTTTATGAACCTTGGTAGGAATATTTGAACACAACAAGAAAGGCGTGGGTCCAGGAATGGCCTGGGCAGGTGGTCATCTGTGTGGGGTCAATCTACTGGACACAGGAAGTGCATGAGTCCATCGTCATGGGAGCAGAAGGTCTGACCGCCTATCACAAGGTACTGCAGGACCAGCTGAAGGACATTGTGGACTTGGTCAGGGGTAAACTGACCACCCAGCAGAGAATCACACTAGGGGCTCTTGTTGTTATAGACGTCCATGCCAGGGACGTGGTCAGTGAGATGGCCAAAAAAGGTAAATTTTTCTAGAAAATTTTTATTTGTTATTTTTATCATCCTCTCTAATAATCTAAAATGTTGATAATGTTTCGTAAATATAAGCCTTACAGTATTTTTTTTCTTATCATTCTTAAACTAAGCATATGCCCTTAAGCAACAAAACAGACATACACGGTAAAATCATTGCTTTTAAAAATAGTATACTGTAATGTATTTGAACTAGAAATGTGTGGTAGCTTGATTTCTATCATCAGTGCATTCACATAGAAACTATTGTAAAAAATATTACGATTGGCAATAAACCATTAAATCATATTAAATGAACTCTTTTAGTAAAGGATCCTTTGTAACCTGAAGGTCCATTGGATAGGTGAGGTAAAGTTCATTTGTTTCTTTGACCTTAGCATATGGAGGGATAATATGGTCAGCACTATTTGAGCAACCTTTACCTTATGCTGGGTGGACTCTGGGGCGTCTAACTTACCCGAGCCTGGGATCCAAACTGAAGACTTTTTGTTCATCAGTCATTCTCTCCACCATTCAACCATACCTTCCCTTTTAGTCCTTGATGCTGCCAATCTATTGAGCTGCAGCCTGGGAACCAATCCAATGTTTCTCTGCCATCAGGTGTGTCTGCTGAAAATGACTTTGCCTGGCTGTCCCAGCTCAGGTACTACTGGGAGGAGGCCAACTGCTGTGTTCGTATCACCAACGCCACTGTTAAATATGCGTACGAATACCTGGGTAATTCAGGGCGCCTTGTCATAACACCACTGACAGACAGGTGCTACCGCACTTTGGTGAGTGTTTGGTGTGTAGCTCTTCAGTGAAAGAAATTGAGTCTGTGTATGTCTGATTTAGACAGGAGTAGGAGAAGTTGCTAGCTTGTGCTGATTCATTTCACAAGGCTCTAAAGATTTAATCCACATATAAAGGTGCTAGGCTTTACTTATCCAATTCACATATAAAGTTGCAAGGTTCAACGATTCACTTCAAGGTTTCACGGATTCAATTCACATGTAATGTTGCTATGTTTTTCTGATTACATCCACATATAAAACTGCTAAGCTCAGATATAAAGTTACAAGATTTAACTGATTTAATTAAAAATTACCGGGTTCTACTGATTCGATTCACAAATAATGTTGCTTTGTTTTTACTGATTAAATCTGCACATACAACAGCTAAGTTTTACTGATTCCGTTTACATATAAAGTTACAAGGTTCTACTGATTAAATCACAAATAATGTTGCTTTGTTTTTACTGATTAAATCTGCACATACAACAGCTAAGTTTTACTGATTCAGTTCACATAAAGTTACAAGGTGTTACAGATCCAATCCTAATAACTGTGTTTGTAGATCGGAGCCTTTTACCTGAACTTGAATGGCGCGCCTGAAGGTCCAGCAGGGACAGGGAAGACGGAAACAACCAAAGATTTAGCCAAAGCTTTAGCTGTGCAGTGTGTGGTGTTCAACTGTTCGGATGGCTTAGATTACATCGCCATGGGCAAAGTAAGATATTGGTCCACTCTTTTTTACAGAATACTTTTTGTTTTTCTTAAAGAAATAAAAGAAACTATTCAATGTTAAAAATACAAAACTCCATTATTTGATTTAGTATTTATTTTCTTTAATTACTGTCAGCTGCTATTATGTGTGTGAATTCTATTTCTGTTCTTATAAAAATGTGTCTCTAGTTATTTTTAGAATATTGTGCTAAATAAAATGTCTGACATGAATACCTGCGTCTCCAGTTTTTTAAAGGTCTGGCATCATCAGGAGCATGGGCTTGCTTTGATGAATTTAACAGAATTGACCTTGAGGTGCTCTCTGTTGTAGCACAACAGGTGGGTTACATTCAACCTCAGTAGCTCTCTGACACGTCTTTTTTTCAACATACAAAATCAGGTTAAATGTAACTTTTCCAAACTGAACTTCTTTTATATACTGGAATTAGAAATGCATGAAGGCTATGGTTTTTAAAATGGTTAAAAAATTAATTTTTTCAGATCCTTTGCATTATCCGAGCCGTGCAGGGAAAAGTTGAAACTTTTGTATTTGAAGGGACAGAACTGAAGCTCAACCCTAACTGCTACGTGTGCATCACCATGAACCCTGGCTACGCTGGGAGGTCTGAGCTACCAGACAACTTGAAAGTGCTATTTCGCACTGTGGCCATGATGGTAAGTCAAACTTTTTCTCTCGAATTTTTAGAACATTTTTTCTTTATTTAAAAGGTGGTGTCAAACTTCTATTGGGGAGGGGTTTTGGACTTGAATTACATTTTGATAAGTATATTTTTAAAACTGAACTTAAGCAGTCATTTCAAATGTGTAATAACTTGTTTGTAAATTGTAACAAAGAGTTGATCAATATACCTAATCTTGACCAAGCTCAGCTGTCATGTTATTGAATTAGTATTTTCTAATTAAGTTGATGTCCACAACAGGGGGGGGGGGTAAAGAAATGGATGACCCTAAATAATTAGATGATTTATATAGCCAATGTGACTAGAATTTTTATGAGAAATAAAAGGTTGAAGACATCCAAGCCCTAGTATCAAATAATTCATAATAAAAAATACACTATATTTTCTGTGCTAAAATAACTTCACAACACAAACATTTGAAATTCAACTTTTTTCTCACAGGTGCCAGATTACGCTATGATTTCTGAAATCTCCTTGTACTCGTTTGGATTCCTAACTGCCAGGGACATGGCAGTGAAGATTGTGACCACGTATCGCCTGTGTTCGGAGCAGCTCTCATCACAGTACCATTACGACTACGGCATGAGAGCTGTCAAGTCTGTCCTCTCAGCTGCTGGCAATCTCAAGCTGAAATACAGAGCATTGGAGGAGGACATATTGGTGAGTGGGTGGCGTGGTGTACGTTTTGGTGAGTGGGTGGGGTGGTGTACATTTTGGTGAGTGGGTGGCTGGTGTACATTTTGGTGAGTGGGTGGCGTGGTGTACGTTTTGGTGAGTGGGTGGCGTGGTGTGGTGTATATTTTGGTGAGTGGGTGGCGTGGTGTACATTTTGGTGAGTGGGTGGCGTGGTGTACATTTTGGTGAGTGGGTGGCGTGGTGTGGTGTACATTTTGGTGAGTGGGTGGCGTGGTGTATATTTTGGTGAGTGGGTGGCGTGGTGTACATTTTGGTGAGTGGGTGGGGTGGTGTACATTTTGGTCAGTGGGTGGTGTGGTGTACATTTTGGTGAGTGGGTGGCATGTTGTACATTTTGGTGAGTGGGTGGCTGGTGTACATTTTGGTGAGTGGGTGGTGTGGTGTACATTTTGGTGAGTGGGTGGGGTGGTGTACATTTTGGTGAGTGGGTGGCGTGGTGTATATTTTGGTGAGTGGGTGGGGTGGTGTACATTTTGGTGAGTGGGTGGTGTGGTGTACATTTTGGTGAGTGGGTGGTGTGGTGTACATTTTGGTGAATGGGTGGGGTGGTGTACATTTTGGTGAATGGGTGGGGTGGTGTACATTTTGGTGAGTGGGTGGTGTGGTGTATGTTTTGGTGAGTGGGTGGTGTGGTGTACATTTTGGTGAGTGGGTGGCGTGGTGTACATTTTGGTGAATGGGTGGTGTGGTGTATGTTTTGGTGAGTGGGTGGTGTGGTGTACATTTTGGTGAGTGGGTGGCGTGGTGTACATTTTGGTGAGTGGGTGGGGTGGTGTACATTTTGGTGAGTGGGTGGCGTGGTGTACATTTTGGTGAGTGGGTGGCTTGGTGTACATTTTGGTGAGTGGGTGGTGTGGTGTACATTTTGGTGAGTGGGTGGCGTGGTGTACATTTTGGTGAGTGGGTGGCATGGTGTACATTTTGGTGAGTGGGTGGTGTGGTGTACATTTTGGTGAATGGGTGGCGTGGTGTACATTTTGGTGAGTGGGTGGCGTGGTGTACATTTTGGTGAGTGGGTGGCGTGGTGTACGTTTTGGTGAGTGGGTGGCGTGGTGTACATTTTGGTGAGTGGGTGGCGTGGTGTACATTTTGGTGAGTGGGTGGTGTGGTGTATATTTTGGTGAGTGGGTGATGTGGTGTACATTTTGGTGAGTGGGTGGTGTGGTGTATATTTTGGTGAGTGGGTGGCGTGTTGTACATTTTGGTGAGTGGGTGGCATGGTGTATATTATGGTGATTGGGTGGCGTGGTAATCATTTTGGTGAGTGGGTGGCATGGTGTACATTTTGGTGAGTGGGTGGTGTGGTGTACATTTTGGTGAGTGGGTGGCGTGGTGTACATTTTGGTGAATGGGTGGTGTGGTGTATGTTTTGGTGAGTGGGTGGTGTGGTGTACATTTTGGTGAGTGGGTGGTGTGTTGTACATTTTGGTGAGTGGGTGGTGTGGTGTACATTTTGGTGAATGGGTGGTGTGGTGTATGTTTTGGTGAATGGGTGGTGTGGTGTATGTTTTGGTGAGTGGGTGGTGTACATTTTGGTGAGTGGGTGGCGTGGTGTACATTTTGGTGAGTGGGTGGTGTGGTGTACATTTTGGTCAGTGGGTGGCGTGGTGTACATTTTGGTGAATGGGTGGTGTGGTGTATGTTTTGGTGAGTGGGTGGTGTGGTGTACATTTTGGTGAGTGGGTGGTGTGGTGTACATTTTGGTGAATGGGTGGGGTGGTGTACATTTTGGTGAGTGGGTGGTGTGGTGTACATTTTGGTGAGTGGGTGGTGTGGTGTACATTTTGGTGAGTGGGTGGTGTACATTTTGGTGAGTGGGTGGTGTGGTGTACATTTTGGTGAGTGGGTGGCGTGGTGTACATTTTGGTGAGTGGGTGGTGTGGTGTACATTTTGGTGAGTTGTGGATGCTGTAGTGTACATTCATGACATTTTCATGAGTTGTGGGTGTTGTGTTGTACATTCATGTCCAGAATTTCTTGTCACTCAACCTTTTGTCAAGGTTCATGACAAACTGGTCAAGGTATATGCACATTTCTGTCAATAAATACACAAGTCCTTGTGCAATCCATCATGATAAAAATAATATTTGCAGCTTCATGCACTTATAATTACATAATATTATTGTTTGATTATTATATTATTTTTACTTTGATTATAGCACTGTAACCTTTTTTTGTAAATGGTATTTTATGGTATACAACTTAAAGCACTGCACACACATTTTATGATTGGTCTATATCCTTTAACATTAGGTTAAAAAAGTTTTTAAGTACTAATAATATTTTTTATATATTTTTTGCTGAAATAGATGTACATTTTGTAATTTCTGTGCATTTTGTAATTCAGATTCTGCGCTCTATCATTGATGTCAATCTCCCCAAATTTCTGGCGCATGATGTGCCACTGTTCAATGGCATCATCTCTGACCTGTTCCCTGGCCTAAAGCTGCCGTCTGCTGACTATGAACAGTTTATCGATGCCATGCGCAGGGTTAGCATCAAAAACAACTTACAATTTGTACCTTTCTTTGAAGAAAAAATCATTCAAACTTACGAAATGATGCTGGTGCGACATGGGTAAGATAACATTTTAGGAAATTTTTTAACGGTTGTGTGCTGATTCATGTGTGTATATGCTCTTGTAATTTTATAACTTTTATAACATTAAGTTCTAATTAGTTAAGCAGGTTTTTTTAAAAACATGTAAACAATGTTTTTCAAAAATATTCAAACAGCCATGATATTAACAATGGGATCACAATGTATAGATGCAAATACATGTTAGATAAGGAACGCTTAATGAGTTGTTTAAAATAAATTCCATGATTGTTAAGCATAACACAGACTGTGGCTCTGACACATTATGTAAGAGGAAAGTTATTATGCTATAATTAACAATTATTTAAAACCTAAAATTTAAGCTATATGATATATATTACTCGTATAACTTGTATAACTTGCTTGCCATTGATATTATCTTTTCATCTGAACAACCAATACCAAATTAAAGTCTTCCTAAAATCTGTCTGTCAACACCAGTGTAGTGCAATGTCTGTCCAAAAACTGACACCAGTAAAATGTCTGTCTAAAATCTGCCACCAGTAAAATGTCTGTCTAAAATCTGACACCAGTGTAAAGTCTGTCTAAAATCTGACACCATTAAAATGTTTGTCTAAAATATGCCACCAGTGTAAAGTCTGTCTAAAATCTGACACCATAAAAATGTTTGTCTAAAATCTGACACTAGTAAAATGTCTGTCTAAAATGTGCCACCAGTGTAATGTCTGTCTAAAATCTGACACCAGTGTAATGTCTGTCTAAAATCTGACACCAGTAAAATGTCAGTCTAAAATCTGACACCAGTAAAATGTCTGTCTAACATCTGCCACCAGTAAAATGTCTGTCTAAAATCTGACACCAGTGTAATGTCTGTGTAACATCTGCCACCAGTTTGATGTCTGTCTAAAATCTGCCACCAGTAAAATGTCTGTCTAACATCTGCCACCAGTGTAATGTCTGTCTAACATCTGCCACCAGTTTGATGTCTGTCTAAAATCTGCCACCAGTGTAATGTCTGTGTAACATCTGCCACCAGTTTGATGTCTGTCTAACATCTGCCACTAGTGTAATGTCTGTGTAACATCTGCCACCAGTGTAATGTCTGTCTAAAATCTGACACCAGTGTAATGTCTGTCTAACATCTGCCAGGTTTATGCTGGTGGGTGAACCGTTTGGTGGTAAAATGTCTGTCTAACATCTGCCAGGTTTATGCTGGTGGGTGAACCATTTGGTGGTAAAACCAAGGTGCTACAAACCCTGGCTGAGGGAATGTGCCTGCTGCGAGATGAAGGCAGTGAGGACTACGAGGGTGTGGTCTACTGCATCATAAACCCCAAGGCCATCACTATGGGTCAGCTGTACGGGCAGTTTGATCCGGTATCCCATGAGGTCAGTATACTGCTCAAAATATCTTTCAAAATGAACAATATGACAGGAATAGCATGAAATTAGTTCAAGTGGCCAAAATTATTTATAAAAAAATATTTAATAATTTAAAAGCACATACACATTTTTTTTCTCTTCTTATTGCGATATAAATGTTTAGCAATGTTTGTTCTATAGTTAAAAATACTTCCCTTTAACAAATATAGCATTTATTTCTTTTGATGTTTGTTTCTTAAAATTTTGATGTTTTGCCATGGTCAAATGTATAACAGCCACATCCTGCTTGCACTGGCAAAGTTTTTCTGATGTTTTTGTTCTTAAAGTTGTGATGTTTTTTTTTCTTAAGTTTGTATCTAAAAGTTTTGATGTTTTTCAGTGGTCAGATGGTATAACAGCCACATCCTGTCTAGTCTGGCAAAGACTTTTCTGATGTTTGTTTCTAAAAGTTTTGATGTTTCTAAAAGTTTTGATGTTTTTCAGTGGTAAGATGGTATAACTGCCACATCCTGTTTAGACTGGCTGAAATTTTTCTGATGTTTGTTTCTAAAAGTTTTGATGTTTCTAAAAGTTTTGATGTTTTTCAGTGGTCAGATGGTATAACTGCCACATCCTTTCGAGAGTACGCAGTGTCGGTGAGCCCAGATCGCAAGTGGGTCATCTTTGACGGGCCTATCGACGCCGTGTGGATAGAAAACATGAACACGGTCCTGGATGACAACAAGAAGCTCTGCCTGATGAGCGGCGAGATCATCCAAATGTCCAGCGTCATGACAATGGTCTTTGAGACCATGGATTTGTCGCAGGCTTCGGTAGGTCCATGCTAAATATCATGGTCCAGCGTCATGACAATGGTCTTTGAGACCATGGATTTGTCGCAGGCTTCGGTAGGTCCATGCTAAATATCATGGTCCAGCGTCATGACAATGGTCTTTGAGACCATGGATTTGTCGCAGGCTTCGGTAGGTCCATGCTAAATATCATGGTCCAGCGTCATGACAATGGTCTTTGAGACCATGGATTTGTCACAGGCTTCGGTAGGTCCATGCTAAATATCATGGTCCAGCGTCATGACAATGGTCTTTGAGACCATGGATTTGTCGCAGGCTTCGGTAGGTCCATGCTAAATATCATGGTCCAGCGTCATGACAATGGTCTTTGAGACCATGGATTTGTCGCAGGCTTCTGTAGGTCCATGCTAAATATCATGGTCCAGCGTCATGACAATGGTCTTTGAGACCATGGATTTGTCGCAGGCTTCGGTAGGTCCATGCTAAATATCATGGTCCAGCGTCATGACAATGGTCTTTGAGACCATGGATTTGTCGCAGGCTTCTGTAGGTCCATGCTAAATATTCTGGTCACTGTCCTTCATTGCCAGTTGTTTTAAATCTCTTTAGGTGTGAACAAATTAATTTGCATGTGAGACAAGTCTGTACCATATTAATTTTAGGGTTCATCAGCACCTTTCCCCATATGTGCCCAAGACACATGGGTTAGTTTTAGGCTTAGTGTCCAGGTTTGGATTAGGGCGTGTTGCTAGGGCTATAATTAGAAAAGTGAAACCAGCACAAATATAGCTTCCTCATTAGTTAGGATAAGTTAGCCTGTCGCCCCTTGTGGTACATAGGCCGCTGACAAGAGCTTTCCAGACCTCTGTTCTTGGCTAGTCTCTCCAACTGTCCCCACGTGTATCCAATCTTCTTGGTGTCTTCTTCCAGGTGACGTGTCTAGGTCTTAGCTTTAACCCAGCCTGTCTGAATTTTTTAAAGTTTTAATAGACTAAAAATGGGTAAAGGCATTTGAGGTCACAATTGTTAACTTATTAGCAGAGGACTCAAAAGTTACATTGACTTGTGCTTTAACTTCTCACCTGTATTTTCTGACGCCACCAGCCTGCGACTGTGTCCAGATGTGGCATGATCTACCTGGAACCCTCGACCCTAGGCTGGAGACCCCTGGTCCAGTCCTGGCTCAACACGTTACCTCCATTCCTGACCCCTGACATCCCCCAGCACATCAACCTCCTACTGGAGTGGCTCATCCAGCCCTGCATTGATTTTGTGAGGCACAACCTCAAGGTGAGCGCATTGTGTGCTGTAAGCTGAGGTCAATATCTTGATACTTTGTTTAATGTGTCTTTGATGTTAGGGGAGTCTTGGTTTGTGTGTCATGTCACGATAACATCTAATGAGTGCTACAATGTTCCAATTTAGGGAGGGCAATGGTGAATGCATACACAAGCCAACATTATTGCGTTAAAGTGTCCCATGTTTATTAAAGACTTCTAACTCTATCTTGCTATTAAAGTCTCCCATGCCACGACCTTTAACCCTGCCTGTCTCCAGGAGTACATCCCAGCCAGCCACTCCAACCAAGTGGTGTCACTCCTAAGTTTTATTGACATGCAGCTGCATGAAGTTCTCAGCTTAGAAAGTGCCAAAACCAACAAACATTTGAAAGCTTATTACTACGTAAGTCCTGCTTTATTCTCTACGACAAATTATAGATTTGATTTGAAAAAAGTTTCCAATAGTGGCATGTGGTGGGGTTTCTTACTGGGGATCAGCTAGCTGTGTGGTGGAGAGTCTCACTGGGGATCAGCTAGTTGGCTTGGGGGAGCTCTGTAAAGAAAAACGAAAAAAACAATTACAATGATGACATGGGTTGAAAACCCACAACTGATGGGATAGATGTCAAATTCTTCACTGTTGTGACATATCATACCAGTTTGTTAAAATGTTCCATTTTTTTTTACTTGAGACATTGCAAAGTCTACAACACTGGTCTCCAATCAATGTTCTATATGTTATAGGGCGCTGTAATGTTTGCTATTCCTTGGACCATCGCTGGGTGTGTGGATAATGATAGCAGGAAAAAATTCCATGAGTTCTACTATGCTGTACTTGATGGTAAAAACCCAGAGTTCCCAGTCCCAGATGAAATCAAGAAGATAGAAGTCATGTACCCACCAGAGAACACAGTCTTTGATTACTTCTATGATGTAAGTTGTCTCCCTTGAAATGGTTTATCACAGAAGGTGGCGCTTTACAGTCATCATTTGCATAATCTTGTTTAATGTTTAGAGTAGCATCACAAGGCAGGGTCCGACACCCTGGGTTATGGGGTGTGACACCCTGGATATATGGAGTGTGACACCCTGGATATATGGAGTGTGACACCCTGGATATATGGGGTGTGACACCTTGGATATAGGAGGTGTGACACCCTGGATATATGGGGTGTGACACCCTGGATATATGGGGTGTGACACCCTGGATATATGGGGTGTAACACCCTGGATTATGGGGTATGACACCCTGGATATATGGGGTGTAACACCCAGAGTTACAGCAGCGGGGGACACCCAGCTAGTGATGCCATTGAACTTGTACAAATATAATAGATGGTGTGAATTTTCTTGGCAGCTAAAAGGCAAAGGCTCATGGATGCACTGGAATGTTTTGATCAAGCACACGGAGAAGGAGGGCCACAAGCCCAACATCAGGGAAATGCTGGTGCAGACTTTAGACACGGCTCGCTACAGCTACATGATGGATCTCCACATCGCTTCTGCCAGGTTTGTCTCATCACATATTTTAATCAGCTGATACAATGCGATCGTGGGATTTATTTATGTGTTTCTGTGTAGGGGTTAAGTTAAATATATTTACTGTTGTCTTTTATAGGTTAAATTAGTGTGTCTTGTATATCTGTTAAGTTAATGTTTATTTAATCTCTAGTTATGTGAGGGTTGATATTTATTTCAGTCTTATTATTATTATTATTACTTCTATTTGGGGGCTAATACCTCTTACATCTGTAGTTTTGTGTTAATACAATTTGATCTGTTGTTTGTTTAGACCACTCTTGTTTGTGGGGCCCACTGGCACAGGGAAAAGTGCTTATGTTTCCAAGAAGATGATGCACGACCTCCCACAGGACAAGTTCATTGGCTCCATCATCACGTTCTCTGCTCAGAGCAGCGCTAATCAAACTCAGGTATGTATTTTTTTGCAGCCTTTCAAGGTCTTAGGCCCTGGGTCACAGGTACTAGGTCACAGGTACTGGGTCACAGGTACTGGGTCACAGGCCCTGGGTCACAGGTACTAGGTCACAGGCTGTGGGTCACAGGTACTAGGTCACATGCCCTGGGTCACAGGTACTAGGTCACAGGTACTAGGTCACAGACCCTAGGTCACAGGTACTGAGTCCAATCATAAGATGTTTGAGGCGCATTTTCTCTGGTTTACTAGTTGTTTTTAGCTCAGCTAAAACCATTCTTAGAGCCTGCTCACTTGATAATAAACTAAACATATTTGGTTCAACAACAACAAAACCCAAGTGCATCAAGAGTAACTACTCTCAATTACAAACTAAATTTGACTCCAGAAAATTATTCCTGTCAATATTTGTTCCCTGAAAAAGTCACATCCAATTTGTAAAGCTAATTATTTGTTTATTTGTCTCTGTTTAAAAAGCTCCACTTATTTGTTGTACTTATTTCTTTACCAGGATATCATCATGTCCAAGCTAGATCGACGTCGCAAAGGAGTGTTTGGCCCTCGTATTGGTAAAAAATGTATCATGTTTATAGATGACATGAGCATGCCCATGAAGGAGGTGTACGGAGCCCAACCACCCATTGAATTACTCAGACAGTTTGTAGACCACGGACACTGGTAAATTCAACATAAGTTCTTCTAAATTTTTTTATCTGCAAGATTTGATTCATTACAATTAGTTGCCATTTTGAGTTACTTGCTAAACTGGCTAGCAATTGAAAGTTGAATTTTTACTAGCCAGAACAATTAATTTTTCCAAGACTGGTAAATTTGAAAAGATGCCATTTTCCCCTGGACAACTGAGTGATGGGGCTAATGGGCTGGTGTAATAATATGCCATCTGGTACATGGATTTTAAAAAGATTTTCAGAAAATTTTTATTTTATTCTTGAGGTATTTATCTTTAGCTTATAAAAAAAATTATTTTATTCTTATCTCTGTTCTGTTTCTAGGTACGACCTAAAAGACACGTCCAAAATAACTTTGGTCGACCTCCAGTTTCTGGCCGCCATGGCCCCCCCAGGAGGGGCAAGGAACTCCGTGACCCCGAGATTTACCCGCCACTTTTCAATCGTTTCCATGAATGCTTTTAGTGATGACACTATGACGAAGATATTTAATACATTAATGACCACCCACCTTAAGGTATTAAAATTAGTTAATTACTATATTCACAAAACATATTATCTTTATTATTATTACCTGCAATAAATTGTTTGATTTCTAGTTTAAATAGTAAAAAATACAGAATTTTGAATTTTTCTAAAATTTCTGACTTAATTTTCTGACTTGAATTATTTCTAATCCAACCTCACTTGGAAAAATATTAAACATTTTGATTAGATCTATTTGTCCATGTACACTAGTGTTAGGTTAGATCTTAGCTTGCATTTTGCTAAGTATCTATTTGTCTTTGTACTCTTGGGTTAGATCCTATCCAGTGCTTTGATAAGTATCCATTTGTCTATGTGAACTAGGGCTAGATCCAGTATTTTGCTAAGTATCATTTGTCTTTGTGGACTATGATTAGATTCTATCCAGTACTTTGACGAGTATCCATTTGTATATGTGCACTAGAGTTAGATTCTATCCAGTACCGTAATAAATCTTCCTGTGTCTCTGTACCCTAGCTAGAAGACTTTGCCATGGAGTACTTGTCAATGTCCACCTTGGTGGTGACCTGCACCATGGAGGTGTACAAGGGCGCCATGAGCACCCTGCTGCCCACGCCCAGCAAGTCTCACTACGTCTTTAACCTGAGGGACTTTGCCAGGGTCATCCTCGGAGTTTGTTTGATTCACAAGAAAGACGTACAAGATAAAACAGTACTGGCACGGTAATTAGATTTTCTCCCTACTTATTTCAAGACAGTAAAGAATGTTAGTATAATGATTCTTTGCAGGTTTGTTTACATGGTAATTTACTTGTATTATTAATGGTGACTTGGAATAATTATTTCAAGAAAAATAATTACAAATTTGCTGCATATTTTAACAAAAGAAATAATATTTTCACCTTTAAGCAAGTGATTTAATAAAGTATTCAGAAAGTTTTAAAAATTGTACTGCATATTCTAACTAAACAAACATTAAACTTTTAGCTTATGGGTTCATGAAGTATTCTAAGTTTTTCAACAACTGTGTTGCATATTTTAACGAAACAAATCTTGAATCTAACATTTAGCTTGTGGGTTCATGAAGTATTTTAAGTTTTTCAACAACCGTGTTGCATATTTTAACGAAACAAATCTTGAATCTAACATTTAGCTTGTGGGTTCATGAAGTATTCCGAGTGTTTTATGACAGACTAACAGATAACGCAGACCGCAACTGGTTGTACACGTGAGTATCTATCTCTTCTCTCATCCCTAATGTTTCCCTTTATCAATAGCTCACATCCCTAATGTTTCCCTTTATCAATAGCTCACATCCCTAATGATGGTGTTTCCCTTTATCAATAGCTCACATCCCTAATGTTTCCCTTTATCAATAGCTCACATCCCTAATGTTGGTGTTTCCCTTTATCAATAGCTCACATCCCTAATGTTTCCCTTTATCAATAGCTCACATCCCTAATGATGGTGTTTCCCTTTATCAATAGCTCACATCCCTAATGACGGTGTTTCCCTTTATCAATAGCTCACATCCCTAATGACGGTGTTTCCCTTTATCAATAGCTCACATCCCTAATGTTTCCCTTTATCAATAGCTCACATCCCTAATGTTTCCCTTTATCAATAGCTCACATCCCTAATGATGGTGTTTCCCTTTATCAATAGCTCACATCCCTAATGTTTCCCTTTATCAATAGCTCACATCCCTAATGATGGTGTTTCCCTTTATCAATAGCTCACATCCCTAATGTTTCCCTTTATCAATAGCTCACATCCCTAATGTTTCCCTTTATCAATAGTTCACATCCCTAATGTTTCCCTTTATCAATAGCTCCCATCCCTAATGATGGTGTTTCCCTTTATCTCTCATCCCTAATGATGGTGTTTCCCTTTATCAATAGCTCACATCCCTAATGAAGGTGTTTCCCTTTATCAATAGCTCACATCCCTAATGATGGTGTTTCCCTTTATCAATAGCTCTCATCCCTAATGTTTCCCTTTATCAATAGCTCACATCCCTAATGATGGTGTTTCCCTTTATCAATAGCTCTCATCCCTAATGATGGTGTTTCCCTTTATCAATAGCTCTCATCCCTAATGTTTCCCTTTATCAATAGCTCACATCCCTAATGATGGTGTTTCCCTTTATCAATAGCTCTCATCCCTAATGTTTCCCTTTATCAATAGCTCTCATCCCTAATGATGGTGTTTCCCTTTATCAATAGCTCTCATCCCTAATGTTTCCCTTTATCAATAGCTCACATCCCTAATGTTGGTGTTTCCCTTTATCAATAGCTCACATCCCTAATGATGGTGTTTCCCTTTATCAATAGCTCACATCCCTAATGATTTTGTTTCCCTTTATCAATAGCTCACATCCCTAATGATGGTGTTTCCCTTTATCAATAGCTCACATCCCTAATGATGGTGTTTCCCTTTATCAATAGCTCACATCCCTAATGATGGTGTTTCCCTTTATCAATAGCTCACATCCCTAATGATGGTGTTTCCCTTTATCAATAGCTCACATCCCTAATGATGGTGTTTCCCTTTATCAATAGCTCTCATCCCTAATGATGGTGTTTCCCTTTATCAATAGCTTACCCTAATGATGGTATTTCCCTTTATCAATAGCTCACATCGCTAATGATGGTGTTTCCCTTTATCAATAGCTCACATCCCTAATGATGGTGTTTCCCTTTATCAATAGCTCACATCTCTAATGATGGTGTTTCCCTTTATCAATAGCTCACATCGCTAATGATGGTGTTTCCCTTTATCAATAGCTCACATCTCTAATGATGGTGTTTCCCTTTATCAATAGCTCACATCCCTAATGATGGTGTTTCCCTTTATCAATAGCTCACATCCCTAATGATGGTGTTTCCCTTTATCAATAGCTCCCATCCCTATTGATGGTGTTTCCCTTTATCAATAGCTCACCCTAATGATGGTGTTTCCCTTTATCAATAGCTCACATCCCTAATGATGGTGTTTCCCTTTATCAATAGCTCTCATCCCTAATGATGGTGTTTCCCTTTATCAATAGCTTACCCTAATGATGGTATTTCCCTTTATCAATAGCTTACCCTAATGATGGTATTTCCCTTTATCAATAGCTCACATCGCTAATGATGGTGTTTCCCTTTATCAATAGCTCACATCCCTAATGATGGTGTTTCCCTTTATCAATAGCTCACATCTCTAATGATGGTGTTTCCCTTTATCAATAGCTCACATCGCTAATGATGGTGTTTCCCTTTATCAATAGCTCACATCCCTAATGATGGTGTTTCCCTTTATCAATAGCTCACATCCCTAATGATGGTGTTTCCCTTTATCAATAGCTCACATCCCTAATGATGGTGTTTCCCTTTATCAATAGCTCCCATCCCTATTGATGGTGTTTCCCTTTATCAATAGCTCACCCTAATGATGGTGTTTCCCTTTATCAATAGCTCACATCCCTAATGATGGTGTTTCCCTTTATCTCTCATCCCTAATGATGGTGTTTCCCTTTATCAATAGCTCACATCCCTAATGAAGGTGTTTCCCTTTATCAATAGCTCACATCCCTAATGATGGTGTTTCCCTTTATCAATAGCTCTCATCCCTAATGTTTCCCTTTATCAATAGCTCACATCCCTAATGATGGTGTTTCCCTTTATCAATAGCTCTCATCCCTAATGATGGTGTTTCCCTTTATCAATAGCTCTCATCCCTAATGTTTCCCTTTATCAATAGCTCACATCCCTAATGATGGTGTTTCCCTTTATCAATAGCTCTCATCCCTAATGTTTCCCTTTATCAATAGCTCTCATCCCTAATGATGGTGTTTCCCTTTATCAATAGCTCTCATCCCTAATGTTTCCCTTTATCAATAGCTCACATCCCTAATGTTGGTGTTTCCCTTTATCAATAGCTCACATCCCTAATGAAGGTGTTTCCCTTTATCAATAGCTCACATCCCTAATGATGGTGTTTCCCTTTATCAATAGCTCACATCCCTAATGATTTTGTTTCCCTTTATCAATAGCTCACATCCCTTATGATGGTGTTTCCCTTTATCAATAGCTCACATCCCTAATGATGGTGTTTCCCTTTATCAATAGCTCACATCCCTAATGATGGTGTTTCCCTTTATCAATAGCTCACATCCCTAATGATGGTGTTTCCCTTTATCAATAGCTCACATCCCTAATGATGGTGTTTCCCTTTATCAATAGCTCTCATCCCTAATGATGGTGTTTCCCTTTATCAATAGCTTACCCTAATGATGGTATTTCCCTTTATCAATAGCTCACATCGCTAATGATGGTGTTTCCCTTTATCAATAGCTCACATCCCTAATGATGGTGTTTCCCTTTATCAATAGCTCACATCTGTAATGATGGTGTTTCCCTTTATCAATAGCTCACATCCCTAATGATGGTGTTTCCCTTTATCAATAGCTCACATCCCTAATGATGGTGTTTCCCTTTATCAATAGCTCACATCCCTAATGATGGTGTTTCCCTTTATCAATAGCTCCCATCCCTATTGATGGTGTTTCCCTTTATCAATAGCTCACCCTAATGATGGTGTTTCCCTTTATCAATAGCTCACATCCCTAATGATGGTGTTTCCCTTTATCAATAGCTCTCATCCCTAATGATGGTGTTTCCCTTTATCAATAGCTTACCCTAATGATGGTATTTCCCTTTATTAATAGCTCACATCGCTAATGATGGTGTTTCCCTTTATCAATAGCTCACATCCCTAATGATGGTGTTTCCCTTTATCAATAGCTCACATCTCTAATGATGGTGTTTCCCTTTATCAATAGCTCACATCGCTAATGATGGTGTTTCCCTTTATCAATAGCTCACATCCCTAATGATGGTGTTTCCCTTTATCAATAGCTCACATCCCTAATGATGGTGTTTCCCTTTATCAATAGCTCACATCCCTAATGATGGTGTTTCCCTTTATCAATAGCTCCCATCCCTATTGATGGTGTTTCCCTTTATCAATAGCTCACCCTAATGATGGTGTTTCCCTTTATCAATAGCTCACATCCCTAATGATGGTGTTTCCCTTTATCAATAGCTCACATCCCTATTGATGGTGTTTCTCTTTATCAATAGCTCACCCTAATGATGGTGTTTCCCTTTATCAATAGCTCACATCCTTAATGATGGTGTTTCTCTTTATCAATAGCTCACATCCCTAATGATGGTGTTTCCCTTTATCAATAGCAAACACTTTGTTTAAACTTAACAGAAAAATGACATCCATGTACATGCGCAATGTATAAACCCTATGCTAACTTTAATATCAAAATAGTAGTTCTTAAAAGATTGTTTTATAAGCTTTTTAGATACAAGTTTAAAGTTTTATTAGTTTCTTTTTTTCATGACCTTCTTGAATCTATAGTGACTTTGAAGGACTGTTATTTATACAGCAAATGTACTGGTGCTATAGTCTTGTATGTACATGGTCCTTCCCTGGTTACAAGAAATTACTGTCATTATAGTTCAATCAAGTTTTTCTAGAATTGTCTTCACGTACTCCACTTTGACCTTGTAGGTCATTGAACCAAGAAACCTTTACAATCTCTCCCTTTAGACTGGTCTGTAACTTGGTTGGTCATTGAACCAAGAAACCTTTACAATCTCTCCCTTTAGACTGGTCTGTAACTTGGTTGGTCATTGAACCAAGAAACCTTTACAATCTCTCCCTTTAGACTGGTCTGTAACTTGGTTGGTCATTGAACCAAGAAACCTTTACAATCTCTCCCTTTAGACTGGTCTGTAACTTGGTTGGCCATTGAACCAAGAAACCTTTACAATCTCTCCCTTTAGACTGGTCTGTAACTTGGTTGGTCATTGAACCAAGAAACCTTTACAATCTCTCCCTTTAGACTGGTCTGTAACTTGGTTGGTCATTGAACCAAGAAACCTTTACAATCTCTCCCTTTAGACTGGTCTGTAACTTGGTTGATCATTGAACCAAGAAACCTTTACAATCTCTCCCTTTAGACTGGTCTGTAACTTGGTTGGTCATTTAACCAAGAAACCTTTACAATCTCTCCCTTTAGACTGGTCTGTAACTTTGTTGGTCATTGAACCTTTACAATCTCTCCCTTTAGACTGGTCTGTAACTTTGTTGGTCATTGAACCTTTACAATCTCTCCCTTTAGACTGGTCTGTAACTTGGTTGATCATTGAACCAAGAAACCTTTACAATCTCTCCCTTTAGACTGGTCTGTAACCTGGTTGGTACTCACATGAAGTATAAAGTTGACCAGATATTTTCTCACCTTTTAACCCCAGAGGATCGAGGCAAAGTAAGTTGTTTTTTTTTTAATTTAAATTTTACAGGATGTATCCAACACATTTGTTTTTTATTTCATAAAATTAAGTACTGTGTATAATTTTCTTCACAATGTATGGCTTGATTAATTTGTAACAATGCAATGCCATGCTGTGTCATGGGTCACATATTGTTTTGTAAGAGCCAGGTTTTATATGCCAAATTGTATATAGAGCAAGTTGTCTGTCAGGGGACAAAACTGTGTAACAAACTGGTTGCAGATAATAAACAGCCAAACACTTTTTTGTAGAATTATTTATTAAAACCAGATGCACAAGCTGGATCTGACTTTAAGCTGGACCTGACTTTAAGCTGGACCTGACTGTAAGCTGGACCTGACTTTAAGCTGGACCTGACTGTAAGCAGGACCTGACTTTAAGCTGGACCTGACTTTAAGCTGGACCTGACTGTAAGATGGACCTGACTTTAAGCTGGACCTGACTGTAAGCTGGACTTTAAGCTGGACCTGACTGTAAGCTGGACTTTAAGCTGGACCTGACTGTAAGCTGGACTTTAAGTTGGACCTGACTTAAGCTGGACCTGACTTTAAGCTGGACCTGACTGTAAGATGGACCTGACTTTAAGCTGGACCTGACTGTAAGCTGGACTTTAAGTTGGACCTGACTTAAGCTGGACCTGACTTTAAGCTGGACCTGACTTTAAGCTGGACCTGACTTTAAGCTGGACCTGACTTTAACCTGACATAATGCCAAACATATGCCAAATTGTATATAGAGCAAGTTGTCTGTCAGGGGACAAAACTGTGTAACAAACTGGTTGCAGATAATAAACAGCCAAACACTTTTTTGTAGAATTATTTATTAAAACCAGATGCACAAGCTGGATCTGACTTTAAGCTGGACCTGACTTTAAGCTGGACCTGACTGTAAGCTGGACCTGACTTTAAGCTGGACCTGACTGTAAGCAGGACCTGACTTTAAGCTGGACCTGACTTTAAGCTGGACCTGACTGTAAGATGGACCTGACTTTAAGCTGGACCTGACTGTAAGCTGGACTTTAAGCTGGACCTGACTTTAACCTGACATAATGTCTTGATGTGGATGTCAGGTGAAAGAGAGCACCTTAAGCAACCTGATGTTTGGAGACTACATGGACCCCGACCTGCCCCCAGACATGAGGTCCTACCAGGAGGTCCTCTCCCTCGAGGACTTCAACACCATCGCCCTCAACTACCTCGACGACTACAACCAGACCCACAAGAACCCCATGAATCTGGTCATATTCAGGTGGGTTGGGTTTGATCTGGTCATATTCAGGTGGGTTGGGTTTGATCTGGTCATATTGAGGTGGGTTGGGTTTGATCTGGTCATATTCAGGTGGGTTGGGTTTGATCTGGTCATATTCAGGTGGGTTGGGTTTGATCTGGTCATATTCAGGTGGGTTCGGTTTGGTCAGGTCATATTCAGGTGGGTTAGGTTTGATCTGGTCATATTCAGGTGGATTGGGTTTGATCTGGTCATATTCAGGTGGGTTGGGTTTGATCAGGTCATATTCAGGTGGGTTGGGTTTGATCTGGTCATATTCAGGTGGGTTCGGTTTGATCAGGTCATATTCAGGTGGGTTAGGTTTGATCTGGTCATATTCAGGTGGATTGGGTTTGATCTGGTCATATTCAGGTGGGTTGGGTTTGATCAGGTCATATTCAGGTGGGTTGGGTTTGATCTGGTCATATTCAGGTGGGTTGGGTTTGATCTGGTCATATTCAGGTGGGTTGGGTTTGATGAGGTCATATTCAGGTGGGTTGGGTTTGATCTGGTCATATTCAGGTGGGTTGGGTTTGATCTGGTCATATTCAGGTGGGTTGGGTTTAATCTGGTCATATTCAGGTGGGTTGGGTTTGATCTGGTCATATTCAGGTGGGTTGGGTTTGATGAGGTCATATTCAGGTGGGTTGGGTTTGATCAGGTCATATTCAGGTGGGTTGGATTTGATCTGGTCATATTCAGGTGGGTTGGGTTTGATCAGGTCATATTCAGGTGGGTTGGATTTGATCTGGTCATATTCAGGTGGGTTGGGTAGCTTAGCTAAACCAGAAGTTGGTAAAGTGCTTTGGGAGTTTTCTTAGTCTCAAGGTAAACAAGATTGGTTTATCTTGAGGATTAACGAAAATATATGTTAGTACTAAACGTTTGTGATCTACAATTTTGTGTCTTTAGGTTATTCTCCTACAAGTATTAAGCTTCCAGTTAATTTTTTTCTAACACTGATCATCATCATATGGTCTTATCTTCACACTCTGTTCCCATTTATTATCTCATAAAGGGTGCTTCAGTGCTTTATTCGTTCATTATAAAAATTAATTAATTTGACAGTAATCGATAAAGTATGAATTTTTTTTTTTTACTATTTAATTGTCTATATAGACAAAACAGTTTACAAAATATCTTTCCTTCAATCACCAATGCCATGGCTATTTCATTTTTTAAATAAATATTTGCTCACTCTTGAAATTCTGACGTGACTACAGGTATGTACTGGAACACCTGTCCAGAATCTGCCGTATCCTGCGCCAACCTGGCGGCAATGCTTTACTGGTGGGGGTGGGTGGCAGTGGCCGTCAGTCACTGACACGACTGTCAACTGCCATGGCAGGGTTCAAGCTTTTCCAGCCTGAGATTTCTAAGAGCTACGGCATGAACGAGTGGAGGGATGACATCAAGGTCAGTCTTAGGGCAGATGACATCAAGGTTAGTCTTAGGGTAGATGACATCAAGGTTAGTCTTAGGGCAGATGACATCAAGGTTAGTCTTAGGGCAGATGACATCAAGGTTTGTGTTTGGGCAGATGACATTAAGGTTTGTGTTAGGGCAGATGACATCAAGGTTAGTGTTAGGGCAGATGACATTAAGGTTTGTGTTAGGGCTGATGACATCAAGGTTTGTGTTAGGGCTGATGACATCAAGGTTTGTGTTAGGGCTGATGACATCAAGGTTTGTGTTAGGGCTGATGACATCAAGGTTTGTGTTAGGGTAGATGACATCAAGGTTTGTGTTAGGGCAGATGACATCAAGGTTAGTGTTAGGGCAGATATCAAGGTTAGTGTTAGGGCAGATGACATCAAGGTTTGTGTTAGGGCTAATGACATCAAGGTTTGTGTTAGGGCAGACGACATCAAGGTTTGTGTTTGGGCAGATGACATCAAGGTTTGTGTTAGGGCAGATGACATCAAGGTTTGTGTTAGGGCAGATGACATCAAGGTTTGTGTTAGGGCAGATGACATCAAGGTTAGTGTTTGGGCTAATGACAACAAGTTTGTATTAGGGCTAGGAAAGAGATGAATATAGAAGGATGATATCATTATCAATGTTTTTGTAGAACTTGACTTGAAGTGCCACCAACAACAATGTCTGAGCTCTTTAGAGTGTAGACTTTAAATGTGCTGCAGGATTGTTATAAAATTGCTAGATTTGAGGTGCCCTGTCTAAGAAATCTGACCTGACACAAAAAAATGCTGATCTGTCCATTCCTGTCTTCTCAGAATGTCCTACGCCAAGCTGGAGGCAAGGGAATCCCAACAACATTTCTCATCACAGACACCCAGATCAAATACGAGACTTTCCTTGAAGACATTGACGCACTGCTCAACTCTGGGGAAGTGCCCAATCTTTTTGCAGCTGATGAAAAAGCAGAAATCATGGAAGTAAGTGGCACAAATAAAGGTTTATATACAACAATGGTGGGGAGTACTATAGTAATAGTAAAGCCAGTTATTTTTAGTGGGTGTCATGTTTGTGGTAAATTATGTCCACTAAGGTTGGAGGGGGGGCGGGGAGGGGGCGATTAGCATTTTTGGTGGTCATCAGCATGAATGATGATCAGTACTCTTAAGTCACATAAAGGCTCTTTTTATTTCTCTATTTTTTGAGTAGCGCTGGATTGGCCAGATGGTATTGTAGTTTAGTTTTCTTCTAGACAGTGTCACCTTCAAGTTAATGCTCAAACTTTAATTTCATTGTTTTTCAATGTAAATATAAACAATAAAATGAAGCACATATCTAGATCTAGGCTACTTGTATTAATGGCAATTTTTTTAGCCTAACCAAAAATACTTCCCAAGGACTGAACTAATAGGCATGAAAAGTCTGTGTAATCATACTAAATTTTTGAAAAAAATCTTTTTAAAAATATGGCAAGTGATAAAATTATAGTTACATTTGTAAAAATAAATGCCGTTTAGGAGCCATCGATTACATTCATTTTCATATTTTTGTATAAGCCATTAAAAAGCCATTTAAAATTATTTTATCAATTCAAAAATTTTCAAAAACTGCCCTCAACCTCTCCTTGAAGTCAACCGGTCAATGGCTAGGGAGAGTAAAACATTAAAAGTCAGAACCACTGTTTTGCATGATAAAAATAGTGATCTATGGTGTATAGCGTTGTATTTATGTTAAATAATATAACATCCCCAATCACCTAAACACCCAGACTTTACTAATCCACATTAAAAAGAAAAGAGTTTGTTAAATTACTATTATATTACTAGTATTAATTTCTTCGACTATTTCTATCCTTAATGAAACCAGAAGTAACTTTGTACTTATTTCACAAATGTTATAAAATATTAAATTATTGTTGAAAATATATTTTCTGGCAACAAAAATTTCCAAGCTCTTCAAGGCATGCAACATAGTGTCAAGTGTTTCTTGTATCTTCTGATTTGGGGATTGTTCATTTACTATGGTGCTGCTACACTATAACATTTGCCTACAAATTTTGCCTAGTGTGCTATAAAAATAAAACGTATTCTAGTATCTAAAAAAAGTTTTTTTTAAATCTAGTCTTTAGAAAATTGATTTTTTTTTCTTCACAGGCAGTTCGAGTCAGTGCAGCCAAAGCTACAGGAGACAAGAACGCAGAGTTAAGCCCCTTGGCTCTGTTTGCATATTTTGTTAGCCAGAGCCGAGCCAACCTGCACATCATCATTGCCTTCAGCCCCATCGGAGATGCTTTCCGCAACAGGCTGCGCTTGTTTCCATCTTTGATCAACTGTTGTACCATTGATTGGTTCCAGGTGACATCTTCAATTAACATTTTAGAAAAAAAAAAATCCTTTTTTAATTTGTTGTTCTATCTTGATTTAGATAAAAAATAAAAATATTTTAATTTTTTAAAAATTTCCAATTATTTTATTACGATTTTCTTTTCTTTTGTAATTTAAATTTTTGCATTTAATTTTTTGAAGTAACGTAATGAAAACTGTCTGTATGATCAGTGTGTTTATATTTGTTAATGTAGAGAAAATAGTTTCTAAAGCTAGTGAATTTGTTAATGTAAAGAAAATTGGTCTATAACCAGTGTATTAGCTAATGTAAAACAAATTGTGTCTATAACCAGTGTATTTGCTAATGTAAAACAAATTGTCTATAACCAGTGTATTTGCTAATGTAAAACAAATTGTGTCTATAACCAGTGTATTTGCTAATGTAAAACAAATTGTGTCTATAACCAGTGTATTTGCTAATGTAAAACAAATTGTGTCTATAACCATTGTTTTTGCTAATGTAAAACAAATTGTCTATAACCAGTGTATTTGCTAATGTAAAACAAACTGTGTCTATAACCATTGTTTTTGCTAATGTAAAACAAATTGTGTCTATAACCAGTGTATTTGCTAATGTAAAACAAATTGTGTCTATAACCATTGTTTTTGCTAATGTAAAACAAATTGTCTATAACCAGTGTATTTGCTAATGTAAAACAAACTGTGTCTATAACCATTGTATTTGCTAATGTAAAACAAATTGTGTCTATAACCAGTGTATTTGCTAATGTAAAACAAATTGTGTCTATAACCATTGTTTTTGCTAATGTAAAACAAATTGTGTCTATAACCAGTGTATTTGCTAATGTAAAACTAATTGTGTATATGACCAGGCTTGGCCAGAGGATGCCTTGGCCAGGGTGGCCCACACGTTCCTGGAGAATGCTGAGATTGAGAGCAGGATGAAAGAGGACATTGTCACCATTTGCAAGTTCTTCCACCAGAGTATCATCAACCTGACAGTCAGGTCAGTCACTTCAACCTTCAGCATTATTGTATCTCGCTTATGATGTTACCACATCACCATTATGTGCATTATGACATCACCATATCATCATTATGATGTCACCACATCACCATTATGGTGTCACCATATCATCATTATGTCAACACAACACCATTATGATGTCACCATATCATCATTATGATGTCACCACATCACCATTATGATGTCACCACATCACCATTATGATGTCACCACAACACCATTATATCACCACCATGATGTCACCACTATATCACCACTATGATGTCACCACAACACCATTATATCACCACCATGATGTCACCACATCACCACTATGATGTCACCACATCACCATTATATCACCATTATGACATTACCACATCATCATTATGATATCACCACTATGATGTCACCACATCACCATTATGACATCATCACATCATCATTATGATGTCACCACTATGATGTCACCACATCACCATTATGACATCATCACATCACCACTATGACATCACCACATCACCACTATGACATCACCACATCACAACTATGATGTCACCACATCACCACATCATCATTATGATGTCACCACATCACCATTATGATGTCACCACATCAACTGTCCAGGTTCAAGCTTGAGCTGGGTCGAGAGATTTATGTCACGCCAACCTCCTACCTAGAGCTGATTTATTCCTTCAAGAATTTGCTCAAGTCCAAGCAAGACGAGACAATGAGAGCCAAAAGAAGATACGTGGTGGGGTTAGAGAAATTAGCTTTTGCTGCCTCACAGGTTTGTACAATAGTTCACAGCATAGAGTTGAATCTAAATGATGTTTGTAAAGCATTTAAAACCTGAGCTATAGCCATCTTTTAACTTTTAGGTTTCTCATTTGTAAAAATGTGGGGGTGTGGTAGACAAGTCACTTTTAGCTCATGGGAGTTTGGTTCTTTTATAAGGGTTCATAGTTTAGTTTATATTTTTTAAAATGCTGCTGACAGCAACATTCCCTCTAAATGGAAAAAATCTGTGTGTACCATGTATTTTATGTGCATGGTGTTCTAAAAATGTCTTATAAAAGCATTTATGTATTTTACAAAATGACTGTGTGGAAGGTCCGAAACTACTACATTTATGAAATGACTAATAAATCCTTGTTAGGGTTATGTTTAAAGTGTATAGAGCTTAGAGAAAGTTTTGAAAAAACTAACAAATCCTGGTTAGGGTTATGGTTAAAAGTATATAGAGCAAGTTTTGAAAAAAAAAAAATCTGTGTTAGGGTTATGTTTAAAGTGTATAGATCAAGTTTTGAAAAAATGAACATATCCTTGTTAGGGTTATGGTTCAAGTGTATAGATCAATTTTTTAAAAAAACTAACAAATCTATGTTAGGGTTATGGTTAAAGTGTATAGATCAATTTTAAAAAAAAACTAACAAATCTTTGTTAGGGTTATGGTTAAAGTGTATAGATCATGTTTTGAAAAAACTAACAAATCCTGGTTAGGGTTATGGTTAAAGTGTATAGAGCAAGTTTTGAAAAAACGAACAAATCCTTGTTAGGGTTATGTTTAAAGTGTATAGATCAAGTTTTAAAAAAACTAACAAATCTTTGTTAGGGTTATGTTTAACGTATATGGAGCTGGACTAGAGAGTATTCCCCACCCTCAGGTCGCCACCATGCAAATAGAATTGGAAGAGTTGCAGCCCCAGCTGGTGACGTCTGCAGCAGAGACAGAGAAGATGATGGAGATCATCGGCAAGGAGTCCATCGCAGTGGAGGAGACCAGCAAGAAGGTCAAGGCTGATGAAGCTGTAGCCAATGAGGCAGCAGCTGAGGCCAAGGCCCTGAAGGATGAGTGCGAAACTGAGCTAGCTGAAGCTCTGCCTGCACTAGAGGCTGCCCTGTCTGCCTTGGATACACTCAAGGTAGGTTTTTAATTCTAATAGGTTTCACACTCTCAAGGTAGGTTTTTAATTTTAATAGGTTTCACACTCTCAAGGTAGGTTTTTAATTTTAATAGGTTTCACACTCTCAAGGTAGGTTTTTAATTTTAATAGGTTTCACACTCTCAAGGTAGGTTTTTAATTTTAATAGGTTTCACACTCTCAAGGTAGGTTTTTAATTTTAATAGGTTTGACACACTGAAGGTAGGTTTTTTACTTCCGGTGTATAGGTTTCACACACTGAAGGTAGGTTTTTGACTTCTGGTGTATAGGTTTCACACACACTGAAGGTAGGTTTTTACTTCTGGTGTATAGTTTTCACACACTGAAGGTAGGTTTTTACTTCTGGTGTATAGTTTTCACACACTGAAGGTAGGTTTTTGACTTCTGGTGTATAGGTTTCACACACTGAAGGTAGGTTTACATCTCCTAATTTATTGTTTTTTAAACACAGGTGGTAGTGTTACAGCTTCTAATGTATAGGTTTAAAACATTTTTTTCCTTTTTGTTTAATCTAAGATTGTATAGTTTTCTGTTTAATTCTTCCATCTTGTTTTCTGTTTAATTCTTCCATCTTGTTTACTGTTTAATTCTTCCATCTTGTTTTCTGTTTAATTCTTCCATCTTGTTTACTGTTTAATTCTTCCATCTTGTTTACTGTTTAATTCTTCCATCTTGTTTACTGTTTAATTCTTCCATCTTGTTTACTGTTTAATTCTTCCATCTTGTTTTCTGTTTAATTCTTCCATCTTGTTTACTGTTTAATTCTTCCATCATGTTTTCTGTTTAATTCTTCCATCTTGTTTACTGTTTAATTCTTCCATCTTGTTTACTGTTTAATTCTTCTATCTTGTTTACTGTTTAATTCTTCCATCCTGTTTTCTGTTAAATTCTTCCATCCTGTTTTCTGTTTAATTCTTCCATCCTGTTTTAGCCAGCAGACATCACCATTGTGAAATCAATGAAGAGTCCACCGTCTGGTGTCAAACTGGTCATGGCAGCCGTCTGCGTCATGAGGAGCATCCCACCACAGAAAATAAATGACCCAAATGACTCTAGTAAAAAGGTCAGTCTCCCTGAAGCTCCAAATATTTCTACAACAGTTTGTTATTTTTTTAAGCATTTTATTTTTAATTACTACAAACAGTAAGTTAATTATAAAAAAACAAAAGATTAAAATATTTTTAAAAATTATTGTAAAATTTAAATTTCTTAATTCAAATTTGAAAAAAAGTTCAATTTAATTTCATATGCTGCTCTTTTAGTTTTTTGCAAGCTTCAAATATGTAAATATAAATAGAGTTTGGCTACATAATATTAAATGAGAAAGTGACTTTGATGAAACAGATACTGGACTTCTGGACACCAAGTAAAAAATTACTCAACGACCTCAACTTCCTCAACGACCTGAAAAGCTATGACAAAGACAACATCCCTGAAGCTGTTATGACGACCATCAGAAAACAGTATCTCACTAACCCAGAGTTTGACCCCAAGCAGGTCGCCAAGGCCTCTTCAGCAGCAGAAGGTACTAAAGTGCTCTCTTTACAAGAATTTTTTTTTTTACCTCAGCTAACAATATCTGCCTCTGTTAATTCATTTTTTTTAATTTTTAAATTTGTTCCTACATTTTTTTTCCTGCATTTGAATTAACAATACTGTGCACATGTAGAGAGTAAATTACCTTTCTAATCTAAAATCAAAAGAGCAGAAGTAGAGTTATCCTATTTCTGACCTGTGTATAATTTAAAAACATTTTTTTTTGTAAACAGCTGTTACAAGCCATAATTTAAGACTAAATTGCTTTTGCCATTTTGTTTTTAAAATCTCCATTACAAATAGATCTATGTACAAAACTTTATTGTCCAACTCTCTGAAAGATTTATCCAAGTGAATTTTGTACAAAGCTTTATTGTCCAACTCTCTGAAAGGTTTATGCAATTGTTTTTTGTACACAATTTTATTGTCCAACTCTCTGAAAGGTTTATGCAATTGTTTTTTGTACACAATTTTATTGTCCAACTTTCTGAAAGGTTTATGCAAGTGGATTCTAGCTATGGAGATCTATGACAGGGTGGCCAAAGTTGTGGCCCCCAAGAAACAAAAGTTGAAACTGGCTGAAGATGATCTCTCCACACTGATGTCCACGCTAAACAAGAAACGTGCGGAGCTGGCGGCCGTGGAGAAAAAGTTAGCCGACATGACACAGGCACTACAGGAGATGAAGGACAAGAAAGAACACCTGGAATATTCTGTAAGATATTGACCTCATTACATTTTAATTATTAATTTGTAAGATGTTGGCCTCTTCATACTAATGATTAAATTTGTACATTATTGACATCATTACATTTTAAAAAGTGTATATTGTCGACCATCATTAAATAAATAAAGTAAAGTGCAACCACCTTGTTATTTTGTGATAAATAATCTGTAAAAAAGTGATTAATAATCCCACATTACTGTAAAAAGAAAAAGTATTTTTGAACTTTTTTTTTTTGCAGAGAGTGAAAACTATATTATTATCCATGCCATTGAATAACAACAAATGTACATAGTAAGATCCAAAGCAAAACTTTCTACCTTTGATTCACAGGTGGACTTGTGTAACAAAAAACTGGTGCGAGCAGAGAAACTGATTGGAGGTCTGGGGGGCGAGAAAACCCGCTGGACCGAGGCGTCTGTCCAACTGCAGGAGATCTACGACAACCTGATAGGGGACATAATCATCTCTGCTGGGGTCATAGCCTACCTCGGACCTTTCACCACATCATTTCGTGACGAGATGACCAAATCTTGGGTCAAGGAATGCCAGGTAAATTTCAAGCCAACAAGCTGTAGGCTACCACATTGGAGTTTTTTTACAAACAGAAAAACTCTTCACTTAGTAAGGTAGAATTGTTGATTTAATCATTTTGTATATGATAAAGATGTGGATATTTAAATTATTATTCATTTTATGTAGATGGATTTTAAAATTTATTTTTGTACTGATTCTATCAATTTATGTCGAATAAAGACTTAGAATTTGAAATTAATTGTGTTTAGAAAAAGAAAATCCCAGCTTCAACTGAATTCTCCCTGACGAGGACTTTGGGAGAGCCAATCAAAATCCAGGCCTGGAACATTGCAGGTCTGCCGCGTGATGCGTTCTCTGTTGATAATGGTGTCATAGTGGCTAACTCTAGAAGATGGTGAGTTGCCAGTCATTTAGTAGTTCTCTCCCCTTGGTTTTTCTTCTAAATGTTTTTAAAAAAAGACAAAAAGTATATTGTCATGCTCTAATAATAGACCCTGATGGTCAAAACTTTACTTTCAGGCCTCTAATGATTGACCCTGATGGTCAAAACTTTACTTGCAGGCCCCTAATGATTGACCCTGATGGTCAAAACTTTACTTTCAGGCCTCTAATGATTGACCCTAATGGTCAAACCTTTACTTTCAGGCCCCTAATGATTGACCCTGATGGTCAAAACTTTACTTTCAGGCCCCTAATGATTGACCCTGATGGTCAAAACTTTACTTTCAGGCCCCTAATGATTGACCCTGATGGTCAAGCCAACAGATGGGTAAAAAACATGGAGAGAGAAAAGAACCTGGCCGTCATTAAACTTTCAGACCACGACTACGGGAGAGTTCTAGAGAACTGCATAGGGTTTGGGTTCCCTCTACTCCTGGAGAATGTCTACGAGGAACTGGATGCCTCGCTGGAGCCACTTCTGCTCAAGCAGACGTTTAAACAAGGTGGGTCCTGGGTGGGTGTCTTCATATCTAGCCTCTAGATGATGATATGATCATGATGTTGACCTCTAGTTGGTGTTGATATTGATGTTAATCTATAGGTTGTGATGATATGATCTTGATATTTTTCTCTGGGTGGGATTGATATGATCGTGATGTTGGCCTCTATGAAGTTAATATGGTGTTGATCTTTAGGTGGTGTTGATATGGTGTTGATATGGTGTTGACCTCTAGGTGGTGTTGATATGATGTTGATCTCTAGGTGGTGTTATATGATGTTGACTAGGTGATGTTGATATGATGTTGACCTCTAGGTGGTGTTGATATGATCATGATGGGTGACCAAGCCCTAGAGTACAACAAAGACTTCAGGCTGTACATCACAACCAAACTGAGGAACCCGCATTACCTGCCTGAGATCTCCACCAAAGTTTCTCTCCTCAACTTCATGATCACACCAGAGGGCCTAGAGGACCAGCTGCTGGGCATTGTTGTTGCCAAGGAGAGGTAAGTCAGAAGGGGAGGTAAGTCAGGGAGACAAGGGGAGGTAAGTCAGGGGGACAAGGGGAGGTAAGTCAGGGGACAAGGGCAGGTAAGTCAGGGGGACAAGAGGAGGTAAGTCGGAGGGGGGGGGGGGGGGGGCAAGGGCAGGTAAGTCAGGGGGGACGACAAGGGGAGGTAAGTCAATGTCAAAAGGGGGTACAGGGGGAGTCTATTCAGGGGTGTAAGGGGAGATAAGTCAAGATCCAAAAGTGGTACACGGGGAGGTCAGTTAGGGGTGCAAGGGGAGGACTAATTTAAACAACCTCTTGCTTATCTTGCCAACCCACTCATTCATCAATGTACCACCTAACCACCAGGTTTAAACTTACCCACTTTTAACAAAACCTTGTACATTCCTTAATATTTAACAAAACTTTGTATATTCCTCAATATTTAACAAAACCTTGTACATTCCTCAATATTTACAACTTAAAAAAAAATTCTTAAATATAAAGTCTTTGAACCTTTGACCAACAGACCAGAACTGGAGGAAGAGAGACAACTGCTGATCATCACTAGTGCAGCTAACAAGAAGCAACTCAAAGAAATTGAGGACAAAATTCTGCACACTCTCTCATCCTCCGAAGGGAATATTCTAGAAGACGAGTCAGCCATTGAAATCCTAGACTCATCCAAAATCTTGTCTAATGAAATTTCTAAGAAACAAAAAGTAAGATTTCATTGATAGTAGATATAGAATAGATGTGCTAAAACCAAATATTTGCTACAACACCCCAAATACTCAGTATAGCAAAGCTTGTGATTTTTAAACCTGCTGTAGATTGGTGAAGAGACGGAAAAAAAGATTGACGTGTCGAGAGCAGGCTACAGACCCATCGCAAACCACTCATCCGTCCTGTTCTTCTCCATCACTGAACTCCCTAGCATTGACCCCATGTACCAATATTCTCTCAACTGGTTCGTCAATCTCTTCATCTTGTCAATCCAGGAGAGGTAACTGCTGCTTGAACTTTTTGGATAGTATTAAAAAGATGGACAAGTCTACAACTATTGTTCTCTTCTTTTATATAACTATTGGAATATGGATGACTATACTGATATATATGTACTTCCCATATATATATATATATATATATATATATATATATATATATATATACATATTTTTATTTTATTTTTTATTTTAAATATTTATATAGCCTATACATCAGCAATTAACTAAAGCTAATTAGTTAGTTAATGATGTACATACTAACTTCTCCTTACAACTGTATGCAGCTGCTAACTGAATTGTTCTGTTAAAGCAATAAATCAAAGCAACTGGACAAGAGGATCCGCTTCTTGGCTGACCACTTCACCTACAGCTTGTATTGTAATGTGTGCCGGTCACTCTTTGAGAAAGACAAGCTGGTCTTCTCATTTATATTGTGCTCAAATATACTCAGGTACTGCTACATGGTAGCTGATGTTTTCACACTTGTGTCTGCAGTTTTGACATTTTTTTTATAAAACTTGTTACCTTGATACTATAGTTATTTAGGTATGTAGAGCATTGTAGAGCATTATAGAGCAATTAAATATTATTTTTTTAAATGCAGTGTATCTCTTATGTGATTCCTTGTGAGCAACTTCAGCATAGAGATAAAGCTAGACATAAAACTCTTTTATATGTGGTTACCTAGCAACAGATAAACTTTAGCTCAACTGTTCTTATGGTCACTGCTTGTGTAGACTACTGTAGGATCACACATGGTCTTGTTTTAAATTAATTTATACCCAATATTTCTTAAAAATTTTTTAGACATGTTCAATTTTATTTTTTTAACAATAAACAAAACCAAATAGATTTTTTAAGAATGAACTAGACCAACCAAATATTTTTTGTGCTCTAGATCCAAGAATGAACTAGACCAACTTAATATTATTTTGTGCTCTAGATCCAAGAATGAACTAGACCAACCTAATATTTTTTGTGCTCTAGATCCAAGAATGAACTAGACCAACCTAATATTTTTTGTGCTCTAGATCCAAGAATGAACTAGACCAACCTAATATTTTTTGTGCTCTAGATCCAAGAATGAACTAGACCAACCTAATATATTTTTGCTCTAGATCCAAGAATAAACTAGACCAACCTAATATATTTTTGCTCTAGGTCCAAGAATAAACTAGACCAACCTAATATTTTTTGTGCTCTAGATCCAAGAATGAACTAGACCACCGTGAATTTTTATTCTTCCTGACTGGGGGTGTGGCTCTAAAGAACACTATACACAAGCCAGACAAGGACTGGCTCAGTGAGAACAGCTGGGATGAAATCTGTCGTCTCAATGACATGAAAGATTTTGGGGGCTTCAGGTTGGTTAAAATCTGTCTTCTGAATGACATGAAAGATTTTGGGGGCTTCAGGTTGGTTAAAATCTGTCGTTTGAATGACATGAAAGATTTTGGGGGCTTCAGGTTGGTTAAAATCTGTCGTCTGAATGACATGAAAGATTTTGGGGGCTTCATATCTGTGCTATCTAATATAACTTTATAATATATCTATTCAATTATACCCACTACAATGATCTGCAATAAATGTGGCAGAGATTGCCATTCTAGGATTGGCATGATCAGCTACAACAGAGCCTGTACCAAAAGGAAATAACACCTTAATCTCTGGGCGCAAATCCATTCTCTTACAAGTCAAAAGGACCCATATGTGTGTGTATATATATATATATATATATATATATATATATATATATATATATATATATATATATATATTTATATATATGTGTGTGTGTGTGTGTGTGTGTATATATATATGTATATATATATATATATATATATATATATATATATATATATATATATATATATATATACACATATACATACATACATATATATATGACCACCACATCAGGATGCTCTGTATAAGATGCCTTTAACTTTAAGTTGTCTTATCCCTGGTAGATAAACACAATTACCTACATTAGATCCTGTCAAATTTCAAACACCGATTGTACTGTAAACCTGTACAAAAGTGCTAATGCTGCTCCACTTTGACTGTGTTGTTGTATGCTGATGAGGATGTGTCTCCCACAGAGATAGCTTCACACAGCACTTAGAGTTCTGGGAAAATTACTACAACTCCAAAGAACCAAATAAAGTGGCCCTGCCAGACCCATGGCACACCAAACTTGGAAGTTTCCAGAAGTTGATGGTACAACGCTGCATTCGTCCTGATAAGGTTGGTATAGGTGACAGTTGAACATTTAGCTAGAGACTATAATACCATCCCTATTAAAATAGTTCTCTCCAGATAATTTTATGTAAACCATAGCTCTACTCACACAATTAAATTCACTTTCAGTGAAATTTAACTAGAATTCATGAAAAAGCTTTATTTACAAAAATCATTTGTTTAATAATCAAATTTTAATGAAATTTCTGTTTTAATATATGAAGTAGGCCTATGTAGTACATAAAAGACGTGTTGTATTATTTTTTTCAACTAAAATTTTGAAATATTCTCTCCCGTTTTATTTTTTATATTCCCAGATATCTCAAGCCATTGTTGAGTTTGTGGTGGAGAAGCTGGGTAAAATATTTGTGCAACCTCCACCTTTTGACCTGGCTAAGAGCTACAACGACTCCAATGCCTGCTCCCCCCTCATTTTCATCCTCTCCCCTGGTGCTGACCCCACCATGGCCTTACTGAAATACGCTGATGACAAAGGCTTTGGGGGGAAAAAGTTCAACTCCATTTCACTTGGACAGGGGCAGGTAATACAATCATGTCATCATACAATTTATGTTGTTTTTTTAAAAACATGTTTTAAAATAGCATGAAAAGTAAAGACTAAATATTTTAATATTGAAGTTTTTCTATAAACAGCTAGAGTGATGATATGGTCAGATGGTAAAGCTTACAATAGCTAACTCAAAAGTTTAGAGTTCAGATCTTGGGCTCGAGTCTGTAGGACTTCCCTGAGACCAATCAGCTCTGATGTGTGCCTGACCCATGCAGCTGGGTACAGTGCTGACCACACTGGGTACAGTGCTGACCACACTGGGTACAGTGCTGACCACACTGGGTACAGTGCTGACCACACTGGGTACAGTGCTGACCACACTATCCTCATGTATGCAGAAGTCCTTGAAACAGATTAACTCTATTTCATCTGTCTCATGTGTCTTGGGCACAAATGGGAAACAATGATGATAAACAGTTCATTTATTATTTTATTTTAAAAGACCGTGCTATAATTTATAATTTGACCAAAGTCTTAAATGTGAATATCTGTTATAGGGGCCTATAGCTGCTAAGATGATAAAAATAGCATCAGAGGAAGGCACTTGGGTCCTACTACAGAACTGTCATCTGGCTGTTTCATGGATGAATGCCCTAGAAAAAATTTGTGAAGAGTTTTCCCCAGAAAATGTTGCCACTGATTTCAGACTTTGGTTAACGAGCTACCCATCACCAAAGGTAGGTAGCCTTAATGATTTCAGGGTATGGTTAATTAGCTACCTATCATCAAAGGTAGGTAGCCTCAATTAACTAACTACCCATCATCAAAGGTAGGTAGCCTTAATGATTTCAGGGTATGGTTAATTAGCTACCCATCATCAAAGGTAGGTAGCCTCAACTAACTAACTACCCATCATCAAGGTAGGTAGCCTTAATGATTTCAGGGTATGGTTAATTAGCTACCCATCATCAAAGGTAGGTAGCCTCAATTAACTAACTACCCATCATCAAAGGTAGGTAGCCTTAATGATTTCAGGGTATGGTTAACTAGCTACCCATCATCAAAGGTAGGTAGCCTTAATGATTTCAGGGTATGGTTAACTAGCTACCCATCATCAAAGGTATGTAGCTTTAATGATTTTAGTGTATGGTTAACTAGCCACCCATCATCAGTTAGGTAGCCTTAAAGATTTCTGACATACGGTAAGAAGCCTCAGTGAGTTCATAACAATTAGCTTGCACTTTGGCATGATATTGCTAGACAGCACAGTCACTCTTTTTGTCAGGCATGCTTCACCTGACTTAAATATTAATTTGATATGGGTCAGAAACAATACAGTGATTGCACATAACACCATCTTCATAGAAAGGTGTATGGCACATTGCAACTTGACAGGTTTGCTGTTGAGACTTCAAAAATAAATGTTTAGAAAAAATGTTTTTCAGCCCTTTAGTTTTTTAATTAAGGAAATTATCTCTTTTAAGTTTAACAAACAATTTTTTCAATGCTTAGAGACCTATTCCATAAATAGATTGTGCATTTGGCCTATAAAACATAGAACAGACTTCTTACGGTCGTATACAAACATGGATAGATTGTCCTGACTACCATGTATAAAAACAGATTGCACTTACTTTCTCTGTGACCTTTACCCCCAGTTCCCTGTCTCAGTGCTACAGAACAGCGTGAAGATGACCAATGAACCACCAACAGGGCTGCGCCAGAACCTGCTGCAGAGTTACCTCAACGATCCAATCAGTGACGAGACTTTTTACAGTGGCTGTAGCAACCACTTGAAGCCAGACAAAGATGGGGTGAGTTGGGTTTTATTCCTCTCTTCAGTCTGATGCTTGCTATCACCAAATCTCTTCTCTTATTTTGTGCTTGATGCTTGCTATCACCACAATACTTTTGTGCTTGATGCTTGCTATCACCACAATACTTTTGTGCTTGATGCTTGCTATCACCACAATACTTTTGTGCTTGATGCTTGCTATCACCACAATACTTTTGTGCTTGGTGCTTGCTATCAACATATTAATTTTGTGATCAACACTTGCTATTTAAACATTTTTCTTGCATGTTATTGCAAGAGCTGCTGTGATAAAATATTTTTAGTTTTTTTTTTATTCTTTGTTGAATTGCAAACTTATATTTAGAATAACATTATCTCTAGGGGTCTCTGAAAGTCAAATGACTGTACTATAAATATTTCAACTGTTACAGCACATTCTGTTACTGATATTAATTTTTGAAATTTCAGCATTTCACCAAACTTTTGTTTGGTCTGTGTTTCTTCCATGCCCTGGTACAAGAGAGAAGAAAATTTGGCCCCAATGGATGGAATATTGCATACGGCTTTAATGAATCAGATCTTAGAATATCTATACGACAGCTTCAGGTAAACATTTCTCATCAACAGTAACATTTTAACTGTGTCCAGGTTGGACTTGCCATTCAATTTTTTTATATTTCTTCCTTCTGGACTAACCTGGCCAGATTTTTATAAATTAATGTCATTTTAAATGTCTTTACTAAACATGTTTTAGACTCCACTAAGTTTTAGGCTGAGGAGTAAAATATTATATTGGTCTGTTTGCAGTACAGACATTTGTATATTATTTAAATTAAATGGATTAAAATAATTTTATGTAATGTTTTGACTGTTAGCTCTATGGACATTTGAATTTTTTAAATTATTTGGATGAGCATAAATTCTATGTCATTTCATATTTCTTGTTACATAGACCTATATGTATTTTTCAATTACAATGATGGGTTAATTTGTTGGGATGATACTCAAACTGGCCAATCTATAAATCTGCTCAGATGTTCATCAATGAATACGATGAGCTGCCGTTTGATGCCATCACGTACATGACTGGAGAGTGTAACTACGGGGGTCGAGTCACAGACGACTGGGACAGGCGCTGTCTGATGACCATCCTAGGGGACTTCTTCTGTGAGCCCATCATCTTTGACCCCAACTACAAGTTCAGCAGCAGTGGACACTACCACCTGCCCCTGCGGACAGACTATGAGAACTGCGTCAAGTTCATTAAGGTCAGTTTTGCTTATGTTTCGGTGGTCCAGCAACTGCCCACTACCCAGGTCCTAATCTCTATGTTTCCATTGTCCAGCAACTGCCCACTACCCAGGTCCTAATCTCTAATGTATGTTCCAATTGTCCAGCAACTGCCCACTCCCCAGGACCTAATCTCTCTGTTTCCATTGTCCAGCAACTGCCCACTGCCCAGGACCTAATCTCTAATGTATGTTCCAATTGTCCAGCAACTGCCCACTACCCAGGACCTAATCTCTATGTTTCCATTGTCCAGCAACTGCCCACTACCCAGGACCTAATATCTATGTTTCCAATTGTCCAGCAACTGCCCACTGCCCAGGACCTAATGTGTTTCCATTGTCCAGCAACTGCCCACTACCCAGGACCTAATCTCTATGTTTCCATTGTCCAGCAACTGCCCACTACCCAGGACCTAATCTCTATGTTTCCATTGTCCAGCAACTGCCCACTACCCAGGACCTAATCTCTATGTTTTCATTGTCCAGCAACTGCCCACTGCCCAGGACCTAATGTGTTTCCATTGTCCAGCAACTGCCCACTACCCAGGACCTAATCTCTATGTTTCCAATTGTCCAGCAACTGCCCACTACCCAGGACCTAATGTGTTTCCATTGTCCAGCAACTGCCCACTACCCAGGTCCTAATCTCTATGTTTCCATTGTCCAGCAACTGCCCACTACCCAGGACCTAATGTGTTTCCATTGTCCAGCAACTGCCCACTACCCAGGACCTAATCTCTATGTTTCCATTGTCCAGCAACTGCCCACTGCCCAGGACCTAATCTCTAATGTATGTTCCTATTGTCCAGCAACTGCCCACTACTCAGGACCTAATCTCTAATGTATGTTCCTATTGTTCAGCAACTGCCCACTACTCAGGACCTAATCTCTATGTTCCAATTGTCCAGCAACTGCCCACTGCCCATGTCCTAATCTCTAATGTATGTTCCAATTGTCCAGCAACTGCCCACTACCCATGACCTAATCTCTAATCTATGTTCCAATTGTCCAGCAACTGCCCACAGCCCAGTACCCGGAAGTGTTTGGTCTGCACGAAAACGTTGACATCTCCAGAGAGCTGCAAGAGACCAAGATGCTGTTTGATGCCGTCCTGTTGACCGAGGGTCAAGGAGGAGGGGCATCCAAATCTTCAGAGGCTGCCCTAGCAGCTGTAGCAGGAGATATTTTGGGCAAGGTAAGTAACTCTGGTCAATTTACATAACTCTAGGCAAGGTACATAACTCTTGGCAAGGTACATAACTCTTGGCAAGGTACATAACTCTGGGCAAGGTACATAACTCTGGGCAAGGTACATAACTCTTGGCAAGGTACATAACTCCTGGGGCAATGTAAGTAACTATGGGCGAGATACATAACTCTGGGCAAGGTACAAGCACTGTTTAAAGAACAAACTGATTGGTTAACTGATATCTGTATCCCATCTGACAGCTTCCCAAAGATTTTGATATAGAAGCAGCTATTCACAAGTATCCTGTTACCTATGGAGAAAGCATGAACACTGTCTTGGTGCAGGAAATGGAGAGATTTAACAGGTAAGGGGAGAAAGGCTTGAAATTAAGTTCAAACAGCGAAATGTCATAGGTATGTATATAGAGCTGTGAGTGGTGAATTGAAAAATTAAACAGGAAAATGACAGGAATAAATTCTACACCTCCAGCAGTTCTCCCTTTATTCTCTGTGTGGTTCACATGTGGCCTGTAATGAGCCTGTTACTTTCAGGTTGCTGGATGTTATCCGCATATATTGCTGGCCTGTCATGAGCCTGTTACTTTCAGATTGCTGGATGTTATCCACACATATTGCCGGCCTGTAATGAGCTTGTTACTTTCAGGTTGCTGGATGTTATCCGCATATATTGCTGGCCTGTCATGAGCCTGTTACTTTCAGGTTGCTGGATGTTATCCGCATATATTGCTGGCATGTCATGAGCCTGTTACTTTCAGATTGCTGGATGTTATCCACACATATTGCTGACCTGTCATGAGCCTGTTACTTTCAGGTTGCTGGATGTTATCCGTACATATTGCTGGCCTGTAATGAGCCTGTTACTTTCAGGTTGCTGGATGTTATCCGTACATATTGCTGGCCTGTAATGAGCCTGTTACTTTCAGGTTGCTGGATGTTATCCGTACATATTGCTGGCCTGTAATGAGCCTGTTACTTTCAGATTGCTGGATGTTATCCGCATATATTGCTGGCCTGTCATGAGCTTGTTACTTTCAGGTTGCTGGATGTTATCCGCATATATTGCTGGCCTGTCATGAGCCTGTTACTTTCAGGTTGCTGGATGTTATCCACACATATTGCTGGCATGTCATGAGCCTGTTACTTTCAGGTTGCTGGATGTTATCCGTACATATTGCTGGCCTGTCATGAGCCTGTTACTTTCAGGTTGCTGGATGTTATCCACACATATTGCTGGCATGTCATGAGCCTGTTACTTTCAGGTTGCTGGATGTTATCCGTACATATTGCTGGCCTGTCATGAGCCTGTTACTTTCAGGTTGCTGGATGTTATCCGCATATATTGCTGGCCTGTCATGAGCCTGTTACTTTCAGGTTGCTGGTCATCATCCGCTCCAGCCTCATCAACGTCCAGAAAGCCCTGAAAGGTCTGGTGGTCATGTCTGCTGACCTTGAGAGTCTGGCCTCCAGTCTGATGCTGGGCAAGCAGCCGGCCATGTGGGCCAAACGTTCCTACCCGTCCCTTAAACCACTGGCCAGCTATGTCAACGACTTCCTCGATAGACTGGGATTCCTGGAGGTAGGAGTTGTAGGATTCTTTTAGATCATTGAAATTTCTGGAGCTAGGTTTTAGGATTCTTTTAGATCATTGAAATTTCTGGAGCTAGGCTTTAGGATTCTTTTAGATCATTGAAATTTCTTGAGGTAGGTTTTAGGATTCTTATAAAGATTGAAATATCTTGGGGTAGGAGTTTTAGGATTCTTATAAAGATTGAAATATCTTGTGGTAGGAGTTTTAGGATTCTTATAAAGATTCTAACAATAGAATACATTATTTTCACAGAAATGGTACAATGAAGGAAAACCTCAGGACTTTTGGGTCTCTGGGTTCTTTTTCACTCAAGCCTTTTTGACAGGGGTCATGCAGAACTATGCCAGAAAATACACCATTCCCATTGACAAACTTGCCTTTGATTTTGAGGTAAATTTTAAAGGCCAACATATAAACTGTTTTTATTGTTTTTTCTAATATGATAATAGATCTAAGCATTAAATCTGAACTGTGTAAAGAAAATAGACCTGAACTTTTAAGTTTTTTATTTGTCCAATTACATTTTATACAGGCATAGATATTTACTTTAGTAAAATTGAAAACAATGATCATTATATAATAGCTAGGTAAAACTAGCATCATTGATTGATGGATTAGACACATGTTATAAATATCTGTTTCCAGTTGTTGCCTCACGATCGTATGCCTAAAGCTCCAGATGATGGCGCCTACATTTATGGACTCTTTTTAGATGGAGCTCGATGGAGTAGAGAAGAGTAAATATCTTTTAGCTTAAATTGGGAATTTATCTTTCTACTTATATGTATATATATGTATGTGTTTATTTTTTTTAATTTCTGTATTAAATATGTATATATAGAGAGAAACAGTGGGAGATTAATATACACATACATATTTATATATATATATAAATATTTTTTTTTTTACTTAATTTATTTATTTATGTATTTAAATTATAATTTATTTATTTAAATCTATAAATAAATTACTACTACCTTAAAGGTCTGCCCAGATCACTAGTGTACATTCACATATATGCAAGCTTGTGAAAACTAGGGCTAAAGGTTTGGGGATAATTGAACAATTTATTCCATAACTGTATCTCTTTATTTTCTATTGCTTTAAAACTTGATTGGTTGACTTTGCCCCAGGGGTTGCCTGGAAGAACAGAAGCCCAGGGTGTTGTTTGAGCCTATCCCAATCATTTGGCTCAAGCCTAAATACAGCGAGGAAATCGACCGCAGTGCCAAGCGCTACATGTGCCCCATCTACAAGACATCAGAACGTAAAGGTGTCTTGTCCACCACCGGACACTCCACCAACTTCGTCATCGCCATCTACCTGTCTGCAGGTAAGATGCCTGTCCAGCATTGGATAAAGCGCTCATGTGCGGCTCTTTGTCAGACAGACAACTAAATGTTGTCTATGTCAATACTAATTTTTCAGTTTCTTCAGTTCTATAGCAAATATTAGTTTTACTATCATGCTAACTTTAAAGTCTAAGAGTGTGGATTAAATTAGCTATTTTTAAACCCTTCAAACAGAAATTGTGTATATACTGAACAAGAGAATACATTAAACTTATTATACTCATTATTTTATCTGTTGAAAAGTGCAATGTAAAATGCTGATGGCACAGTGCAATGCTGATTTTAATCATTTACAATTTCTAAACCAAATTTTTAAAATGTTATTTTACCCCTGTAAAGAATTTTACAACATAAGCCTGAAATTATGTATTATATTTATTATATCATGATTAATTAATTTGCCCCTAATATGTTTTACCCATGAATGTTTATGATCCTAATGGATTAATAAAAAAATTTTTTACACATTGTTTACATCTTTGTTTTGTATTTTACTTTTGAATGTTTCCATTCTTTAAAATATTTACTTAGATCACAATGTCTGTCTTTAGCAAATTTTGTAACTCAGATGTGACCCTTGATGCAATGATTTTGTCTAAACTCTGCACACACATTAGGTTCCTAATGTAAGGAAATTTTCAATCTATTAACTATTGTTAGAAATTTACTTAGAGATTATTATATTAAACAACAAAAGGGGAGATAACAAAATCAATTAGCACTTCAACTATCAGATGGGTGAGCTACCATCACTCATGTTTTCATTAATGAGAATCAACATGAACTGATCGAGTTTTTAAACAAACAATTTTAGACATATGGTTGTCGTCTTAGTTAAAATTAAACGAATTATAAATTAATATGGTTCTAAGTGTTTTTATTTTTACAATATTTGAATAATAAAAAAAGGGAAGAGAAGGAAAAAAAAAACCTTAAAAAATAATCTTTTAAATACACTTGCTCTATTTAATGAAAACATCGGTTGCTGAAAAGTGTAAGAGTGAGTTTTCATGAGCAACGAATCAATTTATCAATTGTTACAACTGTTTTGAAGGGGATGAACAGGCATATTTACAAATTTGAACACTGGGTATCTTTTTAACCTTTTGTAGACCAAATCTAGATCTATTTGGCTCTAAAAAAAATATTGTGTAAAATGTGGATTATCAAGGACAGGACAAAACGTGAAGTATCAGTGAACACCTAGTATGACCTCCCTTATTAGAAAGTATTTTCCCAGTTGTCTTTCTTGGATTTTTCAACGCAGTTTTTTTAGCAAAATATTTATCTTAATGGTTGAGGCATGTAGGCTAAATCTATGAGGATAATTATGGAAATAACATGCTACCGATAAAATTAGTTTTTTAAAAGTATTCCATCCTATATGGACTAACCTAGACGAGTTAACTAGGCGATTATGTATCTAATGATAATTCATTATTGTAAGGTTCAAAGCTTTACTCAATTTTATTTGTTCTACAATGAAATTATAAGCTAGGGGTGAAGCACGGTAATAAGAATAAAAGAGCGGTGACTATGCAATCTGCATAGTGATCACGTGATTAAAAATCTTTATCTGTGATGACGTCAGATAGTCCTAACATCGGTCGGGCCGCCATTATCTTGATGTGTAAACACCCAGGCAACGAAATGTTCCGGAACTAGTCACTGAACGCCGGGGAAAAAAACATTTCCCGCCGGACAAATTTGTTTCTAGCGGGACTGGACAACACAACGATTTATCTCTCAACGGTCAGCGGGCGTGGGTCGTATCAGCGCTGGTTGTTTGACTTAGGGGGGTCGAGGTCCATTCATTACGTCACATTCCTGGGTGGGGGTTGAACTTATGTGACGAGGTATGACTGAGGAAACGGAAAGGGGGGGGGGAAGTATTGTGATGTTACACTTGCATTTTTAAAAGTAGTTTTTAGATTGACATTTAGGCTAGCAGTACTTTCTCAAAGACAATATTATGGAAACTGTACTAAAAATAGTTCAACGAACCTGATTTTGACCCGGGTTTGTTAGTTTCCCATAGGCTTTTCAAAAGTGATAAATGATGTTTTCACTTTCAATACCTTTGATAAACATCATCACAAAAGTTCGATTCCCTCCCCCCCCCCCCCATATCCTAGGCGTGTAACTATAGACACCCCCTACCCCCACCCTTTGTTTCCGTTTATCATTTAAAAGATTTTAAAAACACAAATAACCGTCTAAAAATACCTAATTTGTTTCGTCCATGAAGCTAAATACAGAAATCTCCGTCATCTATCGGTGCTTAGACCCGACCGGTTTTGGATATTGATTAAACTCAACTAATTAAGATTTATTAGCTTGACAGCACTTTTTCTCCCCGTCGTTAAAATAACGAACTTGATTTCTATTTTAGATTCCACTTTTAATTTCATTGATGCTGATGGCGGAGATACGACTCAGGGGAGATAATCATACGTTTTTATGATGTGTAAATAATGACGTCATAAAACTTCCGAATACTTTATGTTGTTCACAGTTTGTTTTTCTGGGCTATAGCTATAAAATACATAGATCTATGTCTCCAGCTAGTGTTTGTTTTTGTTTCTAAATGTTTTTAATAATAAAAATATGCTGAAGTGTCACACCAGCGGAAAGGCTAATGGTACTAAAAGGTTGGGATAGGGACATTACGTCATGCACTATATTATAACACTGTTATGCCTACAATGAGCGCGGCACTATTATGTTTTGCTTCAGGGCACTAGAATATGCCCGTAGTATCAGGTTAGTTTACAAGAATAAACCACACGACAGCGCAACAGAAAATAAGAAATATTGATTTGTAAATCTTCTAAACTGGAGAGCGGACGACCTCGCTAGGTCTACGTGATTGCATGCAGCTTCGCTCTTCATGATCAAAAGATCGTTTTCCTCTAATCTGTGAGTGGGGAGTTGGCATATGTTGTCCACATTGCACTCTCCATTCTGAGAGAGGGAGGGAGGGAGGCAATCCTGATTCAGATCATTTTTAAACGGAAGCAATTCTGATTCGGATCACTAAACGGGAAGTAACTCTGATTCGGATCAATTTTTATGAGTTGTTGAACATTAGCCTTGTCGTCTAAAGGGCTAGATCGTTAACGAGAATTTATTTTATCGGTTACAGATATTCTGACTAGCACCGCTACCGTCTACATCTTCTTAAAGAAAATTGATTGGTAAAACAAAATCCGTGCAGTCGGGAATGGGGGGGGGGGGGGGGGGGGGGGGCTGCTCAGGGCTGACTGCATCAAAATTTAGAACTGCAGTGGAACGATGCAGCAGTCTGAACACATAACCAAATCTAAAAATGGAGACAAATTTTAGAAACTTTTATTAAATTAACAGCTGGTATAAAAATCTAGCCAATAAATAAGAAACAACAAATTAGCGAAACAATGTTTAATGTAAACATATAAAACAAATGAGAAGAGCAGCGACCAGCTAGAGAAGAGGTTCAAATGTTTGTTTGTTGTGTCGCGTCACATGAGGAAAATGTGCAGTAAAAAAAAAAAAAAGTTGAATATCTTCTGATTCTTTTCTCAACTACTGCAGCAAAACTGGGCAATGAGCCAGTCTAGCAAGCAGACATTGAACAACCTTGAACTTCAGTGATGAAATCATTACCACCCCCCCCCCCCCCCCTTATATAAACTCTGTTGTCGCTCCAGTGGTCCACAACTGACTAGATTGGACTTGTGCCGTTGTTGTCAAGTCGTATTTGTTTAATACAACCACTCAAAATGTTTTGCTAGTTGTAGGAAGTGTTGGCTCTCTAAAGGTGTTGATGGCGTTTAAAAAAACAGTAATTAATAAACTAAAACGCCCCTTTTTAAAATTGAATTTTTAAGCGAAACGGAAATATTGCGCGTAGAATAAGGCACGTCAACATGTACATATTAAAGGTCGTCTGTTACTATTATCATGCAGTTTTTAAACGCCTTTTACACACAGATCCCCATACACCAACCCCACCCCCGATCTATGGACGACCCTGAAAGAATGTACACCAAGGAATGCTAAACGTGTCCGTTTTGTCTTGGCAGACTTCCCAGTTCCAGGCTGGTCATTTTAGACCCATTTCGCACCGGCGGCGAGTTGGTGACGTCACTGGCCTGCGTCCTCTGAAGAAACTGGTAAAAACTCTCCGCCCCGCCCGGCAGCTCGTCCTCACCCCCCACAATCACCTCGGGGGTCTCGCTGGTGTCCGCGTGCTTCCTCCTGCACGGTATCTGGAACACGATCCAAGCCTCGCCTCGACTGCTGCAGCACAGACATTGACAGCAGCAGCAGAAGTTCCAGAAGGAGTTCCAGAGTCTGAAGAGCTCCTCTCTGATCATCCGGTTCATGCAGCCGTACAGGACCGGGTTCACGGCATAGCTGGCGAAGCTGAGCCAGGTGGTGAGAAGTTCCAGAACTTGCGACGCCGACCTCCCACAGGTGAAGTCGTGTAGCAGACAGGCGAAGTACGGGCCCCAGAGAATGACGTAGGACACTACAATTATCATCAACGTTTTGAAAGCTTTAGAGTGGCTTGGTCTAGTTTTGGATGTGTGAGGCTGGTTGTGTAGTGGGATGTGGGCTGACGTGATGTTTAATGCTGATGATGATGTCTGTTCTCGACCAGCCGTTCTACTGGTGTGGTAGGAATCAGCTTTCCTACCCGCGCAATTTAGTTTCAGTTTGTTAGCTTTATCTATGTCAAGCCGACCTTTTGTCGGCTTCCGCTCCTCGTCGTTATCATTATTGTTACAAGAATTAGCCGACATTGTGTCCGTTATCTCCGCTGTTCGTATCCCAGAATCCTCTATTGAGAGACGCCGGAAATAAATCTGATTATTCAAAATGGCTTCCGAACCGTTTGCTGAAACATCCTGCACGTTGACGCGAGGTGTCTCACGGGGCAATGGATTGCCGTGGTTGTTTTGCGCATGCGTAATCGCGAAGATCCGATCGTCCATATTCACGCGTGTCACAGGATCACAAGAAGGTCCTGATTGGCTAGGGGAAATCACCGTTGCTGCCTTTTTAGCCACACGGAATATGCCTGCGTACATTGTCAGTAAAATGACGGTAGGAATAAGAAACGAAACGAGAAATATGATGGCGACGAATGCCTTGTCGCCCGTGTTTTCTGCTTGCAGGTAAAAGGAGCACATTCTTCTTGACGGGCGATACCTGAAAATACATGTTAACATTGTATACCCTTTAAATTTAACACATGTACTAGTTTATTGATGCTGCATCTAAACGTATATACACTTCTAAACAATTTATTGTTTACTTCTATATAAACCTGTAAAATGGTAATGAGAGGATGGGACCCAAGGGATAGAGCGCTAGATTGTAAACCCGAAAGTTTCTAGTTCGAATCCGGGTTCAAGTCGGTTGAACGTCCCTGAATCCACTCAGCTCTGATGGGTACCCACTTATGTTAGGGAAAGTAAAGGCGGCTGGGCATAGTGCTGACCACACCTTCCTTTCATATGCCGAGTTCAAGAAACATATGAGCTTTACATTTGCCAACTGGATCGCTTGGTCTAAAGATGATTCTTTTATATATATATATATATATATATATATATATATATATATATATATATATATATATATATATATATATATATATATATATATATATATATATATATATATATATATATATATATATATATATATATATATATATATGGCGACATGGTGGTTTCGCCCGTGTCACAAACATTAACCTTTAAACAATTGACACCCCAAAAAACTTACCTGTAGTAAATGACACCTTAACTTACCTGTAAGAATTGACGCCCAGCAAAGGAAACATGGCCGCCACTAGGCTGGTGACCCAGACCCCCGTGACTGTGATGAGGTACAGGCAGGGGGTGGCGTGGCCGGCGTGGTGCATGGGCAGGGAGATGGTGTAGTAGCGCTCTATCGAGATGACCGACAACGACAACACCGACGACACCATCACACACGTGTTGAGGAAGCCGCTCGCCTCACATGCCTGGGGTGGGAGGAAAATGTTCGTCACTGACAAAAATGTCTATTTATTTTATTTTTTATCCCTCTCTTTGATTAGAGGATGCGTTGGTCACTTTCTTCCTGCTAAGTGGCGCCACTAGGTCCGGTGCCACCCCCTACCCCCTCCTAAAATGTAGCATTTTCGGCTTTGTATCACCCGACTGTTATATTATTTTTCTGGGTAAAACATTGTTTTCAAAGTAAATTTTATGATTTTTCGAGTTGGTGTCACCAAATGAGTACCGCCCCCCACCCCCGCATTGTGCCGTTGCTGATCCTGCTTACTCCATGGCGATTGATCCCTTTTTATAAAAATCAAACAATAGCATAAGTTCAGAGAATCTGTGAATATCTCAACATGCCCATCATGACAGAGTTTACGCCTCAAAGATATCTCTGGACAAATCCTGGTTTAGTCAGGAATGTACAGCAGAAAGACTGGTTGACATGGCCTACTCACCCCATAAACCAACATTAGCTGACAAAAGAAGCAGGTCAATCACCCAATAGAACAATAAGTTACGTCCAGAATTTCAGGTGCTTGTTAGGTAGGACCTAATTTGGCCTCTGGTGACAGTGGTTTTAAAGCATTTCTACGTTAGGGGAGGGATGAGACCATCTACCCTGAGTACGATCACCGCCTCTCCCCCGTCCCACAGGCGAAATGGAAAAAATATTAAATGTATATATACACTATTTACTTTAACCAATGTCTTCCACTACCTCACCCCCCCCCCCCCCCCACCCCACTTCCGAACGAAATAGAATTATACAAAATATACAAAATATATACTTTAACCAGTGTACACCCCCTCCCCTCCGTAAGATTCAAGTGCCCCCGGGAGAAAAAATGTCGAAAAGAAAGATAAACTCGGACGAAGTTGAATGTGAAGTGGGATTCATCCCGGGGTTGATCATCTGATACATTATCCATCTAAACATTTTTATCATCGATAACTTGTAATCTCATCTAAGAGAACTCATGTGAAAAGCCTATATGCGACTGAATGTTAGTGTTACCGCGCTAGATTGTATGTGGCTAGGAACTCGATCAAATATTGCGACATTGTAATCTACCACTCGATGCTTGAATGACGCACGTAAACATCTGACACAGTTGTGTAGGTATAGGATGTCTGACAACAAATCTGCCATGAAATCAGATTCCAAGATCTGTAAGCTGGCAGTGAAATGTCAACGAGCCAGCCGAGGTAGGCCTCAGCGGCCGTCACTGACATTAGTTTGTGGTTATGCAAGTCGGGATCAATACACAACCAGACATGTAGGGAAAATGTGATTTAATTTGTGGGGGTATCGATTGTGGATGGGTCGGTGGGGGGGGGGGGGGGGGGGGGCACTGGTCAGATACGGTGGCTTGTGTTGGTGTAATGGTGTCATCTCAAGTACATACATACTGGTGTATGGTGTCATCTCAATATCATATTGAGGAATGGTGTCACATCAACAATATTTTGTTGTATGAGGGAATTTTGTAATCTTGACCACATATGGGGTGTAGTTTTTAAATACCCAAGGGGTCTTTATTTCAAATGAGTCAATTCTCTTGGTCATTTATATTTGGTATAGGACCTAAGATCTGTACCGATAGACGGCAATAGGGTCTAAGATCTGTACCGATAGACGGCAATAGTGTCTAAGGTCTGTACCGATAGACGGCAATAGGGTCTAAGATCTGTACCGATAGACGGCAATAGTGTCTAAGATCTGTACCGATAGACGGCAATAGGGTCTAAGATCTGTACCGATAGACGGCAATAAGGTCTAAGATCTGTACCGATAGACGGCAATAAGGTCTAAGATCTGTACCGATAGACGGCAATAGGGTCTAAGATCTGTACCGATAGACGGCAATAGGGTCTAAGATATGTACCAATAGACGGCAATAGGATCTAAGATCTATACCAATAGACGGCAATAGGGTCTAAGATCTATACCAATAGACGGCAATAGGGTCTAAGATCTGTACCAATAGACGGCAATAGGGTCTAAGAACTGTACCGATAGACGGCAATAGGGTCTAAGATATGTACCGATAGACAGCAATAGGGTCTAAGATCTGTACCGATAGACGGCAATAGTGTCTAAGATATGTACCGATAGACGGCAATAGGGTCTAAGATCTGTACCGATAGACGGCAATAGGGTCTAAGATCTGTACCGATAGACGGCAATAGTGTCTAAGATCTGTACCGATAGACGGCAATAGGGTCTAAGATCTATACCAATAGACGGCAATAGGGTCTAAGATCTATACCAATAGACGGCAATAGGGTCTAAGATCTATACCAATAGACGGCAATAGGGTCTAAGATCTATACCAATAGACGGCAATAGGGTCTAAGATCTGTACCAATAGACGGCAATAGGGTCTAAGAACTGTACCGATAGACGGCAATAGGGTCTAAGATATGTACCGATAGACGGCAATAGGATCTAAGATCTGTACCGATAGACGGCAATAGGGTCTAAGATCTATACCAATAGACGGCAATAGGGTCTAAGATCTATACCAATAGACGGCAATAGGGTCTAAGATCTATACCAATAGACGGCAATAGGGTCTAAGATCTATACCAATAGACGGCAATAGGGTCTAAGATCTGTACCAATAGACGGCAATAGGGTCTAAGGTCTGTACTGATAGACGGCAATAGTGTCTAAGATATGTAGACGGCAATAGGGTCTAAGATCTGTACCGATAGACGGCAATAGGGTCTAAGATCTGTACAGAGAGACGGGAATAGAATCTAAGAACTGTACCGACTTGGTCTAAGATCAACAATGACGTTACAGGATGAGTGAGAGAAAAACAAGGTTTCTATATTACACGTCAAAAATGTTTCTGTATAATATATGAACGATGTAATTTCAACCAAATATTGATGTTTGATGGTGAAACAATGACACCTTGATGTTGTAGGTGATAGTTTTGTTATAAGACAATAATTGTAAAGATTTGAAATCGATACAGATAATAGCTGTGGCGGGAAGTAGAAAAGTGATATGGGAGGTTTTACTTACTTTTGTAAAGTTATTTGGCCAATATGGTTTCAGTGTGGGAAGGCCAGTATGGTTTTAATGTAGTGTGGACAATGTGGTTTTAATGTAGGGTGGACAATGTGGTTTTAATGTAGGGTGGACAGTGTGGTTTTAATATAGTGTGGCCAGTATGAGGGTTTTAATGTAAGGTGGCCAACACATGGACCTAGTTTTTACTTACTGCTGGCCCGAGGCCATCTTCCCCCAAGACAAATGTCACGGCCGACATGGGCATGGCCGTGACTGAGGCCACCAGGTCCACACAGCACAAGTTGATGACGAAGATGTTGGCCATGGAGGCCCGCAGCTGGGGTGTGATGAGAATGACGATGACGATCCAAAGGTTCCCGTGGAAGGAGAGGAACACGAGCGCCGCCATGATGAACACTGCGAATATCTCTGTCGGCTGCGTGGTCGTCTGGTTGCCCAGCAACTGGCTGCTGTTGTCTAGAGCCGAGAGGTTGGCTAGAGGGGTTGTCAGGTTGATGATCATAATAATGTATAGCCCGGTTCTGGTGGCGTCACGGGAATATCAGGTTTGTATCGGTATTTGGGCCGACCTTTTAGTCAATTGATTTGTTAAATGTTTGGATCGAATAGGTTTACACACAATAAAGAAATTCACTTCTGCCATTTCTAACACTTGCACATCTGAAAGGGTAAAAAAATCTGGTTAAATATAGACATAATTGTCTTGATTTACATTTATTTGACCTAAGCTATGTTGTTATGTTAATAAATAATATAAAGAAGAAAGATAACACCACTTGTCTGATGAAAGATTCAGTGGGCTTTGAACTGTATTGTGTTATTTCACGTATTCACTTATTCCTTTGTGGCCCCTGGGGAACAAATGGCTGAAGTATTGTGTTAGAAACCCTCCAAAAAGAATTATTTACTTTAATTTATAATGATGCGACCCAAATTCTATAATGAGCGCCAACAGTCGTGTATTTCAATTATAGGGGTGGTATTTATATAATGGTGGTAAATAAATTCCATTTCGTTGGGGGGGGGGGGGCGGTTGACTTCCTTCGGGGGGGGGGGGGGGTGGAGCACCCCCGAAGAGATGCCTGGAAGAAACTCTGGTCCTGAGTATTAAAAAAGGTGCCGCCACCACTAAGATTACCACCAGTTATGGTAGCACCACGTCTAAGATCGACACTTAACCAGAAATGATGTTACCAGATCTAAAATTATTACAAGTCTCACCACTGGTAAGCGTACGATTTTCACCATAAGTAGTGTCACCATTAGTGTCGTGTCACCATCATCAATGTCACCATTAATAATATTTTTACAGCCTAGTGAATAAAATTAACGGTTATTTTGGTCAAAAGTTAAGTTTAGTGTTTAATATCCACAACTGTGACACTTTTATCAGAATAAAAATTTTAAAAGCCCACCAAAACAACGCCTCTATAGGCATCTCTTTTGTTTCAGCTTTCTTTCTTTACTGGTGAATAAATTAAATAGATTAAATAGCGTGAATTGTTTTGTTCCGCTAAATCAATTTGACATAAAAAGATTTACATTTTATTCATGAGAATCGAATACAAAATTCCGGGAACAGAATGTGGCCAGCTTGTGCGGCAGATCGCGTTACCATGGTTACTTGCTAACCTTTTTGTAGAGCGGTGAAGCGACAAAGTGAAGTCTTAATCAAGCTAAAGGGAGAGAACTAAGAGCCGACTGCGTGTACATGGGTCGTCAGCAGGAAGATTTAAATTGCTAAAGGGAAATAATTTGTTAAGTACATAGCTATTTTGAAAAATCTATTAGAATGGCATAGCTAATATGGGACTACGTGTAAGAAAGATCCAAATTAAGGATATATCTTAAGTAGGGCACCTTGTAAAAAAAAAGACTTTCATGAATAGCTAATATAGAGAAACGTATAGTGTAAGGAAGATGTTTATGAATGTCATAATTAATGATTAATTAGAATCTTGGAAATTCTCCAATAGGAAAATATAATATCATATTAATAAAAAATTTTGTTGGTATTTTTGAATAATTAGCGAATGATTGTAGGGTTATTGTTAAATATAGGGTCAGAACAGGCTACGGGTTAGAGTTAAGTATAGAGTTATTTCCCTTTACAAGGGGTCAGGTCAGTGATGCCGTTAAAATGCTGACGTACAAATAATTACCGAAACTGGTGTTACCTCTGTCCAAGAACGGATGTTGAATATTCATCGTGTCTGGCATGTCTTGCCTGGCGCCACCTGGTGTGTGGGGAAAAAAAAGATTAATGTTAATTATTCAGTGGCCGGAGCTCCGGTCATTGGGTGGTCAGATGATCTCCAGGTTTAACATCTGTCACGGTCAGTTTATCTGGCCAACTGCCATTTTCTTCCCTCCAGGGGTTCCGTTTGTACTTAGGGCATGACTTTCTTTAGTGGTTTTTGACGCCATTGTTTTATGTGAGGTCTGGTCTTAAATGATGACGTGGGATGATGGAAGTTTGATCAGTGGGAAAATCATTTAAAACGATGTCGTTCATAGACCATCAATAATCTTTACAATATGTTGTCCCCTAATTAGGGTTCGTCTAGAAATGAAGACACGTTTTGTAATGTCGTTTTTTACCCACACCCATATGATCTTATCCCCACACGCCAACACAAAAAGCCAGACCCACACGCTTACACACACACACACACACACTCACAAAGATATCGCGAAGTTCTCGCCACCGCCTCCTTACACATCCCAATTTGATCACAATATTCTAACGAAAATGAACACGATTTTCATAATTTTTTTGTGTTTAAAAAAGGCTGCGTCATACTTTCTTGAACCCCCACCCTCCCTACACTAAGGTCTTGACTTACTCCCCCAGAAGCCTTTGCGTCATTCATGGGCGTCATTCAGAACTCAGTTACATTTTTAAATGATGTCTTAAACAGGATGTTTTAAACGTGATGTTTTAAGCGTGATGTTTTAAACATGTTTTAAACTTGATATTTTAAACGTGATGTTTTAAGCGTAATTTTTTGAACATGATGTTTGAAACATGATATTTTAACCGTGATATTTTAAACGTGATATTTTAAACATTATACTTTAAACATGATATTTTGAAAAAAAAAATTTTTGATGATATTTTAAACATGATGTCTTAAACATGATGTTTTAAGCATGATATTTTAAACATTATATTTTAAACATGATATTTTAAACATGATATTTTGAAAAATATTTTTAAAAATGATATTTTATACATGATGTTTGAAACACAGTGACATCTTGTAATCACCAACCATTGTGTTGCTGTCAATCTTTTAAAGAAACTGTTTAAAACTCTTTCCACACACAAACAACCGTACTCACAGACCAGCGATTATCCAGCATCGTACACCACACACATTATTTAAACCACATCTAATCGTTCCTATCGTAATTAACATCGTAAATTGATTCTTAATTGAAACAAGCAGATCGAAAAGATACTGAATAAAGGCATTACGTATTTATTTGCCAAGCACTTAATACACATTTAACAGATACAATTTATTCACGGTGGGAAGATATAAGTTAGTCTATAGTGGCTTCGATACTGACTGCAGTGACAAATTGTATCGATATTACAATTAAAAGCTACGCTGCGATACTTACATACAATGATTCATAAAGCTTTTAAGCCTTCTTCTATGTGTATCGATATCATTCGAGCAATGAACATTATTGATGTCATTGATGACAAAACATTCGTCGAACCAGTTCTAAAAATAGAGTTTTAAGTCACTTTAAAAATACTTTAAAACTATAGCTGTCTCATTAGCTGTCTAATTAACGTATAAAACTTTACCAGTCTTTAAAAGAATCTTAAAAGGGGGCTTAACAATAACACAGTAGGACGTCCATAGAGTCCGCCCAGCCTACACAACTATCTAAATCCACCTTAAAGGTGAATGGCGCTATACTATCACACACACACGCACACACAAACGCACGCACACACTCACACTTAGGTAATTTACTTTATTTCCCTTATATTTATTTATTGCGCTTAACTAGGTCTTTATACTAGAGTAGTGCATGTATAAAATGCTAACCTTTTACTTAATAATTATTGTTTGCTTAAGTAATTGGGATTGTTCTAATATTATATCTGAATAAATGAATCTCTAAAACATAAAGCACATCTCTACATAATTGGGTTCTGCATGATGCCCCCCCCCCCCCCCCTAGTTGCCACGCCTTTAATTTAGCACCCTCTGAGCATTTTACAAAGGCAAATACACAGAGAAAAACAACAACAAAAACATTCAAATCTAATAACCGACAACGATCAAAAGCATACGAGTAGCAATTAAAAGTATAAATAGATAAGATAATAAAGGCCAACCTTACCCGTTTCTTCTCTAAGGACCGATGTACGTAACGACGGAAGACGCCATTCCCCCACACTGTCTTGCTGTCATCCTACCAGGATCTCGAGACATCCCCATCAATGGCGCTACATGTCGACATGCTCATTAGTCGAACGTCTGCAACAATCACGGCTCGTCTCTCCCCGACCCTGGAGGTATCTGTCCCCCTCACGTGTCGCAGGCACTGTCGCCAAGACGACGCGCGGCTGGAACTCTTCCGTGTCGGCATCAAAAGCCAATCACGTGATACTAGATCAGCCCTTCATGTAAGGATTTCATAACTCTATGGGTTCCAACCTTAACACCTGTCTCCAGGTATAGACCTACCTCTCCGTGTTAACAGAGGAAGTTTAAGTGAGGTCTGCGAGAAATGCATGATTAAGTGAGGGGAGGGGAGGGGGGTCAAAAAGCTTTTCAGATTATCACCCGGACACTTTTCATGACAACAGTACAACTCGCAGCTGCTCTGGAGTAATTTATCAATCTTTTTTTTCAGTGAGAGTTCGGCTTCTTGTTTGACTGTCCAGTTTCTTGTTTGACTGTCCGACTTCTTGTTTAATTGTTCGACATCTTGTCGCAATGTCCGGCTTGTATTTTCAACGCAATGCATTTAGTTTTGAACGAATGAAAAAAAAATGCCCTAGGCTCGTTTTTGTTTTTTGGAGAATGAAATAAAACAGCAAGGAGAACAAAGCATTTTTATTAGATCCTTGTCTGATCTTTTGGTACCTCAACATTATGAACCAACAGATGATAATGTATGTTTATCATGGCTATTCTTTAAGCCCTGCTTGTATCAAATTATATTTAGTGTCTGTACGTTGTTTCAACTTTTTACATTCTCGCTTGATGTGTTACTCTGTTGTAATGAAAAGAAGATGTATGATTTAATTCTGTATGAGTAGAATTTAGCAACATGTATGACTGCTTGTTCTTATAAATGTATCTAAACATGTCAAATTAACATTTTTTTTTAAAATACCCCACCCCTTCTCTTCCCCACCCCTTCTCACCCCCCCACCCACACATCCGTACACCATTGATGTCCATCAATAAAAAAAATCAATGTTCACCCCCTCCCTTCCCCCCACCCACGGGGTTGTAATCACCTAACGACCTGGTCTAATCATTACCTCCCGACGGTAGGGCGAGCCCCTGCTGTCGTCAAGTCATTCCAGCTAATGTAGGCTGGTTGTAACCCGATGCTGAGTCAACTCAGACCACGGCAAGAAAACATCAGGACATCACGGTACGTGGTCAGGAGATCACGATACGTGACTCTGTCCATCAGGGAACTCATTTAGGACATTGACCTTCGACAGGACAAGGCCGCAGGAATATATTACATGTAAATGTATGTATGTATATATATATATATATATATATATATATATATATATATATATATATATATATATATATATATATATATATATATATATACTAGCCGTCCCGGCCAGGCCCTGCTCTGGCTTCTGTGAAAAACCCTTCTGTTAAAGACCATCACCTGTGTGTTTAGTAATCATCATAAACCCGGCATTGCCCACCCAAACCACAACCAACCAAAACCAAAACAACAAAACGCAAACATAACGCTAACACAATTACAAATACAAACGAAAACAAAAACTTACAACAAACCAACCACAACCACAAACACCAATACGAACACAAAGAAAAAAGCAAACGAAAACAAACCAAATCCAAACACAAAACCAACCACAAACACAAACCCAAAGAAAAAAACAAACGAAAAAGCAAACGAAAACAAACGAAATACAAACGCAAAACCAACCACAAACCCAAAGAAAAAAACACAAAAGAAAAAACAAACGAAAACAAACCAAATCCAAACGCAAAACCAACCTCAAACACAAATACAAACACAAACCCAATGAAAATAAAACACAAACGAAAACGAAAAAAGAAAGAACAAAAACGAACCAAATCAAAACGCAACCACTAACGCAAACCCAACCTAAACACAAAGAAAACACTAACGCGAATATAAACGCAAAGTGCTCACGGGGCTGAATCGCCTACTTCAACTTAATAAACGACTATAGTACCCCAACTTATTCATAGTCTTTTGCACTCACTTTAATGAACGTAGGCGCGAAACCGAACACGGGAGGCCCGGGACCCCAAAAAGCACCCTGTCTGGGCGCCAGAGGACGCACCATGACGTCACCGCCTGATTGAACTTAGTAAACGCCTATAGTGCATAACTTATTTATAGTCTTTTGAACTCACGCGAACGTAGATACCATAGCGTACACCGGAAGGCCCGGGGCGCCAAATAGCACCCTGTCGGGGTGCCGGAGGACGCCCGGATTTGATTCACTTAAAGACTATAGTAACCTTTCTTATCCATAGTCTATCGCACTGTTTAAAACAAAATTATGCAGCATAGCGCTCACATGATAGCCCAGGGGGCCAAATCAAACCGTGCAGGGGCGCCGGCGGACGCGCCTGTTTCAATTTAGTGAACAAAAATGATAATACTCCAAGCTTATCCGTAAATGGAAAGAAATAAACGTATATGATTTGTAGGACCTGGCTTATTAAATGTTATTGATTTAAAAAAAAAAAAAATAATAATTATTGAACAGTATGTTCAGTGTATAGAATAAATAAAAGGCAGTGTTAAAAATACCTAACGACATTGCACTTAATCAATCCCCGCTAATTGTGTAATTATTTTTTTTTTCTTAACACCAAAAACAAAGTAATAAAATGTTAATTCTCTCTTCTTAAGGATTTATTTTTCATTAAAGGGAAGTAACTTTGCAGTCAATACATTTCCGACACAATTTTAGAAATTTTATAAACGTCGATACACTTTTTAAAAATTTTATGTCTTGTTCATAATTGAAAATTATTCTTCTAAGTAAATAGAATGAAAATTGTTTTTAAAGACTTTCAATGGTAATTTTTTGACTCGTAAATTTAGACTTTGAGCACGATAAAAAATCTAACTCTTAAATCCGTAGAACTGTCAACGACAAACTTTTTTTTTTTTGCCACACGTTACAGAACTGAGCTTTATATATTAGATATATATATATATATATATATATATATATATATATGTATGCCCAACACAAGTAAAGTTCTTCCATTAGGCAGATGAAGCAGAGTTCAATTTAACATCGGCATAGTCAGCGATATACCTAGCCGCCAACGTAAGTAAGGTACCCATCAGAGCTGAGTGGACTTAGGCAAGTTCAACTCCCGCAAGTCCGAACCAAGATCTGAACTAGAGACCTTCAGGCTAGCAACCAAACGCTCTACCATTCAGCCAGGCCGTCCCACATGCCCCCTTGATGCTGAGTATATTTTGGTTTTTTTTTTAGTAATTGATGGGGGGGGGTTATTCCAAAAACTGAAGGGTACCAAAGTGTACAATACCTAGAATTAGCCTAAATGTCTACAATCCCAACTTAAGCTTGACAGAGTCCACCGTAACAACGGTAGAATTCATCTTTGTTCGTGCATGTGTATAGAGAGCGGGTGGGGTGGGGGAGTGTGTAACTGTAACTGATAGTTGATTTTTTTATGGAAAAGAGGACGCACGGCCTCCATATGGAAAAACAATGATTGGATAATTACTACTATCTTTGCCGTGGCGAACGTACAATACCTCCTGTATGTGACGTAGCGATACTAATTTTAACCGCGTCCTCACCAGCCCCGCCTCACCGATACCAACATGACGTCTACTAAATGACCGCGCCGCGCCGGAGCTTTTTAAAGTTCACTCAAACAAAATAAATAACTGTTAACTGATTATTCCAGACCAGCGGTTGGCGCTGATTAAATACAGCTGGTCAAATTCAATTTCAAGTATCGATCTAGTATAGTCATACTTCAAGTTATCTGGTTGAATCGTCAGTGCAACGAAGTAGCGATACCCGCTTCATTGGGTATCGAGTCTCAAAATATCGCGTGCGGTGGTTTGAAACTAAGTATCCGATTTAAATTTGACGCACCAATTAATTTAATCAATTTTATCTCGTAGCCGTTCGTGCCATATCTAAGTCTTCATTAATACGCGAGATAAAAAAATAATTTGACATTTTAATTGCCAATGTAAGCAGAAATTTATACTTAAATTCTGCTGACGACTTTGTGATTATATTTTAGCACGAAACACTTTTAGAAACAGCCTACAATTGTTGGTGGGAAAAAATAGATCAAAGAAAAAACATAAGCCTACATGGAAGAAAGGTTCGGTCATTACAAATACCGTTGACAATAAAAGTCAGTAAAACTTAAAGTACCGCATTACGGGGGAATCAGGTAATTTACGTACCTACCTCATTTGTACTGAGCTACCTATTTTAGTTTGACCTACCTAATGCATGGTGACAAACCTATTTCAAGTTGACCCATCGAATTAATATTGAGCTATCTTGTTCATTTTGACCGACGTAATTCTTAATGACCTTCCTATTTAGTGTTGACCAACCCAATTCACGTTCAACTACCTCATTCAAATGACCCGCCCAATTCATGTTACCTACACAAACCATGTGACCCACCCAATCAGTGTTTCTTCCAGATTTTTTTTCTCTGGGGGGGGGGGGGGGGGGGGGGCACTGGATATTTTCGGGGAGGCGGACAACATTCTCCGGGGTGGAGTATATGTTTTCTATATTAATTCCATTTCGAAGAGATGCCTGGAAGAAACACTGCACCCAATTCATGTTGACTTAGAGTCCGTGTACTTATCTCGACCATAAGTCAGTGTATCCAGTTCGACCATAGGCCAGTAGACCGTAGGTCAGTATATACAGCTCGGCCTTTAAGCCAGTAGGCCATTCAACTGTCCCTCAGCTCTATAGAAAAACTCTATATTTGTCTAACTAACTGATTGAAAGTGTAACTCGAATTACTTGATCAAAAACCTTTTATTCACGATTTCTAGATAATAACGAAATGGGTTTGACATTTCTTTAATTTTTTTTAAAATCTGGTTAATGTAAAAATGCCATCGGAAACTTGAGCCAGTATTGTGAGACGAGCGCTTGAAATTTGAGGATGTTCTGAGTTAATGGACAGTCGGAAATAAAGCATTGG